TGAGAAGCTTAAATAGCCTATTTAGCCAAGTGAACAAAATAAGTTTCTGGCTTGTTAGTCAAGTTTGAAAATAAAAGGCTAATACTTTATAACTATACCATACTCATTAATAAATAAAAAGAAAATTGAATAAATAAAAAAATATCAACTGACCTATGAAATTATTCAAAGTGCTCCAATTCAAAGATGCTTTTAATAAGGTCTTTGATCAAGCTATTTAATTTGAGTGATATATAAATATATATATAGTGAGTAAATAACGTACTTTGACTTTAAATCCGCATATTTTATTTCCATTTTTATATATTTCAACTCCTTTAAGGTAAATATAACTCAGTTATTTGCTCCATCAATGTGCGCTTAGAAATATTCTCTGCCCGCTTTACGCTGTCTACTTTGCTTGTTGCCTGTCGGCGCCTGTCCTTGCCTAATGCACTGAAAAAAAAGTTACCAAAAAAGAAACATGCAAATTTCACTGGCACTAAACAAATAACAAACGCAGCCAAAGTAAATTGTGTTAATGGAAGTAGCACAAAAAAATAAAAAATAAAATACAAAAAAGGCAATTAAAACAATTAAGTGACGCCTTCTTTGGGCCACACTATTTACCAAGTTAAAAAAAAAAAATATAATGGGAAAGGAAACCAAAAAATGATGGCATTAAAAAAGTGCCAAAAACATTTCATTTGCTGGCCAAGCGAGCAACACAAATGCGAATATAAAATGTAAATCATAAAAAATATGAATATATATATATGTATATATCTATATATGTATATCTATGTGTATATATATCTTTATAAAATCCGCAATTTGTATGCTGTCGCATATTTTGCGTAATGCATAAGCATTGTCCAAAGGCCGTGAAAATGGGGCGTCGCTGGGCAGCTGTCATAAATACTTGGAGCGAATGTCTTTCAATGCTTTGATAAAGGACATATGCGGCTCTATTATTGATGCCTGCTGCTGTCATCAAAGGACGTGCCATTGTTTGAAGCGAGCGTCTTGATGTGAAAGGTAAGACATTTGCTTATTTTACATACACACACACCAAGGGAGAGAGAACGGCAAATGCCTTTGGGACACATAGTGTAGCTGTTGTCCAGAATGGAACCGCACAGACCGCTCGCTGGACATGTTGCATATATACCCTTTTGGCTAGAACTTACGTTGTCTTTCATTTCTTTTCACACTTTTTACTTGGCCATGGGCAATACATCTTGCACCACAAAACACAAAATCGTCTTAAGTATTTTGTGTGGTTTAAATAAAATAAAAATAATAAAAACCATTTCTCTCTCTCTTTCTCTGTCTCTCTCACTGGCTCACTCTGTGTGTGTGTCTGTGTGTAAAGGGATAAGCGCCGTACATCCGCTTAACGTTGTATATTTTCTTCGCTTAGTCTTGTCTTGGCATTCAATTTGGGTCTCGTTTTGCGTAAATGATTTTATTTCATTCTTTTTGTGGCTGGCTGTAAAATTTTGATATACTATTATTCTATACCCTCAGAAGATCCAATGTCCGTCATTGTTTTTTATGAACACACAACATATTACACAACAATCCAATAGATGGCCGCAGCCCACCAATCAGCCCACTCCCGCTCACACAGCATCATCATCATCATCATCAGCCGCATGACATGGCCAAAAAGGTGGCAACTGCTCTGCATATATTGGACATGGCTGTAGCAAAACCCACGGCCATCTAATAGCTATGTGAATTCGGCCACTTGTTGTCCTACACATGTGGGCGTGCGTGTGTGGGCGAAAGGATTGATGTGCGCCACATGGTAATTTGGGCCTGTGCATAGAAATTGCGCATACGCCTAGTGAGGCGTAGGCAAGTTCAGTATCTGAATGATTTAAAAACAGTTTTTTGAGCTAACTCAAGTTTCAGCAGCCTAAAGCAAGGACTTTGTTCAGCATAGCTGCGGGTATTGATAATAAATTAACAATAAACTAGGAAAGAAAAGAAATTATATTAGAAATTTATCTAATCAACTTAGATACAAATCTGATCGATCTCAGCCAATAAATTAAAAGGTAACAAGATTATGACTAAAATAAATTTTCAATAAATAAAATTACATTCTTCACATGAGTTTATTTTTCAAATAGAATTAGACAAAACTGATGAGCTGAGGGCTAAATTTTGTTGCGGAATATTAATTGGATTTGCTATGATACTAAGACAAATAAGAATGCTCGAGTCGAGAGTGCCTGACTAGGAGATACCCTGAGCCCGGTGCCAAGCTCCGCTTATTAACTTAATTTCTCTTGAATAAAAATTGCAGAGCATACTTTTAATAGTTATAGTTCTAGTGAAATGGAATGGAATTTTTCTTTTTTGTGAATTGGGAAATTATTAAAAATTGGACATATTAATATTTTGTATACTAACTAAGCGAGCTTAGTTTGCTAATTCGATCCTTAACTAATGACTAATAAGCCAAAGCCAAACATAAATCTTATGATCATTGATATGAAATTAGGTTGAGTTATCGATTACTTATATGAGTCATCCTACCTTACAAGAATATATACAAAAATTTAACATTTCAAGTCTCTAGCTTTTGTACTTTATGATATATATATCAAGATATATTTGTTTCTATATATATACTTTTTGGGTCGTATTAGTGGGTATTTTGAAATAAAATATTAAAGGTAAAAGTATTTATGACATATTTTAAGTGTCGAGCTATTGTAGTAAGTGCAGACAAATAAACGCACAGACACAGATGTGTCTCACTATATTCTGAATTTTCATTCCAAAGTTTTAAGAGTTTTAACTTTGATTATTTACACATTTTTATAAATTTATTATAAATAAATGTAAAACTTGTTATACTTCACTTAGTAAATATATCTTAATTGATATTTATAGTTGCATCGAGATAAATGGTAAATTGTATATAAAACATATTTTATGGCTCTTACGTTAACTAACTGCAATTATATGGTTTTCGCTATGCAAAATGAATAATTTTATGCCTGCAATTGACACTGAAATGGCTGAAATAGAGCTTGATAAATAAATACAGAAATAGCAATATAGTAGATATTATTTTCTTAACGTCTTGCTTTCGTTTTTATATTCATTTTTATTTTATTTTATATGATCTTTATCTGAATTCAAAAGAAAAACTTTTAAAAATTATTATCTGAAATATAAATATAATTATAAAATGAATAAAAAATGAAGAATTAATTTCATTTATTTTTAATATATTTTTATTTTTATATTTTATATTTATATATATAAAATTGTTTAATTTTAAGTTTTCCATATTTTATTTTTGATTTTTTAATTATGCAGGAATTTATTCAACAAATTTAAATTAATATAATAACTCTGTATAGCGTGCTACTCTATGCCTCCCTTTGCGCTTCTCAACGCAGCTTGTATAAAAACAATTTATCTGATCTGAAGTTTCTATGAAAATTTCATAGACTCTAGCGATATACGTATCTATTCAGCGAATTCTGTTGTAGTTGTAGTAGTTGTAAAAGTAATCACTTGTTGATGAGAATGCACCTCATTTACGTATTTCAACGGAATGTACTTTAAAATTAATATTTAGCTATAGAGATACTTAGATATTATTGCACCTATATACATTTCTTATGACCTATAATTATAAATACATATTGAAGTGCCAGAGATTATAAATAAAAGGTGCAAGAGTTTTTGGACATTTGTTCAGCTGTTTAATGTGCCTGGACAGCACTTAATCGTCGTTGCGATGCTGCAGAAAATCACATTGCGAGCTGCTGCTGTTGGTAGCATTGGAAACAAGCCAATCCGCACGCTATACCAGAAACAGAACCAGAAGCAGAACCAGAGAGTAGACAGAAGACCCGGACACGGACACGGACACAGACACGGACTCAGACACAGACGCAAAGCAGGAGCAAGTCAGGCCACGAGCATAACGTGCAACTTTCCAGCTTTCGCCGCAATCAATTTTACGGGTGCACAACAACAACAGCAGCAGGAAACGGAATTAGAGCAACCCCGAGCATAGAAAGCAACCCAACCGAAAACCCAAACCCAAAACCAACTCGATGCGACACGATTCACCCACCCACACACACACACACACACACACACTCACACAGCCATAGATGAAGGGCCAAACAGCGTTAGACACGCAACCGAACAGCGCTCAGCACGTGGTCCAGCTCACATGAAGGTATTAACGCGTAACAACATCGCTGCATGATTAACCTTCTGCATTGGGATGTATGCCCGTCAGACCATTGACGCCCATTGCCAATGTGGGCGTGGCAGCGGTTAGCCATGACTCTGGCATAGCTTTTGCCATGTTCTAGTCGAAGGCTTGATGTGCTGCAGCTATGACTGTGCTCTGGCAACAGTTACAAGAGCTAATCGCCCGACAACTCCTGCAACAACAACTCTAGCGAAATCAATTGAAAGCAAAACTCAAGAACTCACTGAATTTTATAAAAATAGTATTATTCAATAAACATAATTTGAATTTGATGAAAGATTGACGAGACTGCAGAGCAATTTGTTTAAATTTTGGATCTAAATTCAAAGTAGTAGAGTATGAATAGGGCGCTTTACAAATCTTTCCCTATCCGATCTACTGCAAACTTTTGTTTCTCATACCAAATTCTAATCAAGTTAAGCTTAAGATTTCATTACAAATTTATCACCTGGCCGTACTGTGCGATTCTCATAATTGGGCAAAACTTTAAGTCGGTTAGCTTGATCTCTCTCTCTCTCCTCCTCTTATCCTTTCACTGTCTCTGTCTCTCTCTCTCTCTCTCTCTCTTTCTCTCTCTCTCCCTCTCTCTCTCGCTTTTCATCTGTTTCTCTGTCTTCCTCTCTCTTCTTTTCTTTCTCTCTCTTCCTCTATCTCTCTCTCTCCCTCTCTTTCTATTATTATTATTATTTTTTTTTTCATTATATTTCCCATAAATCGTGCCAGTTTCACCCATCTTTTACTATATCAGAATTACATTTTAAAATATTACTCAAACATTTGCCTTTATTAAGTCAGGTATGCGGCATGCATTCAGCTATAAACATTCATTTATGCATTACCAAATTCAGTGTTCATATACGAAGACTTAATGAAAATTTTATTTTCAATTCCATTGGGAACGAAACCAAATAGTCTCGGAATAGATAAAATGCCGGAATAGACCGAATCACGAATATGTGTCACAGTATCGTGAACAGTTCCAGTCGCGTCACCAAAAGCTTTAGCTGTTTGCGATAGTGCCCTTTGGACAGCTTTTCCAATGTCAAAGTCAGGGCATGCGGTTCCCAGGCAGGGTGTTCCGTTGGTTGGGTAGAGTAGTGAAAGGAGAGCTATGGAATTTAATACATTACTTATCAGTCCATTTAGCTAGAACTGCAAGATTGCCACATACTACCAACTATCAGCCATATTTGAAGCGTTCCAATATTCATGGTGTACACTGTCGTATCGCTAATATTATTAATAATAATAAGTCAGGAATACAATTTTTTAGTTAGTTATAGTGTGTCCGATTGATTAAGATGCGACTAAAAGTATTTACCACAGTTCAAAGTCATGCGAACTTTATGTACAAATATAATACAAATAATACAAATGTAAATTTGAGTTACGCGCGCACTGTTAACAGCTGTAGCAGCTAACAGCAATAATGTTTAACAGTTTATTTGAGCATAACAGAGAAAGGGAGTAAGTAATGCAAATTGAACAATTTTAGTTGCATTTCTATTACAAATTGTTTAAATATTATTTTAATATAATTTAATATATCTTTATTTTTTTATTACAAATATTTACATATTAACTTTCTCTTTTTGAAATACAAAATAAATCTTTCCAATAATAAATCTTTAAAATGAAACAAGAACACACCGAAGAGATCAGAAAACGTCTAAAAATATTATTATTCACTTTTAATTATATATATTTATGTATTTGCTTCTATGAAACAAAAAATATATAAATCATTTACGGCAGTTTACCCCAACAACAATTGAGAAATATATAAAATTAAAACATCCGTACGTAAATAAATAATTAGTTAACGATTCAATTAATTTCAACATTTAAAGAAATTTAAATATTGGCTTTGACTATGTCAATACTGTAAATCATTCGATTTAACGTTGCACGCTATCGTCGTGCAATCAATAGTATGTTATCGATAGTCTATCGGTGCATAGTCTTGCAAATACGCGTTTACTAAATAGTATTTATTAAACGTGCCGTGGTTTCGACGTGTCAGTTCGTAGTAAATAATTCGCAAGTGCTAGTCGCCAGTTCAATAGAGTCTGACACGCGTACAAATCAATCACCGAAGTAATATACACTTTGCCATACAACAACAACAACAGCGACTACAACAACAAATACAATAACTAATAACAGCAGCATGGCGGAAAAAGTAAATGTTTGCATTGTTGGCTCCGGCAACTGGTGAGTGCAGTAACAATAGAAACAACAACAACAATAACAATAACAAACTTGCAAATTATATAATGCTTGCATATTGCAACTTGGCCTTTTAAACCTTGTTCAGGGGTTCGGCCATAGCAAAAATCGTGGGCGCCAATGCATCCGCATTGCCGGAGTTTGAGGAGCGCGTCACAATGTTCGTCTACGAGGAGATGATTGATGGCAAGAAGTTAACGGAAATTATCAATGAAACTCACGAGAATGTTAAATACTTGAAGGGCCACAAACTCCCACCAAATGTGGTAAGTAAACAGAAGAATAAATAATGTAGAAAAAAAACAAAACAAAATAATTAGTATCCATTACGTTGAGTTGCTAATTGAAAATCGTAAATAACAAGTTTTCACTTATGTAATATGCGCATTAGTATTAGTTGAATTATTAACAACTGCAGCTGCCCCTTACATAAAAGACGCCGCTGCCTTGATCTTGGCCGTGTCGTCGTGCAGCCAAATTATCTAATCAGACGAACGAGCGGGCGAAACATGCATACATATGTAGCTATTTTTACAACCCATCAACCGTTACTCGCTCTCTCTCTCTCTCTCTCTCTCTCTCTCTCTTGTGTTTTTTTTTTTTTGGCCACCGCTGCACTTTTGTTTCAGGGCCAACACATCAACAAAAGTTTCACCTTGCTCTGACGTCTGCACATTAAATAAAAACCTTCTCCTCCTGCCATGCTGGCAATGCCAGCTCAGCGGCTGTCTTTGACGTAGGTCAAGGCCGGCTTGCACTCGCTCGCGCACTTTTATACTCCCTCGCTCTCTCTTAATTACACTCTCTTAACTGTTGAGTGTAAAAATAATTGTACATGTCCCAATCGATTGCAACTTTAACATTTACATAGTTCAATGGCTCTTGCGTTATGTATTTATATAAATTTTTTTCAATATAAAAGCATATATATATTTGTTTCTAAATATGAGCTTATTTATAAATATAATTTGCACAGCTGAATTGATAAGCTTCGCGCACAGCACTTAACTGTTTGTGTTTGCTGATTATAGATAAGCCTCAATGTTTACAGGTCATGTTAAACACGCTATTTGAGTTGTCTAGATAAAGTTCGCACCAAATACTATATATGTGTGTTATGTAGCTCAAATGCTTAACAATGTGGAATTTTCCAAACATTAATTTAAAATTTCGACTAGAACAACTGGCGCTGCAGAATTGATAAAAATCAAATCAGAAAACTAAATTGTTTCTATGTCTGTTCCTTTTGTTTTTTTTTATATATATATACATATAATTGAATGTCACACATACCTGTACATATATATAAATATATATTCACGCACATGTAAATTTGTATAGCTGTGAGTTTTGGCAATCTTTCAATAGTGAAAGCAAGCCAAAAATACAAAAACAATTTGGAAAAATAAATGCTATATATATAGTAGGCGTATATATAGTTTATAAACAAATCAGCATGGGCCAATGTCAAAAATGCAGCCAATTCGCAAAGTATTCATCAAATTAAGTGTCTAGCGAGTCAAAGAATATAGAAAACTATTTCATTTTTAGTTACCTGATAAGCGATACAAAACTAGTACAACGAATTTTATTTGACTCGCTTTGTGCGTCGAGTCTAACGGAAATTTATATTGAGTTTTCTGATAAGCATTTATTTATTCTATGTTTATAGCTGCAATAAAGTAGCATTAATATGTGCCATTCATATAAGAAAACAAGTTGGTTAATATAAACAGATATACATTATATGTATATATATATATATCTTAGGCAAGATAATATACTAAACAAGTAAAGATTTCGATGGACTTTCAACTGAAATATATATAAAAAAAAGTAACCAAATGTTTTTGATAAGTCAAATTTAGTTGTTGGAACTAAAATTAGTTTTCTTATACATTTTGAAAGTGTTGCTTAAAAGGAAGTTCCTAATATTAAATTTAATGTTTATTCTGTTAAATCTTGAATTTAAATATTATAATTTTTCTTATATTGATTATTTCATTTTTGTTTTAAGAATTAGCACAATTTAGCAAAAAAAAAAAAACAATTTATATATATTTAAATTTTTACAAGCAAACAAGACGTTAATAATAAATTTAGTTCCAGTATATTTTTTGCAGATGCATTTTGTGAAAAGCCATTTTTACTACTAAATATAAAAAGCTTAGTTTATGCATTTTTAACTTATTTAATTTGAAATGCAAATAGCTTGCAAAACATATATATATATATATATGTATATATATGTATTATAAAGCATCGTTATCCAAAGCAGCGCCTGAACTTTATACTATTTATGAACTGTTCATAAGTAATCGTTATGTAAGACTTGCAAACCAGTTTTGAATCACAAAACGGCAAACTGATCAATAGCGAATCGATTCAGCAAGCTGGTGACCAGAGTCTAGATGTGAGACAAGCCTCTAAAGTAGGTATACACGTGCGTATGCCATGATTTCCATAGTGATATGAAACGTATTTCAAAAAAAGATTTCACAGTTTCCTTCATTCAACCTTGAGCTTATCAGAAGTAACTTTGCTTGCTTATAAAAACATTATTGTTCATACACAGAAACTTATTTATTTACTCTGTAATTTTCAGGTGGCTGTGCCCGATCTGGTTGAGGCTGCCAAGAATGCCGATATACTAATTTTCGTAGTACCCCATCAGTTCATACCAAATTTCTGCAAGCAGTTGCTGGGCAAAATCAAGCCAAATGCCATTGCCATATCCCTGATCAAGGGCTTCGATAAGGCTGAGGGCGGTGGCATTGATCTTATTTCCCACATAATCACCCGCCACTTGAAGGTAAGCTCACATACATGTATACTGAGTGAGAAGGTGACATTTACCCTATCTATCCCACTGTTCAGATACCATGCGCTGTGCTAATGGGCGCTAATCTGGCCAACGAGGTGGCCGAGGGCAACTTTTGCGAGACGACAATCGGCTGCACTGACAAAAAGTACGGCAAGGTGCTGCGTGATCTCTTCCAGGCCAATCACTTCCGCGTCGTGGTCGTCGAGGATGCCGATGCCGTTGAGGTCTGCGGTGCTTTGAAGAACATTGTCGCCTGTGGCGCTGGCTTCGTGGATGGCCTTAAGCTGGGCGACAACACCAAGGCAGCGGTCATTCGTCTAGGTCTTATGGAAATGATACGTTTCGTCGACGTCTTCTACCCAGGCAGCAAGCTCTCCACTTTCTTTGAGAGCTGCGGTGTGGCGGATCTCATTACGACGTGTTATGGTAAGTCACTAAATTTTTAGAGTGAGTTTCCTCTTACGCCCATATATTTCTATAGGTGGTCGCAATCGTCGTGTCTCCGAGGCTTTTGTCACATCGGGCAAAACAATTGAGGAGCTCGAGAAGGAAATGCTCAATGGCCAGAAATTGCAGGGTCCGCCCACTGCCGAGGAAGTTAACTATATGTTGAAAAACAAAGGCTTGGAGGATAAGTACGCTCTGGAAGCTAAACAGGATTCAGATGAACAATATTTAACTAAATTCAATTTCAATCTCTTGCAGATTCCCACTGTTCACAGCCATACATAAAATTTGCACAAATCAACTTAAGCCTAAAGATTTAATTGATTGCATACGCAATCATCCAGAGCATATGTAAGTGTTGAGTTGCTTTTTGTTTTGCTTTTTGCACAGCTGCACATGAAACCTTTAAAGAGTTCCTCCCGTAACTCCCTTCCTCTGCCTTTTTATCCAACAAATACACACAACTTTATGAATTTATGATTTTTTTTCTATTGTATTTAATTTGCTAATTGAGATTGCTATCCTACCTGTAACTCCTGTTTTTTAGTTTACTTTTATTTCTTAGCTTATGCTTTTTATATACTTTATATTCTTTATTTAGTTATATAACTTTATGCACTTAAACTATTAGCATGTTTTGTTGATCTTTTGATTTAATCTAAGTTAACATTAAAGAAGACCTACAACGACAAAAACTGATAAATAAAAATCAAAATTCAAAATTTCCAATTAGTCAAATATTTCAAATAAGTTTTTAATATATTCTTCTACAAATATCATTCATTCCCAATTCCCATTCATAGTAGCTCACCCATAGCTTAACCCTACATAGATCCCTAACAAACTTCCATTTCGTATACATTTTTACAAATTCAATTAAACTTTTATGTTTCATCAACAACAAACAAATTTGTTTTCTTCTCTTCTTTTTTATATGATTTCTCATAGGGATACGTTCATCATGCCGTCGCCAAAACTCTAAACTGTGTTAAACACCAAAAATTTAACAACAAAACAAAGTTTATAAAGAGAGAAAAGAAAATCGATTGTAAATACTATTTGTTTATAGCTCCAAGTCAATTCATACTCACACACACACGCACTTGCTACCAATATACACGCATATATATAAAGACATATATATTGTAGGTATTCGCAAAACGCTTCCTTCGCCTAATTTCAAACACACATTTCTATATCTTTTATATTTACGATTATATTTGTGTTCATAAGAAAAAAGTCAGTGTCATATTTGTTAAACCATAATGAATTTTGTTAAAGCATTAATAAAGTATTTAAATATTTTTTGTACATATCAAAAAAAAAACAAAAACAAAGCATAATTAGGAAAAATATTTTTTAATAAAACATTTAAAAATAAAAACAATAATTGGCAGCTACAAATCGGCAGAGAGCAGTACGTATCAAAATTTGATATATTATTAATTAAATTTTACGTTTGTTTTAATTCACGTTTGTATTTGAATGCAATTTTGAAATGTTTTCGTTCATCAATTTGCCGAGCACTTCTATAAATAATGGCGTTTTGTTTTCTATTCCGCAGGCAAACTTTGTAAAATAGTAATTACAAATTTTTAAACGTTTTTATGCACCAAAAAAACTAAAGCAAATAAAATGCAAATCAAGAGTAAATAGCTAATTTTTCAGCACACGTTTAAGAATCCACAGAAGCAACTCAGTTAACTATTTCTACCCAGCCAACGACAAGAATGTGTATAGGTTGTTAATTTAATGTTAAATATATTAAATATCCAACGCATATCCAGCGAACCACAGAGAAACGAACAAACAAACCAATCTTGAAGTCTGCCTTTTCTTTTAACTTAGTTAATAAAAATATAATTGAAAGTAGCGAGAAATGTGCGCATGTACCTAAAAGACAATTGTAAATACCAACATTGAATTTTACGATTACAAATACAAAAACAACAAAGGCGTAATAAATGGGAGAGTAATGGTTTAATTTAAAACAGCAAACGGAAATAATTGCATTAGTAAATCCTAGTGATATTATTAAATTGAATGGCGTAGCGATAAATTATAAAAGTAAAATAAAAATATGTTAAAAAGGAAAAATTAAAAATATATGAGTTTGTTTGGGGCATCATTTGCACATTTAAAAATACTTTTGCTGGCGCCTTGGGTTTAGGGTAAGTATAAAATAATCGATATTTACACCGATTGCTCATTAACAAGCAGCTGTTCTGTTGACGCTATACAACACTTAAATTACAACCCTGTGTTTACGTTTCTTGCTGACTGTCAATTTTTAGCAATAACAAAAGTTTTTTCATTGCCAGTGGAATATTTTTTCTCATAAACAGGATAAACGACCAATAGAAATGTAAAACTGTTTGTTATATCGCTAAAAATTAAATTAGTTTATACAAATATGCGTCGAACATGTAGGACTTTGCGTTTTATGTGAACTGGACAATGGCGTCGTAATTGACTTTTGTTGTTCTCAGACAGATTGTACCCAAATCGTAAACATCGAAATAGAACTAGGTGAAGTACGTGGAATGCGAAGTGCAAATTATTTTTGTGTCTGCGTGAATGAATGGCTGCGTATGTATGTGTGTGTTTATTAATATATTGTTTGCATTCTTTTTTCAGTTGATAAACGGAAAAAGCTGCAACGCATAAAGCTGATTCACTAAGACGAACAACAAAGCGTAATTGAAACCGCATCGTTAAATTCGTTTGAAATCAGCTGTGGAAGCTCGCGCTAAGTTTGCATATATGGGTTACACTTGGTAGAGAGCAATGGACCCACAAAAGATCACCGAATTGGCCAACTTGCTGCGCAAGAATGGTGACAAAATCCTCAGCTCTGAATTTACCTTGACCTTATCAGGTGAGCAGTGGCAGGCCATGCATGCATTTGGGACATGACTAAACAGAGACCCCACCCTTTCAGTTATTTTGTGCTAAGCTTGATTAGATTATCAGCCAAACCAATTTTCTCACAGACACACCTCTACAATTGCAGGTCCCCTTTTGCGCGCTTTAAATGATTCCTTCACGTTGATCGCGGACAGTGATATTGTCGCTGGCGGTGGACTTGGCACCTTGCAAAAGGAACAGCAAGCCTTCCAAGTGGTGAAGCCCATCAATGCTAAATCGAGCGTTTTTGCCGATTTGCAGCTGCTTCATGATTTCGTGCAGAAGACAACACTGTTGAAGCTCAATTATTTTCCCAGCGAGCATTACTTTGAGGGAGCCATCGACATATGCAAATTTCGAGCCTTGCGTCGTTTGGAGGTGCACAAGATCAACATATGTCAGGTGGTCGGAATTCAAGCATTGCGCGCACAGCTGCAGCAAATAATTTGCATCAAGAGCCTAAACAATGTGGACGATATCATTACGCATTGCGGAGGCGATATGTCGAATGGTTTTGTCTGGAACGAGCTGCAGTCGGCCGACTTTAGCTACAACAATTTGCGCTCTGTGGACACAGCTCTGGAGTTTGCACAGCACTTGCAGCACTTAAATTTGCGCCACAATAAGCTTACCAGCGTGAGGGCCATCAAATGGTTGCCACATCTTAAGACGCTCGATGTGAGCTACAATTGCCTGACTCATTTACCCCAATTCCATGTGGAAGCATGTAAGCGGCTGCAAATGCTTAACATAAGCAACAACTATGTAGAGGAGCTGCTGGATATGACGAAGCTGGATGCGCTAACCAATATGGATCTGTCCGACAATTGTTTGCTGGAGCACACACAGCTGTTGCCGCTGAGCGTTCTTATGACGCTCACTGTACTCAATTTGCAAGGCAATCCTTTGGCCTGCCATCCAAAGCATCGTCTGGCCACAGCCCAGTATTTGCATAAGAATACGGCGACAGTGAAATTTGTGCTAGACTTTGAACCGCTCTCTAAAGCAGAAAAGGCATTAGCCGGCAGCCAGCAAATGCGATTTGCGGGTTCTATGAATCACCGGCTAGTGAGTAGTCATGTATCCATAAATAGTTCACGGGCATCTGTCAATACGCCAGCCTCAAGCGTGGGCTCGCAACGCTCGTTCTCGCTCAAAGGCAAGGATTCCTCATCGGAAGCAGAGCAAACAACGGTTGATATGCAAATCGGCAAGCGACGCCTTAAAACTAAAAAACCGCGTACGGTGGAAATTGCTGAACATGGAGATGAAGTTGCAACAGAAGCCGTTACAACAACAGCATCAGTCGAAGCAGCTGACCTGACACCAGAAAAGCCACAAGAGACAACCGATGGCAGCCACTTGGAAACGAAAAAGCAAATTGAGACGCTGCGTCTTAAATATGGCAACGAGTGGTTGCAGTCAGGTAACGCGGAGCAAATGTTAGGACTAGATACACCACAGCCTAGTGAAGAGGATCGTCATGTGGCACGCCAGCAGTTCAATGAATTTCTGGGCGAGTTTTCGCCTTCAGCACAAGAGTCAGAGCCTACGTTTAACTCCACTCCTGCGAACAGCAGTAATTGGAGTGACACATTTAGTACAACTTTGACACCCATTAAGAAAGAAGCCAGCAACGACACGGACTCCAACAAAACACAGCAAACAATTTACGAATCGTGCAACAACAGCGTCCAGACGGAATACGAGAGCATGAACAGAACGATGTCACAGGAACAACTCACAGAGCCTGAAGCTGAAATGGAGCAAGAGATCGATATTCACAAAGCAGTGCTAAAATGCTATTCAGATGCGACTGCAGAGGAGGAAGAAGAACCAGGTGAAAACCTTTTCAAAAGGAAAAACTCGAACCAGTTTAAACAAAAATTTATAATCTTTTAGTTTCTGAAGAAGAGCCCGACGAAAAGGTGTATATTGTCTACCATGAAAACAAGGCCACCGACCCATTGTTCCTCACAATATCCTCTAACTATGTGCGCGAAAAGGATGCGCTCACCGAACGGTTAGATATTATAAAGCATAAGTTATGTTATGAAATCTTAAATATATTCTATTGGCAGCACCAAGACAAAGTGGAGCATCAAAGTCCTCGAATCATGTGAGCGAATCAAATCGAATACGTTGCGCATCAATTTTGATACAATGCAAAAGGATAAACAGGAGCGTGTTTACTGTGTAGAGAATGCACTGTGTCAGGTATATCGAATACATAACAAACCAAAGCAGATGATTAATAAATTGTTATTTTACTTAGGAACTGGAAAAGAAACTGCGCGACATTCTATCGCAGCGTGATCTCACTGAAATGAATATAACCATCTATAGCTGCGTCAATTGTGGCATTAGGTTTACCAGAGAACGTAAAAACAAGAACTACAAGACAGCGGGTACAACGATTTACAGTGAACTCTACGCTAAGAGCGACTACTAATTCAATCCTTTTTTGCACAGAGCTGCGTTGTCCGGATTGTCGCAGTTTGTTTGTGGCCGAGGTGACTGATGAATGCGGCTCGCTGGACAAGCCCAAAGTCGCTACGGTCGAGCCGAAGCTATCGCCGGCATTAATTGTAGAGGAATCACCTGTCAACACGCCGCCGACTGTGCAGGCGAAAGAGGACGATCAAAGTATTGGCAAGTACTTGGCTAGTTTGCTATTTTATGTAGATCAAATTGTGGAAAACATTTAAAACGGATAAATTGATTCAAAAACATTTAACATGTAGTTTAGTGTAACATTTTCGAACCATTTTCAGTTTTCTAAACGGCTTTTAGTTAAATTTTTTGTGAGCTTAGATTTCGGCTTGTTTATTTTATGACTTAACTATAATTGATATTATATTTTATTGATTATTACTTTTATTTCTTTTTCTTTTTGCATGCTATAAAACACAAACACACATATACACACACACACAAACGTACACCTTAATCACACTGCAATTCGAATGGCAAACTGAGGGTTAATCTAACTTTTGTATATTCTTATGTATTTCTTTGGTACCTTTCGCTCACCCAACTACAACTACAACAACAACTTTAATTGTTACAATACTATTTTAATTATTTAGTGGCCAACAGCAGGCTCATCGCTAATAACACACCCAAGCGTAGGAGTTTGATGCAAACCACAAAAAGTTAATATGCCAATTTATTGTATACGTATTTTATACTTTGTATATCTTTGTTGTTAACAACAATTTGCATTTGGCTTCTTGTTGTCATATGAAGCAGCATTTGGGCATGAAAAAGCGAACAATTAACCAACTAACAAAATTAAATCTATTCCAAATTTTTGCAATCATTGAACGCACCATAAAAAGAAATTGCGCTACATTTCACTTAAGCGAAAGCAAATCAATGCTGCTTCAATTAGAGAGAAACATTATATTCTGTTGTGTGTCAAGCGAAACTAATGTTTCTTAATTGTTCTTCAGGCTCGGCCAATTCACTAAATGAGAGCAGCTCCTGCTCGAAGATAACCAATTCGCAGTGCTCCTTCGATTCGAATCAATCCGTTGTGGGCAGCTCCAATACGGACCGTGATTTGGAGTTTCGTGCCAATGAGAGCGACGTGGACATTATCTCCAATCCGAGCCAATCCAGCATTGAGGTGTTGGATCCCAGCTGTGCCCAGAGTGCCAGTCGCAAAACATCTGAGGAGCGTCGCATATCCCAAATGCCCAATCTGCAAACCATCGACGATGATTTAAGCCAATCCCAGAATTTTATTGAACGCGAACAGACCAGATTAATTTTCGAGACAGACACAGCGGCTGCGACAACCACAATGGACACAACAGCCAAATCTAAAGCATTGGCGCATGTTCAGCTAACGGAGAGCAGTTCATCGGGTTCGGTAACTGATAGCATTTGCACTACCTACGAGCAGCAGGCCAAACAACAGACACCGGACAAGGCGCAAAAGCAACCAACCGAGGACGTCAACATTCTGCAGAACTTGTTGATGGCTGAATCTGGAGGAAGCTCAAGCCACATACACAACAACAACAACAACAACTATAAAGAGGTGGCAGCTGCAAATGGTCATCATGAAAGCAAACATATAAAAACTGCAGAGGATCCACTTTTATCACACATGTTTGGCGGTACGTATAGAACAATATAAAACTATAATAACTTTTATAAATATTTTATTTTAAAAATATATACGAAATAGGAAAAAAAGTACACTTATAACTTATAATTGTTCTCTAAAAAAAGCAGAAAATCTGTTAATTATCTAAATCAATCAAATGTCCTTCAAAAATATTGTGTAGGAAAACCAAGATAGAGTCAATCTATAATCTGCCTTAATTGGTCTTTTGAATATAGATTTAAAAACTAGCTGGGTAGCTATATTGCCAAAGAAAATCTGTTATGAAAGACTAAAATTTCATATATTTTCATCGTTTACCCGTGAGATGGTAAAAATGTGATAATAAACCAGAATAAATCATAATTTATGTTTCCTAATATTATATATTATATAAATATAATTAATATACTCCAGTCTCCAATAGCTAAATAATATCTTAATTTTAAATAATCCTTTATGAATTTAATTCTTTACAGCACTTTTCCAATCAACCACCAAGCTGATGTCGAGCTCGAAAAAGTTAATTGAAACGGAGGCTACTGCCAGCTCAATGCAGCCATATAAATTTAATTATAGCGATTACAGTGACATCGATCATCGCTTGAAGCTCTATTTCTATCAGAGCAAATTCAAGGAGGTGGGCGAACACTTTAAGTGGCTGGCCAAGGGTCGGATATACAATGAGCAAACACAAACGATGCGCGACGGTATATTGGTTATTTCCACCAGCAAGTGTTACCTAATGGAAGCGTATGCAGATCCCCAGGATGATGTGGCCAAGTGGCTGCGCCAGGTGATTTGTGTGACAACGAATCGTATGACACGCATACGACTTTTACCCTGGAAACTGGGCCTGTCTTTCACACTACGGGACTGGGGTGGCTTTGTGCTAATACTGCAGGATACAATGCGAACAGATAATTTGCTATTTTACCTAGCAGGTAAATGGAATAGGCAATCAACTGTATATAGAAATATATTTATTTTCTATCAATTCCTTTGTTTCGCTAGAAAACCCGTTGCCCAAGGAGTGTGAAGTTATCCAGCATCCCTCGAATGAAGTAATTCAGCGTCTCAGTTCACTAGTGGCTGAACCAATTAAGATTTGTGCCATATTGAGCGGTTGCCAGTGGACTAGTGGTCAGGAGGAAGGCCACTTTGAACTTTGCACTCTGATCACAACCGATTCACAGTTGCATATTGCCGGCAATGGCAAATTCAACTGGATGGCATCCAATGAGGAGAGGCAGCCGCCAATCGAACTTTCGCTAACGCAGCAAATGAGCAACTTGGTGGAGGTGGACCGCTTGACGGATATCGAATATAATGTAAATTTCCTGGATGAAACCGAAAACAAAAGCGAAGTTTGGCATTTGCAATTTGAGACCTTGTCCAATGCCGAGCTGTGTTTAAATGCCATTGGCAAATCTTGGGAAGAGCTATTTGGCGTACAATTCAGCTATTCTGGAACGTAGTATTTCTCTATTGATGTGGGACTAACTATTTTGAATATCATATCGAAACAGACAATTTATACATAGCTAACAATTTTTTTATGCAAATATCGAAATTGAAATGTCAGCGTATTTATCCATTTATATATATTTAATGGATAAATTGAGTAGATAGTATATATAAATTGAGTAGATGTATATAAATATATATTTAATTATACTAATTTAAGTATGCAATCATGGACAATATTCACGCTAAGACAAGAAGTGTAAAATATGTTTGTGTAATATCTATTTTATATCACACTGTAAAATATGTACAGAAAATAATTCGTATAACCTATATATATATATAACCTTCTTATAACCTAAATATACTTTAATTGCCAAGAAGGCATAGTTAAAGCCAAACGACATACATAAATCTTATACTAATATTCATAGCTTGTGTTTATCAAACAAAGGCTTGCATTTTCAGCAACTAAATGAATTGCAAATTTTAGCTCTTTTAGATATTTCGAATAATGTTTAAGGAAAAACAAAGACTATGCCATTGAAGTGTCGCAGCAAAATCTATTTAACTGTTTCAGAATTACCTAATCATATTAATTCTATTGCCATAGATCAAGACAAAAGTTTTAAATTGTTGAAGGAATACAAGTAATGCAATGTGCGCGTATCTATCGTTCGATAGATGTCGCTGTTGGTAGCAATTAAACCACAGATGGCGCCACAGGTACCGTTTGACATTTGATAACTTTTAATAACTTAATAAATATAATCGAACGTTAAATCTTATTTGAAATTAACTAATATTTATCTTAAAATCAAAATAAAATTATAAATATTTGTGTTATGTACATTTATTAATTGTATTTGAGCTTTACATTTCAATTTAAACTCTTGCCGCCACCTAGCTAAAGTAAACCTCTTTAAATATATATATTTATATATGTACAATCACTGTCAACCTTCGTGATGATTTTATTTATCACCCAATTGTTCGGCTATCCAATCGAGATGCTCTTCCTTATAGCGCGGGTCGGCCATAATCAAAGCCGTTGACTTAGAAGTATAGTAGTAGTAAACGGACACTGTTAAGAAATATAAAATATTGCTTTATGTGACAAACTAGAGGGAAAGCTTGGAACTTACTAAGGCGCTGCAGCACGGTCAAAGCATAGAGTGCCAAAGGCCATTGCTGTGTGGATTCTGATGGTGGCAATCGATACTGGTAAATAGTCCAGGAATGCTGTGAGGCGGACAGCAGGAAGTAGACAGTAATGCTGAACAAAAATAGCTTGCAATTGCGTAGGATAATGTGGGAGGCGCCCACCTGGTAGACGCAAGTCGAATGTAGAGCCAATGTAAACAGCAAATACTCAATAATAATGAATGCGTCTTGAACACTGTAAATGATAAGGCAATATCTCAATTAAAACACATTCTGTCCGAACAACTCTTGGCACTCACATGAAAAAGAATATAGCTGTTTGAAGCTTATCCTGCGACAGCCAGGAGCCGAAAGCATTGAAGAACAAATCAGCCGCAAGCAAAGTGAGCTGTAATGCCACCAGCCATGAATATCGACGTAGCGTTAGCTTCATTTTAAGATTTCGATTTGGATTAAAAGATAACTTAAACTTTCGTTCAATAAACTGCCCACAGGTCTCTCGCTTATTTGTTTTGTTTGTGCCTATGTTGTGTCCTTCATCCTAGTGACGTCAAATGCGCCCACGCGAGCATGCGCGGACACACATTTTAATCGTCTATCGATAGGCAAAATAACGATTTGCGATTACGATAAGCTGCTATTGAAACTGTTAAAAAACGTAACGTAAAGTAACAAAATACTAATTTGAATCCCTTTTAGCAGTTATAACAAATTATAAGTTCTATTAAAAATGCATTTCCAATGAAATGTCAAATATTTATACTATTATTATTAAAATTATTATTAATAATGTATAAATTACGCTAAATCAAAAAAGCGGCAAGTGTGGACACTGCGTTCACGTCATACTCAAAACTTACTTCTTGTATAGCAACTCTCTGCTCTAACTAATGTAGCGGGATCAAAAGCATCGACGTCATTGTCGTGAGCGGAGGCTACACTCATACACATACCTGCATAGCCCTCTCTATTCACTTCGCTCTCTTTAAAGAGCTGGTACTAACAGGCCAAATATACAAATAACAGGATCGAAAGCATGAATGAGTACAGTCTTTGCACAGAAGCTCTGTGAGAGGTCGCCTGAGAGCTTATACGCTTACTATGCTCTTGTTTACTTACATTTTCTCTTTCAGATAATATAAAGTATATGTATATATAATATTTAATGAAAGTTCATTTTGTAAGTTACATAATTGAAATAAAAATAATATTGGAATAATGTTCAGTTGTTTATTTTATTTCGCTCTCTCGTTATTTTTATATTATTTTAGAGATAACGCGCATATTCAAACGGATGCGGTCGAGCTCGTCGCAGATCCTTTAGCCCTAGTCTGGAGTGCCTACGAAATATCACATAGTATTGTTGATTCAATTCTGAGTAGTAGTTGCTTGGCAACAGATGTGTCCAGCTGAGTTCGACTTGGTTGGGTTCCAGAAAATTGTACAAAGCGGAAAGTGATGACGGCTCAGATTCGACAACTGCTGCCGCTGCTGCTGCTGCTGCTGCTGCAGCTGGGAAACCCGAATTTGGGGTTAGCCGATAAAGCAGTGGTAGCACTAACAATAGTGTCGTCAATTTGGCCATTTGGAATTGGTGTTAGCCGGTCAGAGATTCACCCTACACCCTTCTCCTTGGTTACGCTAAACCGAACTGCAATTCCATTTGGGATCGTCAGCAGTTTGCACTTTTTCGCTTTGTGCTTTTTGCCTGCTATTGGTTTCTTGGCACTTTCCTATTTTCCAATGTGCTCAGCGTTTTTCGACAGGGCTATAAAGCGAAGAGCCTCGCCAGTGATCGACTACAGTCAGCCATTTGATTCCATTTCGAGCGCAACTTAAGACAGCACTAATTATAGCAATGGCATTCAACATTGGACATATCTTTCTGGTCACGATGCTGGCTGTGGTCTGCGCTGCAGAGACGATTCAATTGCAGCCAACGCAAGGCATCCTGATCCCAGCTCCTTTGGCCGAGAACATTCGTGTGTCGAGGGCTGCCTATGGTGGCTATGGCGCACCAGCTGCCTCCTACTCCGCACCAGCTGCTCCATCATATGCGGCAGCAGCTGCTCCATCATATGCCGCACCAGCTGCTCCAGCCGCGCCTGCCTACTCTGCACCCGCTGCTCCAGCTTACGCCGCCCCAGCACCAGCACCAGCACCAGCACCAGCCGCTCCCGCCTATTCAGCACCCGCGTCTATTCCATCCCCACCGTGCCCCAAGAACTATCTGTTCAGCTGCCAACCCTCACTGCAGCCCGTGCCCTGCTCGGCACCAGCTCCCTCCTACGGCTCCGCCGGCGCCTACTCCCAGTACGTTCCCCAATACGCCGTTCCCTTTGTGCGCGAATTGCTGTAATTGATTGATATTGACACTCGACATACCTGTTCCAATAAACTGAAGCTATAAAGAAAAAAATTGACTATTTGTGGTTTTATTGATTATAGATAATTTTAATGATATTTGATTCTCTAAACTAAACTTACAGTTTTTAAAGTAAATATCAAATTTTTATAAGGATATAACTATAGCAAATGTTTCTAGAATTGCTATGACTTAACTATCCCAGTTTAGCATTCCCATATATTCCTTAAATGAAATGCATACGAGTAGCTCTACAGTTCTTAATAGATCTATGTAAAATGCAGTTTTTTTTTTAATTATACAAATTTATTTTTATCTATTGTTGCCTGCCACTTGCTGCCTTTAAACAGTAACATTTTAAAAGCTTACAAAAATTGTTTATAAATATATTAATTAAACTTTTCATAGACATTTCCAGACGAAAGCGATTTTATTAATTTTATAAAATTTATATAATAATATATATGTGTACAATACATACAATTTTCAACACAAAAAATCACACCTTAAATGAAAACTATTAAATGTGATTATTCTAGTCATAGAACATATTTTTCTTTTTAAAAACAAATTTGAAATGTATATATAAATATATGAAATATTTAAAAATAATATTAATTATTTAGTGTGTGTATAAAAAAATTAAGTAGAAAAAAATATTTTTTTAATTTAAATAAATAAAATTTTAAAATAGTTTGTAATTCATCTTTAGATTATGCAGATGACTCGTGATATGTGTTCTATCTTCAGTTAAGCAATTGTCATTGCCTTAACTTAACTTTAGAGCACTTCAGCATTATAACATTAAATATCTTTATAGACAAATTGAAATTGTTTTTCTAGCTAACTTTCTTCATTTCAACTTTTGCCACAAGCTCAGCTATTTATTGATTATGACTAATTACGGCACACAATGTGAGCAGCTCGTCTATAGAGTTATTTTTAGAAATTTACCCAATGCACTATCTACAGACTTCCTTATCGATTACACCTTCGCCTTGCTACTCTTGCCTAACTGTAACAATTTGAGAATTCTATGCTTGCAGCTTGTGCAGAGAGAGCTTAAAGACCAATTGCATACAATGAATTATATTAAATTATTACAGATATTCTATATTTATGTTATTCTCTAGTTGCAGACCTATTTTATTAATAAATAATGAACCAATTCCTATTCAAGCAATTTTAATAACTTTAGCTGAATGATAAAAACACTATAAACAAACAAGAAAAATCTTTCTAGAATAAATATTTAAGAGACGATCATATTAAGTATGCAAACATCTTAAGATCTGAACAACCAGAATAAAGTATAATATAATTATTTCTATATTCTATGCCTGCCCATCTTATTTTATTTGAAATGTTTTCAATTCAAAGACATCTGTTTTCCAGCTGTCAATGTTTTCAAAACCCAACCATAATCAATCAATCTGTGTTTGCCTTTTCGGTTGACATCTTGCCTTCGCTCTAGCTGATAACCATCCACCCCGAACACAACAACATGAATGCAATTCTTAAGTTTGTGTTTTTATTTTTAGATATCAATATCAGTCCTTTGGTCTCTCAATAGCCACAATTGCCAGCTGGCGCTGCGTGGCCACAGGGCACAGGCTTCAGCACCGCTTCACAGGAGAAGACATAGTTTTTGGCACAGGGAGGCGATGGAACGCTGGGCGCCGCATATGTAACTGGCGCTGGCTGTTGTGGCTGCTGTGGCTGCTGTGGCTGCTGTTTCTCTTCTGGCTCCTCCGCATTGTAGCTGCGTCCAAAGCCGCTACTGAAACCACCGCCAAAGCCTCCGCCAAAGCCCCCGCTAAAGCCGCTACCGCCAAATGATGGCCTGCCGAACGGCGGTCCGCCAAAGGGTGGTCTACCAAAGCCTCTGCCCGGCAAATTGAAGTTATTCTCCACAACGACTTCCTGTACGATTTGCTGTTGTCGTGGTTGACGCACCAGCTCCACATTATCCCCCAGCTGGTCCGGCGTATACAAGCGTACGGGTATAAAGCGGTACAGCTGCCCAGTGGGGCTGCGCACACAGCGGCCATCACATTGGCCATTGACCAGGAAGACCTGGCAAAGGGAACTCAGCAGCAGCAGCAGCGCAAAAGGCGCCCAGTGGGTGGCGAACATGGTGATCTGATCAGTACAGGCAGGTAACTAAACACCTGAAATACTATGAAGCTGTAAACTGAGACTAGCCAGCAATTGGGTGCAAACAGTTGCTTTTTATTAATGCGAAAATTTGCAGCGTCAAGCGGAAATGCAGCTCAGGCCAAATAGCACACAATGCTTCAAGGTAAAGCATTTGGGCTAACTGGGTTACTTGGTCAACATGGGGCCAAGGCTAATGGCGTCTCAAGCACTGTTACCATGAAATACATTTCCTTTACGCATCCTAAACAAAGTCTGCAGCCACATGTCAAAAACTTTGTTTAGGCTGCCGGCAGTTCCGGCTGGCCAACATCTGTTAGCCACTTGTGTATATCTTGTTAACAAACAAAGTTAGCTTCGGCCATTGAATGGGGTTGTCAACTTTATCGCTTATTTTGCAATCAACAATTCTTTTACTTTCTTTACACAAAAAGGTCAAATCAAAACAAAATTAGCTTGGTTCAAAGACCTCATCCATTATATGTGCAATTTTGTTAAAATTTTATGGATAAAGTGGGAAAGCAAAAGTGCTTAATAAACATATATACGCAATATATATTATATATATGTATATATATATAACTACACAATATGCTGATCTAAAGTTTCTTGCCATTTTTGTAGGCGTTGCTCTTGATTTGGTAAAGCTTGCTTAAGTTTATGTGGCTCAGAGAACTGTAAAAATATTGTGCTTAAAAAATGTACAAGCTAAGTTAAAATGAAAAAAAAAAAATAATAAAATAAAACTTTTGTACATAGTAACAGAATTTCTTTTTTTATATTTATGATATACTCTAACATGTCAAAAGAGAGCATATTGACTTTGTGTCTCTAGCTGTGGGCACATAAAAGTCGTAGCTTAATTTGGAATAAACTGTGTTCATATGTTGCCTTGTCTATAGAATCTTAGGATTTTCTTAGATACGCCCATTAAAGGCTGGGAAAATTATATAATATTATAATATTATGTTTGGTAGAAATTTAAAAATATATACTAAATATATACTCTAATATCTATGTTAAGCTTATATGACTACGACCACGCACAGAAAAGCGCCTTCTACAGTTTCTCTATCTCTTAAATCCAATTCAAACTGATATATACGCCTTCTGTGAAGCGCTAAGCGTGGCTTTACAGAAAAAGCTGATCGAATGGGTCTAGTATGTTCTCAAGCTGATATAAAATTCAAAAATGTGGCTAAGTGTGTAAAGGACATCCTGTTTAAGGGTAAGAGCTTCGAGTTATAAAAGAGAAAAGCTTGCTCCGCTTTAGATAGAGTTCTTTAAAATTCAAGTCAGAAAAATATTTTGGAATGAAATGGAAATATTGCTATGTCAGCAAATGGTTGATTACACATATTCCTAGAAGGGTATTGATACTTACTCTACTCATGCTTTTCTCAAAAAAAATAATTTCAATATAATACCAAGCTTTAGTTTAGCTCTCAATAATCTCAAGTGTAAGCAAATTGTTTATTTATTACTTTTGATATATTACATAATTTAATATAAATAAAAAATGTATATAAATAGGTAGAATATAGTTAAAGTAGAGTTCATTTAATACCTGTAAAAAAGCACGTTTGTAATTCAATTCCACAGAAAAACGAAATTCGTTTCACTTTCATTTGGAAGTTTGTCTAATGTTTCAGATTAAATAGAAATTGATATTTAATTCGATACGGATTTTATTGTTTGATTTTAGTGGAATAAATAGTTACTTATACCCAGGTATTGGATGACAACTTAAAACGAACAATTCAATCGAACAGCTGCTTAATCAGCAATTCTGAAGAGCTGTTTAGCTAGAGTAAGGCTGGAAAAACGTGAATAAAACATTTGAAATTTATAATTATGCAAATAGATTTATTGATTTTTTTTAACATTTTCTTTAAGCATGGCTAAGATTTTGGTTTCTCGGCAGCTTGGGAAGCCGTGTCAGATTCAAGTCCTCAGATGCGTTGATCTTCTAGTATTGGTAGCCGTAGGCCTGGGGCAAGTAGGCAGCGCCGAAGAGGTTCTGCTGATGCTGGGGCACGCCGTAGTTAGGGGCAACATAGCTGGCCACGGGCGAGGAGTAGGCACCGGCAGATCCGTAGCTGGGAGCTGGAGCGCTGCATGGCACTGGCGCCAGATTGGGCTGGCAGCTGAACAGGTAGTTCTTGGGGCAGGGAGGAGCTGGCACACTGGAGGCGCCGTAGCCGCCGGAGCTGCCGCCATAAGCCGACTTGCGCAGACGGGTCAGATCACCGTAGCCCTGGCCATCAGACTCGACTTCCTGGTTGGCAGTGGCCACCGAGCTGCTGCCAGTGGGATTGGGCAGAGCGGAGGCGAAGATGGTGATGAGAGCAAAGCACACGAAGAATTTCATCTTTAAGCTGTTGATTCTTTAGCTGTTACCAAAGGTGACTGATGCCAACTGTTAACCCACACTCGGCTTATATAGCTAAACTTTGTCAAGTTGGCACAAAACGAACGACAAGTGGCTTCGACTAGTCTTTTACCTCTGACTTTCGCTGAATCAGCTATCGTTGATCACCCTTTAAAGTGCACTAAGACTAGTATTGAAGTAAAGCAACAATTTGTGCCACCATTTGCATTTCAGCCCATTACTATATGGACTCACATATATTCTAACTGAATTGGATTATATATAATAATTAAAAGGGGTAAAAGTATGTCATCCTATTGTACATCTGCTTCTATCTTAACTTAATAACTTAAGCAAAATTATCTATTGAATTAAGAACTATACTTATACCTATACCTATATCTATACTTATACTATCTATACTCATGCTCTTGCTTAAGCCAAAACCTAGGCTTCCTCTTATACTCTATCACATAGTTAAAGGAGTATATTAATTTCATGCAAAGTCTGTCTTGCTGCTCGCCTGTTGATCTGTGCCGATCTGCTCTTTAAAGTGGGGACTTTTAAATATATAGATTCGTCTTGTAGGATGTTGAAATATGCAGTTAAAAAGACCTTTAAAATGTATAGGCAACATTTCTACTCAGATTTGGGCTATGCTCTTTTTTTCACAATTAGCTACAAATTCATAATTTCATAATTAATAATATTCATAATTTACGCAAAGGATCCTCCACAATTTTGCTGGGGATCGGCAAACGGAGCTATAAATACGCCAATGGGGTCATATCACATCTTAAAGTAATGACTTTGTAAAAGGTGCATATGCTTTTAGACTACGAACGAGTATTATACAGTCGAGACCACCCGAGTGCAATGCTTTTACTTATTACACTTAGATCAATGTAGATACAGACATCATTTTATCAAGCACAATGCAGCAGTTTGAAGGACATTTCCAAGTGATATATATTAAGCTGTAATATTGAACCTTTTTCTACTCTGTCAAATCAAAAATTCTATATGATTTTCAATTTCCAAACACAAAACAAAGAAAACAAAAATCGCCAGCAACTGAAGTTATTCAACTGGCAAAGGACAGACTCACACCATTTGGCTAGGCAAGGGACACACATACTTTATTGTCTATTGTTGATTGATATATTGTATATTGTATATTGTATTTTGTATTGTATATTTTATATTGTATATTGTATAATCCAGCTCAAACCTTTGCTTCACTCTTAGCTCAAATGTCAGCCATGTGTTTGTAATATTAGAGTTTTTTATAGATCTCACTTCGATGGTCTCATAAATGTAATATAATATTGATGGATGATTAATTCCTATGCCAGCTACGCAAACTTTCCATATATTCTTGCTTTCATAGGAACTAGTTTATAATAGCTCAATTGCTCATATAATTTATAGCTAAAAATAATAAGCCTTGCTACAATTAAATATAACTAGACTCCCAGCGTATAATTGGCTAACTGACTGGACCAAGTCAAGAACTCATCTGAATATCAATCCCTAGGATGCCCATTTCTAAACAGCAAACAGTTGCCTTAAGAATTCTAGAGCAATAAATCAGAGTTGCTTAATTATTAAGAACCCACTGCAAAACCAAAATAGACGAAACCCATTTTACGATTGTTTATCAATTTAATTGAAGCACATTTTTTTTTAAACATTTTCTTTAAGCATGGCTAAGATTTTGGTTTCTCGGCAGCTTGGGAAGCCGTGTCAGATTCAAGTCCTCAGATGCGTTGATCTTCTAGTATTGGTAGCCGTAGGCCTGGGGCAAGTAGGCAGCGCCGAAGAGGTTCTGCTGATGCTGGGGCACGCCATAGTTAGGGGCAACATAGCTGGCCACGGGCGAGGAGTAGGCACCGGCAGATCCGTAGCTGGGAGCTGGAGCGCTGCATGGCACTGGCGCCAGATTGGGCTGGCAGCTGAACAGGTAGTTCTTGGGGCAGGGAGGAGCTGGCACACTGGAGGCGCCATAGCCGCCGGAGCTGCCGCCATAAGCCGACTTGCGTAGGCGGGTCAGATCCCCATAGCCCTGGCCGTTGGCACCCTCAACATCAGATTCCTGGGCTGCAGCGGCGCCAACATTGCTGCCACTGCTGCTGCCAGTGGGTGTGGCCAAGGCGGAGGCGACGATGGCGAAAAGGGCGAAGCACACAAAGAATTTCATAATGAAGCTGTAGATGCTGCTTTAGTTACCAAAGATGACTGATGGAATTTCCAATTTCCCGTCAACTTTATATAGCTCGACAGTTCTTCTGCCCTCTGCCCAGCTGGCACAAGTGGCTTTAACAATGTGCTTTGGCTTTGAAATTTTGGACATTTCTTAAATTTACGCTGAGTTGGCCGAAACATGCGACTTGAGTTCTTTTTGGGGTCATGTAAGCGTGTATGAATTCTTATTTTTTGTGTTGTTGCTTAAACTGGGTTGGCGAAAAATTCTAGAATGAGTGGAAAATGTGGCCACCGAGCTGGGTGGGTGGCTTGATTTTGACTCGTTTGCATGTTGCACAATGCTAAACGTAGCCTCATTTCATGAGCCAGCTCTACTTTAAGATAAAATAGCTCACCATTTTGCTAGCCATGTGAATATTTTCATATTTCGAAATACATTTCGAATTTGTGTTGAGTTAACAAATGATTAACACTTGGAAAATTTTTCAAATCCAAAATCCAAACTTAAAATTACTAAAATATTCGATCAAATTATATTTTGAAGATAGCAAATATTTTCTAATATTGTTGAAGCATTCACTACATTTTTAAATTATTTATTATTCATAAAATATATACTAACGCTATTAAGTCAGCTGCTTACAATTTCCAGTTGTCTGGCATGTTTATTTATCTAAAGCTCGTAACAAAATGTTGATTAGATTTTGCATGTCTAGGAAACAACTGGGGAATTCTTTCGATAACGCGACTATCCGATCACTCACCCAGTTTCAAAGATAAAATATATGAAAAACCTAAACTAAATCTGTTATGCGAATCTGTTTACAATGCTTGTTTGAATCAGTTATCTATAAAATTCTTTGTTCGTGAGTCTTATTCTAAGTATAGCACATGAATACTTTATTAATTTCCTGCTATCTGTATAATTTTTGTGGGAAATCTTTATATATTTTTCTAGAATATATCTGCTATATTTTTATTTTTTTTTAATATTCCATCTTAATTTAAAAATGTTCTAATTCATTTTTTAATTTCAAAAATTTGTATGCATTCCATTTTATTTATTCAATTGCTTTAGCTGCTTTTGTATGTATATTTTATGCCTAAAAATAAATTTATCCATATACATGTGCAACATAATTCATATAAATTCTACAGTTTCATTTATTTACTATATACATATATACATTTTTTTTACTTATGCTTTTTTAAATAAAAAAAATCTATTAAATGTATTTAATATTTATATATATATATATTTATTTATATATTTAATATTTATTTCAATTTCTAATATTTCTATATATAATATATATTTATTTTGTGATTTTACAATATATTTATATAAGACATAAATCAAAACGTTTATTTATTTCGTATCTAATTCTTAATAATATCTTATCAAATCTTATAAAATATCTTATCAAATTTAAATTATTTTATTAATTATCTATGTATATTTAAATATATAACTTTTTTAATTATTTATTTATTTTTTGTTTTTTTTTTTAGTTAGTAATTTTTATTTATTAATTTTTTTGCTAATGTATTCATTTATTTTTTATTAAATTATATTTTTGTGTATACATACACTATTTATATATATATATATATATATGTATATATATATATATATATATATATTTCTTTATGATTTATTTCTACGCTGTAAGAATTTGTCATAATTTTAAAAAGTATATACAAATATAAATAAAAATAAAGCATACATATCATTTGATGATTCAAAATGAGTCAAAACTGAGCGAAGCGACTGCAAGTGCCAACGACCCACATTTTGGTTTGAGTTTCGGAAATTTATTACATACAACCTCAAAGCAGCTACATAAATACAAAATTAAATATAAATTTCGTAAATGTAGAAACAAATGAAAATTTCCACAACATTTTTTCTAAATACAAACATTTACAGTATGGCCACAAAAGCCCCCCGCCAAAAAGCAACCACTGCGATTGAACAAACCACAAATTCATATATATATTTATACATGTATATATATACTTATACATATACATACATAGTGGTATGTGGCACCCGGACTTAGTAGCTCCCATACAGTCCAACGCCTCGTAAACTGCGGGAAAATGCATTGAGCATAAGCAAGCCGAAAGTTGAATACACTTACAGGCAAAACAACTACAAATATTGTAGGTATTTTTTTAATTTTACAATATTTCTTGAATATTTGTTGGCCCTTGTTAGCTTAGAGCTTATTTGCTTGCTGGTTCAAGCGCATATATCCTCTTGGCAGTGCATCGAGATCGCTTCATTTGGCATCAGCGTTGGCGGCGACATTGGCGCTATTTTTGAGACCCCGCATGCGGTGGGATTGCAAGTGCCCATCAGCAACAGCAGCAGTAGCAACAGCAGCCGAGGCAACATCATCGATCAGCCCCCCTCACTTTTTGGAGAGAGCTGCGCACACATGTTGTTTCACATGTCTGCTGTTTATGTGCTGTTCAATTTTTAGGATCATTCTGTTTGTACACTCACTCAATTATGCCGGAGAGTCGGCGGCGCTGCTTCTGAGAAAATCAGTGTGGGGTAGTTTTTCGTGAAGACAAGATCCCTGATCTGGCGTATCGTTGCGCCAGAGTCAGTCACTCACTCACTTTCAATTGTTGCTCTTTGAACTCTGTTCTCGAGTGGTTGTGAGATCACTTAATAACTCAAGACACAACTTAGCGATGGCAATGTCTACAGATATAAACGAGTCAACTGATTGCAAACTAATTTAGATTAATAACATTTAGACCAATAAACAACTTGATATTACAGCAGACACCGAGGTGTCGAGAGGCACATCAGACTTGGCTATATATGGTCAATGTAGAAGTACAATCTCCAAATCGGGTACAATTTCTATTATAAATAACTCAAAGTACTTTAAATTTTATCTTTTATAACTGTAAAATTATTGTTTACTAAACTCAAATTTACTTAATTATTTTTGTCTGTAATTTTATGCATATAATAAAATTTCATTTAATTTATTTGAGATTAAATTATTAACTAAATTAGTTTAATACATGTATAATATATACTTATATCTTAGTTAATTTTTAAAAAACGCTTATTTATCATTTCTGAGTGTTCCTAAAAGCCAAATGATATCAACAAATTGAGAACAACTTTTCCAGAAATTAATTTTCGATATAATTTTTTCAGCGCAAGTGCAGCTTAGTCGAGATATAGGAATATTAGGAATTATTTATTTCTTAATATTCTAATATTCTATAAATAATTTTTTATATACAAGTTCTTAGTTTTCTTATTCCACAACCAAAATTAGCAAATCTAAATGCACTTTGTACTTTACCACATGAGTTTAAGGACTTTTATCTATACTTTAGTATAGTCGATAATTATTTTGAGCACCCGCATGTATTTGCCTAGCTTACTTAAAACACAATACATCATAAACTGTCTGATAAATGTCTGCATATTACAAGAATCCAATTCCAACTCATAACATTCATGTAAGCAAAGGGCTAATAATTTTGAATAAGATTACTTATATCAGTTTTCTATTCATTAAATGGAAACTATTCCAAAATAGAAATGCATGTTAAGCCATAAAAACCCCAGTCCTGCACTACACAATACTAGTTCAACTGCAGAATTGTCTGTTGACTAATTAAAAACAAATAAATTTATTGAAATTTTCCAACAGCTGAACTGAAGAATTTCCGAGTCTCTCTATACAGTTGGTTGACATTCATATAACTACAAAACTTTGTGAGCTTAGCTTTAAAACTTTCGAAAATATAATTTTATTTTTATTTATTTTTTATCAAAGGTACTTTTTAGGTGTGTCTATGTACGCTTTATTTAATAAATAAAAAACCAGCAGCAATGCATTAATTAAATTTGTTGATTAAATTTATATATATATATATTTACTGAAAGGATAGATACAGAAGTCAATTTTGTTTAATTTTAAAAAGACTAAGATACAGTAAGACTAGAGCTGGAATGATATAGAAGATATTCAACTGAGTTCACTAGGCGTGCGGTATTCTGAGCATGTACAGCGTATATGGTATATTTATATATATAAATGCACTCAGTCTCCAGAATATGACTCAAAAATAATACGATAAAGCGATAGTGGTTTGCGGAACTATATAGTATATTAATTTCTGATTTGCCACGCGTTATTAGGCGTGCAGTAGAAGAGGTGGAAAATAATACCTATATTATATAGGCTGTCTGCATACACAATATATCAAAGTCTCTTTCGAGTCTATAGGTTAAAAATTTACTTATTAAAACTAAAAGATAATATTAGAATAATGCTAATCATTGAAATCAATTCAGCTAAAGAGAAATGCCATGAAATATTAATAAATTAAATAATTATATTATGAACTAATTAGAATAAAGACTTAGGTTAATTAAGTAAACTAATAAAAATTACTTTGTATACACAAAGTACCAAAATGTAAAATCTCATGATATTAACAGAAATTAAAAAATAAAAAAATTATTACTTTACACTGATTGCTTTATCAACAATTCATAATGGATTTAATATTAAAAAATAGTTGCTATTCTTTAGTATGAATAATGAAGTGAGTAAATCCAGCATTAAACTAAATAGTTTAAGATTGACGAAACACAAGTTGAGCTAAATAACAATCGCTTGAGATACTCAAATGAACTCAATGATCTTCGCTGACATCACACGTTGCAGACAAAGTGAAGATCACTCAGAAGATGCCAAGCAATTGAATCAGAGAAACTCACTTGATCTTTGGCATGATCATACAGCGTTTGCTGATTACGTCGTAAGATGTGAAGATCTTGGATAGTTCATCTGCAGAGTAACCGCTAATTTATTAAGCATATTTTCCGCTCACTCAACAGGCGATTAGATTATGTAAACGGCGTCACGCTCTGTAGCGATGAGATGCATGCCTCAACAAACGATCAACGCCCAGACCTAGATCCAAGACAAAGTCTTTGACTAAATGTAGCAAGAAGTGCGTGCCACATGCAAAGTGAGACAATGAAACAGCAAAAGACGTGGATGACCAGCTGAGTGCAGGCCTCCGCCTTCGGCTGCGGCTGCGTCTGCGTCTGCGACTGCGACTGCGGCTCTGGTTGCCAGGCTGTACACCAACGGCAGGCAGGCAACTTTCACTTGGTCACGGTCATGGTCAGGGGCTCTCTGGTACATTACCCGGGGCCTGTTATCGCATTTCATAGCCCCGATGCTTGATGCCCGCATAGTGTTGATAGGAAGTCTCTGTTTATCTTGTGCAATTTGTTATGGAATTTGAATTTGAAAACGAAATGAAAACGGAGACCAGCCAACGACCAACTGACTGACTGACTGAGGCGATTATGGCTCAAATTCTTGCCAACGTCATCGTCCATACATACATACATGCATATATATAGATAGATATGAAAAGAGAGGCATAATAATAACAGGAAGAGGCAGCAGAGTAACAAATCGGCTCCGCACATATGCGATAAATACGAACCGATGATGGGAGTCCGGGACCTTGACAGCTCAGACAAAATATATACATACACACATATATATATATATATATATATATATATATATATATTATATATATATATACCCTTGCCGATAAACAGCTACTGTGCATACAAAACGGAAGTCATCATAGCACGCAACTGCAAAAATTCATCTGGGAAGCTGCATAGAATTTTCTCAACTTAAATAACTTCGTTTGGCAATTTTATTAAGCGAATAACTAAGTTAGTTATTCATATACATTTTTTTAAACATTAAAAAATAAAATATTATATATAAAATATATATATATTAAAATAATAAAATATTAGTAATAATCTTGCTTAAAGCAAAAATTTCAAAATTCTTATTCTAAAAATCTTGAAACTTAGAAAAATATTTTACAATTAGAAAATTATATCAGAAAAAATTAAAGAACAATTTTCAAAATTAAATCAGGCATTGTTAAGTAAAAATTATACATATACAATATAGAAAATATAGTTTCTTTATAATTAAATTGTAAAAAAATGTTGGAAATATTTTCTTATATTTTTTACTTTATTCTTACCAACTCATTGTTAAAAAAAAGTACGAAAAAAAAATATATCAGAAGAATATAAAACTTTCGTCAAAAATAATATAATATATATAATAATATTTCTATATTTTGATGAATTTATGTTGTATATTCGCTTATTTGTTTTTAATTTTTTATAATATTAAATTGTGCATCAAAATATATTCACAAAGCAAAAGTTCGCAGACTTCTTGAAAATTTAAGATTTGTTTTAACATATCCTTCATCAGCATCGGAGACTGGCTTAATCATCAAAATGATGTCCATTTTCGTTTACAAGATCTCAACGTTTTCGAAAATATTAAGAGATAGAAATATCTAACGAATTAATGCATAACATTTTTTAGCTGCAGGAGTTCCTATATTCATTAAAATATATTTCAAGATTTATTAATTATTATTATCTACGCAAATTTTAAATAGCTTATTTTAATGTATATTTTATATATATGTATAATTAAATTTTTAAAACTATAAATTGATTAAAAATGTTGATCTCAGTAAGCTAAGAACTAGCTTCTAGGCACATTTTCTCAAATATCTCAGTATTATATACATTAAAAACAGTTTGGAATGTTTTTTGTTATCTCTTGATTTTCCTTCATCTTTAAGCTAAAGCCAAACATTTTTTAAACACTTTCTTACATTCTTTATCAGTATACACACTCAAGGAAATGTGGGCATTTATATCTATATGAATAAATATATATAAAATAGTCTGAGTTCAGCTCTGCACAATTGTAATCAGGTCTATTATGTATAATTCTTGTTATGAATATATATTGAGTATTTGAATAAATAAATTAAATGAATTCTGCTGCATAAAACTTGAAGCATGATGAGATATTAGCTCATAAAAAAACTCAGCTCCTCAAGAAAAATTACAAAGAAATATTCCTTCTTAGTGCATAGAGTCATTGTCTTGAATATCACTTATATTTAAAGACAGTACTATATTATACACATTTACCATTGGCTCAAGTTATAAAAGTTCAAGCCAAGCTAAGCTTGCAGCATTATTAACCTAAACCCTTTCAAAATTATATTTCCAAACATAATTTATATAATTAGCAATAATATCTAATTATTCAGTTACCTAAATATAAAAGTTCTTATCCCTAAGATCTGGAGAGCCATGAGCTGAAATTCATGACTCGAAATTCCCACGCCCCAACCAATTTGCAAATCAATAAACTGACAATCCAAACAGCATTTACATACATTTTATTTACAGTTAAGTCTTAATGATCTTTCCAGTATTCATCTACTATATATATTCCTTTCGTCCAAGGCCAAGCGGTAGTTGTATTCTTGGAAGAGTTCGGGTGCCACTCGATAGGGTTGATCAATAAGAGACAATCGAATGGGCGTCTGGCAAGAAGAGGAGCTATAGGCAGCTGCTGGTGGTGTTGGCTGTGGTGCTGGTGGCGCTACATAGGCAGGAGCTGGAGCTGGTGCTGGGGTTGGTGCTGGGGCAGGTGCCGTTGGGTAACTATAGAAAGGCACGCTCCATATGGGCATGTAACCTGCGCATGTGGGTGCATTACAAGGTGCGGGTGGTGCTGGATGTGGGGCATAAGCAGGATTTTCTAGTGGTGCTGGAGCTGGTTGCTCGTAAAGCTGCTGTGCTGGTGGTGGTGGTGGCTGTTCTGTTGGCTTCTCATAGTTTAGCTCCGACTGTTTCAACTGGTTGGCCAGTTCATCCTTAGCAGCGGGCGAGGTCGACAAATAAATAATGGGTTGATATACGATTTGCGGTGGCTGTGCACCACTGTAGGTCTTGGCAGGTTGCGCATACTCTTCCACTTTGCTGTAGCTCTCTGGTGCTGGTGCTGGTGCTGGGGCAGGCGACTCAGGCTCATAGCTCGGTTGTGGTGCCGGTGGTTCATAGCCGGCGGCTGGCGGCTCAGGCGTCGCGTATTCTACAGCTTGTGGTGGCGGTGCTGGTACTGGTGCTGGTGCCACATAGCCTGCATCTCCATCGCCGGGACCATCGTAGCTGGGGTTGGGCGTCTCATAGCCGCCGCTAGGTGGCGCTGGTGCCGCATTGTAGTCAACTGGAGCCGCTGGCTGTGGCTGCTGAGGCTGTGGCTGTGGCTGCGGCTCAGATGGACCATAACCTTCGCCGCCATAGCCAGGAGCAGGTGCTGGAGCATAATTGTTCAGCGGCTGCTGGCCACCACACTGGCCGCACTGACCCGCACACGTATTGCCCCACAGATCGGGCAGTTTCTTGAACAGTTGCATTTGCTTAAAGGGATCCAGTTGGTTCAGCTGCAATCCATTGCAGTTGTTATTCGGGATGACAGGTAAGCCGGGCGGCAAATTATTATTGTAGAGCAAATTATTGTTGTTGCCGTTGCAGCAATTGTTTTGTCGAAATAAGTCTTCCCACCACTTCATGAGCGATCGATTCGTACGCTTCAGTTCAACATTTGGACCCACTGTGGAGCCCGCATCGGCCATCAGGTAGTACAAGGGCTGGCCAGGTGTTGCAATGCTATTGGACATGCTAGCTTCATCGCGCTGGAGCGCCTGCGCCTCTGCGCACCAACCAATGAGGCAGCAGCAACCGCAGAGCAATGCGACCTGCAAACAGTTCCAGGAATTGTGCATTTTGCGTTGACGTTTCCAAATTTAACCTCGTGTCGCGAATTCCCAACTGCAACTATTCGAACAAACTTCGATTGCATCGAAATAATCGTCCAAAGTGGCCCAAAAAAGTGCTAGACTTGCACCTAAATACCCTGACCACTGAAGGCGTCACAACTTGGGCATAGTTGGCTAGAGAAACTAGTCAAACTAGTCTGATATACCTACATCTATATCTATATCTATATCTATATCTATATCTATATCTATATCTATATCTAATCTATATCTATATCTATATCTATATCTATATCTATATCTATATCTATATCTATATCTATATCTATATCTATATCTATATCTATATCTATATCTATATCTATATCTATATCTATATCTATATCTATATCTATATCTATATCTATATCTATATCTATATCTATATCTATATCTATATCTATATCTATATCTATATCTATATCTATATCTATATCTATATCTATATCTATATCTATATCTATATCTATATCTATCTATATCTATATCTATATCTATATCTATATCTATATCTATATCTATATCTATATCTATATCTATATCTATATCTATATCTATATCTATATCTATATCTATATTATATCTATATCTATATCTATATCTATATCTATATCTATATCTATATCTATATCTATATCTATATCTATATCTATATCTATATCTATATCTATATCTATATCTATATCTATCTATATCTATATCTATATCTATATCTATATCTATATCTATATCTATATCTATATCTATATCTATATCTATATCTATATCTATATCTATATCTAATCTATATCTATATCTATATCTATATCTATATCTAATCTATATCTATATCTATATCTATATCTATATCTATATCTATATCTATATCTATATCTATATCTATATCTATATCTATATCTATATCTAATCTATATCTATATCTATATCTATATCTATATCTATATCTATATCTATAATCTATATCTATATCTATAGGGTATCTGAGCTTCTACCTTCCCTTGCATTACTTTAATTATTAACAATATTCATCGACGACCTGAAGAATCGTTTGGTTTTTCATGAATTTCGCAATGGATGTGTTCTAACCCGGTTAGTAGAAATCCAATCGCAAGAGCTGTGCCAATTCTGGTCAGAGCTTACTCAACCCAAGAGCTTGACAATGGTCGAGGTACATTGACTTGGAGTCTAAATTGGATTTGTATTATATATACATATATATATTTATATTTTTTTATATATTTATTTAGTTTTGGTTTTGTTTATTTAAATTGTGTTACGTGCTTAACATGAGCAATCAGCAGATTGCAGCTAAGCGCTGAGCTCCACTGGGCCCGACTTGTTGCCAGCAAGTAAATGGGTTCCTGTTTGGTCCGTGAAGCGTAGCTGCTATACAGACGTGCGCCAGTGTAAGACAAAATGCGCAAAGCCCCCAACGGAAGTATATAATACATCAAAGAAAAGGTATAAAAAATAAACTGCATAATAAATATGTACAAGAGTATTTATATAAAATACTTCCTTAAGTGGCCATTGGCTTATTCATCGGCAATAAACTGGGCGTCAAATACACCATTGACTTGGAAGACTCCGATCGAGCACAAAGCGTAGACTCAAATTAAATAAGTAAGAGTGCTCTAGACGCAAGTGAACAGCTCGTAGATACCCTGTAGATTGGTTGGGAATGCAGTTGTATCTGAAATATATGATTAAGCCTGGTTTCAACTGAGCTTAAGACGTAGTTTTGAAATAAAAATAATAAAATATATATAAATAAATTAATAAATATATTTACATATTTTTATTAAAAAAATTTATTTTTGGTACTTGATTCACAATTATAAAAAATATACTTATACACATGTTCATTAAAAAAAATATTATTTTTTTGGCATTCATCGACTCAGAAATAACAATGGTGCAGACAGAATAAATTATAGGCACTGCTAATTGGAGAAATCTCTCCATTAGCCAATATAATAGCATGCACTAAATATGTTATAAAATTGCTCATATATATTATTTATTTATATATAATAATCTAGAGTATTGTATAATAATAATTGATAAGAGATTTTCACAATTCAGCAACGAAATTAAAAATTAAAATATATTAAATTATTAAATATATATATATATATATATATATATATATATATATATATATATATATATATATATATATATATATATATATATATATATATATATAATTTAATATATTTTAATTTTTAATATATATGTATATATATAATATATATATACATATATATATATATATTTGTAGCAAATATTCCGTCGACTCTAACTGCAAGTGATTCAGAAGGCGCTGCCAAAGAGCTTGAATCATTTCCTTCTTTAAACCCATAGCAATACATTTAAATATAAATTTGAATATAGTAAATTTATATGCAGTTAGTCAACTATATGTGAATAACAATTTAAAGCATAATTATAGAATATAAACACTCGATTTATATCAAATCAAATATTAAAAGCAGCAAATGTTAGATGTAACTGTTTTTATTTTTATTAAATTTTTGGTTTCTATATGAATATGTATTTATTATATATGCTTTTATTTATTATATATATTTTTATTTATTATATACATTTTTATTTATTATATATATATTATTAATTAATATATTTTTATTTATTATATACATTTTTGTTTATTATATATATTTTTATTTATTATATATTTTTATTTATTATACATATATTATTAATTAATATACTTTTATTTATTATATATATTTTTATTTATTTATTATATATTTTTATTTATTATATATTTTTATTTATTATACATATATTATTAATTAATATATTTTTATTTATTATATATATTTTTATTTATTTATTATATATTTTTATTTATTATATATATTTTATATATTTTTTCTCAGATACTATGCATCTGTCAATGTATTTTCCAATGCTCGAAGCACTTCAGAGAATTATCTGATTTGTGATTTTCTTCAGTTATTCCTGCGTCCTTATCTGCTCAAGGCAGGAACAACAAAAACTTAGGGCAGGGACGTCTGGTATTATGTTGTTAGCAACATCATGATTGTGTCTTGGCCAAAGACACTCCAAAGAATGTCATAGCAAAACAGATGTCAAATATTAACTTAATGTTAAAATTGACAAATGTGTTAACATAACTGAGTCACATGAGCAGCGAGTTAAACACATTCAAAGTTGAATAAGGCCAGATTTGAGATACTTTTTGAGCAGACCTCGCACGATAGCAAGCACGATTTTGTCCTATTTTATGCAGAGTTGGCTTAGAATAGTATATAAATACACAGAATTCAGTTAACTATGAATTTATGAACTGCAAAACATTGAGCCAAAGACGATACTCAGTTGTGCCTTTGGAAGAATGGAAAGCACTTCTTGGCTTTATACATATCTGTATCTATCTATATCTTATATCTGAACATACACAGCGCTCTCTTCGAAGTTAAATAACTAATTGGCTTTATTGTTGTTTAGTTTTTTTTTGCACAGTGTAAAAACTTATACTAGTTAAGATCTACAATCGGTGAAGATATTTGCGCTTCTGGGAACTATTGTTGCTGTAGCGTGCATTTTGACGCTTGCGCTTGTTGTCGGCCTTCAGTTTTTCCTCTCCTTTCTTGATCAGTTGTTCGGCATTGAGAGCTGAGTCCGAATCCTCGTCATCGTCGGCCTGAGAAGATGACTTTGGCGCTTCGGTGTTTTCGTGCTCATCTTCATCGTCGTCCTCCTCGCTTTCGCCTTCGCCTTCGCCGTGGTCAGCTTCAACTTTTTTCTGTTCATCCGATTCAGGGGTGGCACCAACAGTTGATTCAGTTGGCTGCAAGCTGTCCTTAGTAGTTGGCGCTTTTGTGGAGCTGCTGGACAAGTTCTGGGTAAAGACATTGGGCAGCGCTGCTGTTGTCGCTGTTGTCGTTGACGTTGCACTCACGTCGGGTGCACCGAACAGGCGCAGTCTGGTGGGCTGGTGAGTCGTTGGCACTGGATCTCCTAGAATTCTATTAAAAGGATTAAATCGATTCAGACTGCCGAACGGACCAAAGGGATTCAGAACTGGCGCTATGCCAAATGGTGCACCCACTTGTGGAGACATGCCGAAAGAGGCGCCAACCTCAGGAGCTCCGATGCCATAAGCCGGTCCAGCATGCGAGCCCATTCCAAAGGCAGACCCCACATGAGGCGATGCCAAGCCAAAATGTGGCGCTACCTGTTGATTCATGCCGTATGGCGAACCCATTTGTCCCGCCAAGCCGAATGGTGCCCCAAAGGGATTGCCCACCATTGAGTCACGTGCCGCAGAGGCAGGCCCTGAGCCAGGCACAGCCAAGTAATGCGTCGGCTGCTGCTGGCCATAGCAGGGCATGGCTATAATCACAGGCTGCAAGCTGGGGCACGGAGCAGGCGTATTGAAGCTAGCCGTGGAGTCCGAAGGCGTCGGACACGGACAAGAATTGCAAACATTGCTGTCCACAGTCGAGGCCTGGCCGTAGGGCACAACGGAGCCACTCTTCGAATTGCCATTGTAATTGGGCTGCCCCGCCGGCTGGATTTGTGCTGGTGCATAGGCTGGCAAATATCCTGGACATGTTTGACCAACTGGCAGCTCCGCAGGCGCTGCAGGCTGTGCAGGCGCCGTCAGCGGCTCATTCTGGTCCAAGCTGGCATAGAAGGTGCGCATGATCGGATCATCGTAATAGGGAGGCGGCTGTGTTGCAACGGTCGGCTGCTGCAGCTGCGTCTGCATCAGTGGCATCCACACCAGTGGCGGTGCAATGCCCACCATCGAGTCCATGCCAGCAGTGGGTCGCCTGTACTGCAAGTTGAGCTCCTCCGGTCGAAAGCCCACATCGGGCACAGCCAGCACATCCTCACCCAGTCCGGCATGATAGCGCCTGCCGTCGACTAGTGAGTCATAGGCATTGCCATGGCCATTGCTATTGCTCGCTTGGCCGCTAGAAGGCTGCGATTTTGGTAACGGCGCTCCCTGTGCAGCTGATGGTATTTTCTGAGCTGCTGCATCAGCATATGCAGTGGCCGTGGCCGCTGGGCGTGCGCCTGCTGCATTTCCGCGTGCAGCTGCTGCTGCGCTGCCTGCACCTGGGTAAGGTACTGCTGCCATGCCATATGATTGCGGAGCAGGCGCAGATGCATAGGCAGCAGCAGTGGATCCAAAATTGGCGGCATGGGGTTCAGAATATGACGTCGCTGGCGTCGCCTTCGGCGTGGACTCTTCATAGTTGGGCCCGATCGGATAAAACCCAGCCCCAAAGCTGGGAAACGATGGAAACGGCGTCTGAGCATATTGTGGATTATTTGGCGCCGCTTGTTGCTCTGGCTGCTGATAGCTTTGCATGGGTTGTTGCATCTGCGGCTGATCGTCGCCACGTGAGAAGTCGGTGCCCTTGCACATGAAATAGGGCTCCTCCTGCGGTCCGCTGGGCTTGATCTCCACACAAATTGTGGTCAACGTACGCTTGTTGCGATGCAGCGCCTCCAGCTGCTGTTGCTGCGCCGGCTGCTCTTGGGCCAGCCCAAGTGCCAGCGCGCACAGCAGCAGCAGCAGCAGCAGCTTCAAGTGCTGTGAATAATTGACCATTGCTTCCGCTTACTAACTTCCGTTGCTGCCGACTGCACTGCTTTTATACTCTGGAAGTGTTGCAATCGTCAAAGAGAGTACTACAAGAGTTAGACTCCCCAATGGATGTGAATCTGAAACTCCCACAACTCACCCACCGAATTCTGTGTAATCTTTCGCAATCCGTGCTACAGTTCTGGGTGCAGTTATGGCTTAGCCCTTTCAGCTGCACGGGTAATTGAAGTTTCTTTCGCTCGAAATTCGTAACACTGAATAAACACCTTTAAAGCTCTGCATGGTGCACGAACCTCAGCCAGAGGGTTCAATATGAACTGACTACACTAAAACATGGCAAAGTCGCGCAAATTTACTGAAGCAGAATAATATAATATACAATATAATAATAATATATTATACAATAAAATTAGATCTTGTAATTTATTATTGTTTAGCTCATAATCCTTACAGCTAAGATATAATACTAAAACTTTGCTTATATATAAACATTTTATTATTTTATTATCAAGTGCATTTTTATTAATTTGCTAAAAGCATTTCAGTTTCAATTTAAGAGTATTTCGACGTTGTTATAGCTGTTTCTTTAGTTTAGTTCTTTCATTAAACATTCAACATTAATTTGAAATTTCAGCACTTTTTAGCGCACTTCAATTTCGCGTGTTGCAGTTCAACAAACTCTCAAATTGCCGTTCAGTTTGTCCAGTCAACATTACCTACACAGCTAATAAAATATAGATAAACACGTATATATAGAGATATATATATATATATACATATATATGATATATACCTACATGTATAGAGAGCTATTGAGTGTTAGTCAAATTGGTCAGTTGGTCAGAGAGTATTGGATTTCATCAAAGTGTTTTATAGTTCAGCATAAACTGACCTGACTCAGCAGCCAAAAGTGTTTGAGTGCGAGGCTCTATTAGTAAGCAAGCTGAGCTGCTGAGAGCTGAGCAGCTCATCTAGCAATGTTCGCAGCCAAATATAAATCGTGCGTGTGTCGGGAATTTCAAATTAAGCAGCTCCCCCAGCCGGGCCTGTCGTACCCCTGCGTGCAGCCACAAAACGTCACCTTCATTTAACAAAAGTGCTAAACGCTCTTCAGCGAGAGGCAGGGAGCAAGCCAGGCAGCGAGTTCAAGGCAGTAGGAAACGCCAGTTTCGCATAATATATAGGTGTAATATGTATGGGCGCGTGCTCTGCAACGTTTTTGTTGTTCCCTCGCTGTCTGTCTGACTGACTGACAGCGCCACTTACTCACTCATTTGCTCATTCAGCGGCGGCATAGACAAAGTGGCTGGCTCTATGGCCAACTCCCCTCATTGACTGGCGCACTGACTGACTAACTGGCTGTCTGGCTGGCTGGCTGGAAGCCACACCCAAGTCGAGGACGTGGCGTATTTCGAGGGTAGCCTGCGTTGCCGTTGCACGGCAGCACAACATGTGTTGGCACACACAAAAACACACATGCATACACACACACACACACACATTCTAATCATCATTATTTTCAATAAGCAGTTTATGCAACCACCCCACGACGGCCCCTTATACTCTTCCCACCTATCTTAAGTTTTGGGCGCGGTCGTTGTGGCGTGCAATGTCATCGTCATCAAGTTCTTCGTTCTTTTTAATTTGCCATATCTACCTTATCGCCTATAGTTTTCATACCATTTACCCACTGAAAGTTACCACCATAGGGTATAATAATCTTGTGCAAATATATGAAACAGGGCATCTGACGTAAAAAAGGAGCAGCTTCTACACAGTGTAGAACACTTCAACATATTTAAGAAAAAGCTTTGAATAACTCTCTTATATTCATGCTCTCTCCACCTTCAACGTATTAAGCGGCAAATGCAAATGCAAATATGCGCCATTTTGAAAAAGCTCTGCAGCAAAAAAAAAATGTACTATGTACAAACATGCATACATATGTATACATGTAGATTTGTTAATAAGATGTGTGCACATTGACACACTGAATTTGAACTTTAATTTCAAATTTTTACTTTGAAAGATGAACAGTAGAAATAACGAGTACACACGATGGTCGATCAAAGATGCATACATGCACAGTCTTTTTTCACCGAGTTGGTGTAAACACTAATCCAACTTACATATCTTACTCGCTCTCTCACGCCATTGACAGGCACGCTCCTTGTCGGAGTGTTCTCTGCATGAGGTAACGGGATCAAAAGCATCAGCGCATTAACGTAAGCGCAAGCTACAGATGATGTGCATGAATAAACTCTCTGTATGTCTCTCTTTGCAAGTAATACAGCATAACAAAATAATAACAGGATCTAAAGCATCAGCAACCACCGCATTGCCCACTCTTTGGATAACTCTCTCTTCAGTCCGCTTTTTGCTGACACGCAAATTGGCGCAGTAAAGGATATACTCTAGTGCATACTCCTAAGTCTAGCTGGCTGAATATGAACCAATTTATAGATATGAACCAATTTTAAGTTAAACAAATGTGCAATTATCTGAATAAATTTACAATTTATATGTTCTGCATTTCATAATATTTTTTGCAACAATTTACAATTTTCAGTGAAAAATCGTTACTTCCGGACTCTATATAAATCATTATACGGAGACCTGCGGCTGCCACCCACTTTCACTCTCTTCAGACGCTTTCTCTGGTGATGGTTGCTTTGTACTCTGAAAGTATCACAATCATCAAAGAGAAAACTTCCCTTTGCTGGTAAACTTAAATTTCTGCAACTCGTTAAGAGATCTATGGAATCTTACGAAATCTTTTTGAATATGTATTTTTTAATTTCTTTAAGAAGAAATTCGGAACAGTGAAGATACCCAATACAAAAATAATCTCTAAATTCAGACAGAACAACTCAACAGATATTCCCCTTAGTTAGTTATCATGTACGTACATGAGAAATATTGGATTTTAAAACCAAAGTAATTTTGTAAAGCTGCTTGTCCGATTTTTATTTTAAATTTTCAGTATGCCTAACATATATTTGATTGAGCACACATACAGAGAAATTTTAGTTTTAGTTATTAATTTTTATATTACGTTATTTAAAAATGAATGATAAACCGTTGTCGAAATATCCAAATGAAAGCAGGTCCCAAGACCACATGTCAGTTCCGCAACATGGCCTAACGTTTGTATCCACCAATGTTAGAACTCCCTTTTTGGAGCTCTACATAACGTCGGTGGTGTCAGCATGGATTCCCGAGTTAGTCTGTTATCCGATGGATTTAATGAAGACCCGAATGCACATTCAGGGCGAGAAGGCAAGCAAGACGTATTCGAATTTGAAGAAGGTTAGCACGCTTGGCACTGCGATAGGCATCGTCCGCAATGAAGGCATACTACATGTCTACGGCGGTCTTTCAGCCATGTACTTTCGCCACTCGCTATTTACGGGCATGAAGATGTATTTCTATGATACATTGCGTGATGCATTGATCATACAGGATCGGGACGGCAAGCCCAAGCTGACATTTTTGCGCAGTGCCTTTGCTGGCATGTTCTCAGGTGGACTTGCAAATTTTATTTCCTCTCCCGCCGACCTGGTCAAGGTGCAAATGCAAATGGAGAGCAGCCGACGCTTATTGGGGGAACCGCCACGAGTCAACAATGTTCCACAGGCTCTAATATCCTTCTACAGAAAGGGTGGTATAAGAGGCCTTTGGAAGGGATGTGTTCCAAATGCTCTGCGAGCATCGCTTGTGACCCTCGGTAAGTAGCAGCAGGTGCAAAAGCAGGAGAATTAAAAACTCCATGAGCTATGCCAAAAATGTAGCGGTTATCGATGATCAGTCGAAAGTTTGGGCATATCTAATATCTATGTGTGTAGAAATACTAAGGGTATTCCCTGTCTTTAAATCAAATATTCAAATATTTAAGCCACGACTGACCCGACTGTGTAAGTGTGTATGTGTGAGCATGTGTGTTTGTATGTGTAGAAGGCTGCCTAAGCGCAGCCGAACGTCAAATGTACATTAAGCAGAGCGCGTGTGTGCTTGTATTGGTTGCTGTCCAAACGCAGCTGCTGTAAAGCGTGTGTATGTGAGTGCATGTGTAGTAGACGCAACCGAACAACTGCGCAGTAAGCAGAGCGCATGCGTGTGTGTGTGCGTGTATTGTTTGCTGCCCAAGCGCAGCGGCTGCAGAGCGCCCAAGTGTGTATGTGTGTGTGCATGTGTAGTAGGCTGAACAAACACAGCCGCAGTAAGCAGAGCGCGGGCTTATGCGTGAGAGTAAATCTGTGTATGTGTGTATATAGGCAAGTGTATTTGCTATGTATGTGTAGTGATTGGTGCATCATCGCTTCGCCGAGCTCAGGGTGTCTCCCAGTCGAGCTGTCTCGACTAAAGCTCTTCTCCTTGCCTATATCTAATGTACCTTTTCCATTACCATTACCTTTACCTTTTACTTTTCAGGCGACATTAGCTTCTACGATCTCAGTAAACGGAAAATGATGGCTCTTTTTGAATTGCCAGATGATCGACGGGTTCAGTTTATGGGTGCAATGATAGCCGGTTTCGCGTGCGCCGTGCTTAGCACACCAATGGACGTAGTCAAGTCGAGAATCATGAATCAGCCAATCGATGAGAACGGACGAGGAATACATTACACAGGTACTATAGATTGTTTCCGAAAGCTGATCCAGAAAGAAGGTGCCTTTGCCATGTACAAAGGCTTTTTTCCCTACTGGTTGCGCATAGGTCCATGGACATTAATCTTTTGGACATCCTTTGAACAAATTCGTAGATTCCGTGGTGACGAAGGATATTAGTACTAAATTAGTGTGCCACGGGCACACAGTCGTGTTAAAAGTTACTAATGTCAAAATTAGTTTTATTTTGTCGTTTGATTTCAATAAAGTATCATTTTCAAATTATATAAACAATGAAAGGAGATGACATTGATTACTGGAACTTGAAGGCCTCGGCGACGCCACCAACTCCAAAGCTCGTAGCCAATTCCCAGGAGGAGATCAATTTGAAAAACCTATTCATGCTCTATATCAACACTTTCATTGGCGCCAACATTGCGGAGGGATGTATGTATTCCTTGGATGTGGGCAAGACGCGGATGCAAGTGTATGGCGAGGAGCAGAAGAAGACGGGGGGCAAGCACCGCAAGATGTTTAGGACACTCTATGGAATTGCGACTGAGGAGGGCCCGAAGGCCTTGTACTCTGGATTCTCGGCAATGGTTCTACGGAATTTCATATTCAATTCGATGCGCGTAATGCTCTACGATATATTTCGCCGACGATACATCTATGTCGATACGAATCAACAGGAGTGCATACGCATACATCACGCCTTCCTCTGTGGCAGTGCAGCCGGATGTGTGGCCCAAGCATTGGCCAATCCCTTCGACATAGCCAAGGTACGCATGCAAATGGAGGGCAGGCGCAAACTGTTGGGCCTGTCGCCGCGCAGCACCAGCTTTCCCAATGTGCTGAACAGCATCTACAGGAAGTCCGGTGTGGTCGGCATGTGGCGCGGCGTCGTTCCCAGCTGCATGCGTGCCTGCCTCATGACTGCCGGAGACGTTGGCGCCTACGATCTGTGCAAACGCAACCTGAAGAAACATTTGGGAATGCACGAAGGTATAGCCCTGCGCTTTGCGTCATCAATGGTCGCCGGACTAGTGGCCAGTGTGCTCAGCAATCCTGCGGATGTTATCAAGTCGCGCATGATGAACCAGCCCACGGATGAAAAGGGCAAAGGACTTTACTACAAAAACTCGCTTGACTGTGTGGTGAAATTATTAAGAGAGGAGGGCTTCTTCAATCTCTACAAAGGGCTAATTCCCTGCTGGCTAAGGTTGGGGCCCTGGTCGGTCCTCTTTTGGCTATCCGTGGAGCAGTTGCGCGTCTTAGAAGGACAAACTGGTTTCTAATACTCAACAAATCATCTTGTTATCCAAAATTCAGAGTTCAAGTATCCTCAAATTGTGAAGTGATCGTTTTTAACATGTCATATTTTCTATGTGCCAATTTCTATTTTAAGATCTCGCAATTGTTCCAATTTGACACGCCTGCACATATATATATATATATATATTTATATATAAGTTTGGCTCAACTGCAAGTGAAATAGTTTTTATAATTAGTCAAGCCACATCATAAGAAAAGGAAGAATTGTATTTCCCGATCACATCGTACAAGTAATCTCGATGTTACCCATACGAAAACTGACTGTGCTGCACGACTAGCAGATACCCTGCCATGTGTTTCCAGTATTATATACGTATAAACAAAATTTGAATATTCATTACATGAATACATCTATTGTGGCATTCAAGTTACACTTAAACGAGAACGTCAACATATCAACTTTTATCGGCAACGGAATTCGGAATTCGACGAATGAAAAAAAATCAGAAAATTTCAATACACCGTAAAATTAATTTGTGAATTCGATTTTTTAATTAAAAAGCCAAACATAATTTTAATTATTAAATAAATTTAAAATGTTTAGTAATTCAAGTTAAAATATGAGCCAGCTTTATTTTATTTAAGTTTGCAAATTTAAGTTAAATGACAGCTCGGATGGGAGAGAAAACACTGCAAAAAATTATATGCACGTGTCTATAAATTAAAATTTGAATTCCAAGCTTAAATAAATCACAAAAAAAAAAAATGCGAGGCCGAGTCAGCTTTATTTTTTATTGAGGCTCATTCAAAACGTAACGTATTACAAATGGCATTTAAATAAAAAAAAATTAGCATATTTTATTAAATGAATTAATGCTTGTCTTGATTTCTAGCTGCCGTTAGAGCTATAAAACAAAAACAAAGCGACAAACACGAGTCACAAAATGCTATGGGTAAAAAAACATCGTCAGACCCAGCCAGTCGGGTAAAAATAGCTAATAATATGTCTTGATTAATTGTGCAATCGATAAAAAAAAGCGTGAAAAAAAGAAATTCATCCAAAAGCGAAAGTGGCGAAAAAAGATGTGCGAAGAATTTCTAATTTGGGTCAATGTTGCGGGCCACGAAGACTGAAAAAAAAAGAAGAAAACTCAAAAGAAAAATGCTGAAAATGTCAATTGCTGAGGCGCAAGGCAGCTGCCGCCAGAACATGTACATAAAAAAGAAAATATTCAAATATATGCAAACATATTTCTATATTTTTATGCATATTATTTCTGCAAAATACTTGCGCAATTGCGTCAGACATTTTGTTTTAAAATACAGTAGATCGATTCCACGGAGAACACTCAACAAAATAAAGCTTAAAGATTGCTTTCCACTGATAGCAGCGAGTTCATTGAACTATCGATTCGCAATCTTTGACGCGAAAGCCAAGCCAATGGACTATGGGTGAAAAGCGCGTTTTATCGGCATAAAGTCGAAATATTGATAGAACGCTTTTGCGAGAATTTATTATTTATTATATACGTAAGTAGTCCAAATAGATGAGATCCAAAATTTTTTTGCTATTTTTTGCAACTCTGCTTTATTGTTGATAGCAGAAGAGAATCCAATTCTGACTAAATTCTCAATAATTTCAGTAATAAAAATATCTTTTTCAGTTGATGCAACTTTTATTGAGATGTTGAACACATTAAGCATATTAAAAAATAAAAAATTCCAAATTTAATTATGCCCAAAGAAGCACTCATTTAGCCCATAGTGCAGCGACCCAACTACCTTTTATAAATTAAAAAAAAAAACACTGTTTTGTATCATTTTTATGAACAGGATTTTTCCCATGTTCCGTTTTTTATTTCAATAGTATTAAAGTATCGTATTATATATGGTTTTTCATTTCCTTTTTTTTTGCATTTTTTTTTTAATTTTTCATATTATATATTTAATATTTATGCATTCATTTTTTTTTTGCTTTAATTTCTGATGAATTTTGACGCTTTTATGGAGAAAAAGAAATGATGGGGACAAAATGTTGGAAAATGTTGGGACTTTTGTTTAACTAACATAAAAAGCCATTTATTTATGTATGATTTAAGTAGTTTTTAAATGTTTCCTTTTTTTGTATATTTGATTTGATTTTACTTTCATTATTATTTGCATGCATGTTAATGTGTGTTAATGGCAAAACTGAATTGCCAAATTCTTGATTCCTCCGTTGTTGCTTCAGCAAAGATCCTGTAAAGCGCTGGCAATCAAAATCAAAGGCTGGCGGCAGCGGCGGACAGTGTTGCACAGCGTTCGAATTACGCGTCATTTGCCGTTTATCGCTTATCGATAAATGTGTATGGTATGGTACGTTTTAACGTTTTCTTTTTTTTTTGTTTTTTTTAATGAATATTGCAAAATTACAAACATGAAAAGCGCATACAGAGAGAGCAAATGGCGCAAGTGTCCAAATATATATGTATGTATGTATGTTTGTATGCATGTACGTTTATATGTATGTATATGTATATATGTATGGCTAGATGAGACGGTTTGGAAAACGGAATATGTGTGCGTGTTGTTGTTGTTGTTGGAATCTGCTTCTTCTTTTTCACTCCTTCACTAAAACTCCCCAATGATGAGCATAGACTTCAAATATGGCTAAAAGAATGTTTATTCTTTTTTGTTTTAGTTTTGTTTAGTTCTCACTTTTTTGTTTCGTCTTTAAATATTACACAAATATTCTCAAAGTTCTCTGGTATAAAAAATTGCCTAACCCACTGCGCGGCTGCTTATTTATTTTGTTTTCTTTTTGTATGTGTCTGTATTTTCCCTGCACCATAAAAATAGAGCTTCATGGTTCTCCAAATAGTTTACATATATAAATATATATATATATATATATATATATTTATAATTCATTTATATTGGTTGGTATTTATCTGTGTCTGTGTGTGTGTATGTATGTTCGCTGCTGCTTGACTGACTTGACTTATCGTTCTTTCTTTCTCTTTTCCTTATTCTGTTTCTCAATAACCTCCCCCCTCCTCTATCTCTATCTCTTTCTCACTCACTCTCAATTAGTCTGTGTATGTTTTTAGATCGGTGTATATATATTTGTGTACTAAACTGCTGTACAAAAAAGTATTCAAAAATTTGCCTGCGTTGCTTTGCGTTTGTTGCTTCTTCTTCTGTTTCTTCTTCTTTATCTACTTCTTTTTCTTCTTCTTATTCTTGTCTTGCTTACAAAATGCTTTCCAATACGTTTTTCTTTTAGCTTATGTTGACTGTAAGATTTTCTTTGTTTTTTTTTTGTTTTTTTTTTTTTATTATTATTTTTATCGTATGAACCAAAAAATGTTTAAATATAGTAATGCAGAATTTTATAATTTTGTTGTAGGCGTTTTTCGGTAATTAAGATGTTGATGCTGTGGATGGTTTATAAACATTCTTTGACATTGTTTTTTTTGCAAGTTTCAGATCTGTTTGACCACAATTACCTTAAAAATATATTTTTTTTCTTGGCATTTCTCATAAATTTAAATATTAATAATTACTTTTTTCTTCTTTTTTTTAGTTATTTAGTTCATTTACGGTTTCTTAGCGAATTTGATGTTTTTTTGTTGCTGCTGTTGTTGTTGTTGTTTGTGTAGGTTGGTGTTGATGGTGTTGAATTGTTGCTTTTATATATTTTTTTTTTCATTTATTTTCTAGTACCCGCAAGTAATCAGATAATCTCCAAGTTTCTCCACCACAGAAGCGGCCTGCTGGGGCTGCACAGGATCCTCATAGATGGAAACAATGACGGCTGCAAGAATGAAAGAAAAATAATATGGAAAATTAATAAATACATAGATATGATAGCTGGCAACTAGACCCACCCCAGCAATGCTATCGATAGCACAAGGCATTATTAACCCTGGCCAAATATGCCAATGAACATTCTATACTAAACATTCAATCTAATCATTAGTAGAAATCTCTTTAGCTATTTCAACATGGCTACATAATTATACTCACACACACGCACATACACATGCACTCTCATACAAACATCGTCAGCCGCTTATCCGGTTGACAATACAGCACACAGAAACGAATGAAATAGAGAAAGCACAAGACATCAGCAGCAATAGAGAAACAAGAACTAACTGTATTTAACACAACATCATCAGCAAGAAAATTATGAATAAAACGCTCAATAAAACAGCGTGGAGAGCAGAGAAAGAGAGATAGAGTAAGACTGTAGACCAGGTGAAAACCGGACAGACCGGCCACAACAATATTGAATGACAATTCTTCCAAGCTGCCAAACAGTCGGCAACAAACATTGAAATACTGATGAAATGTAAACGAATCGCGCCTCAAATCGAAGTCAAGTGGATGCTTGTGGCAGGCTGAATAGCCGAGTGGCTGACCGGCTGGGTCGCCGGCTTACTACATTAATCAATTGTGCAGCAAATTGTTGTTAACCCAATTGATTGACGCTCCAAGCAAATCAAATCAAAGCCAACCAAATTTCCAACTGGGGTCAATAAACCAAAAGTTAAGTGTCATGTCGCGACGAAGAAGAGAGCAAGCAAACGAGACAAAGACAAGCATACAAACACAGCCAGGCAAACTCACACACACATGCGCGCACTTGTAGCGCCCTCCTGCACAACATGCTAGCAACACCCACACCAGAGCGGGCAATAATGGCAATCGATAGCTGATGATTGCGATAAAAAGCTGTTAATGTGCCTTGTTTGCCTGATAGCGAACAGAATGCTAATATAAAATTTCATTTCATATTTAATTACACAAATTTTGCGCCGCATGCCTTGAAACATTTGAAGCGTACTACTTGTTGCTATATTAAACAAGCATATCAAGTTGTATTACAGTTTAAACGCTGTTATACGCGCATTTTAATTGCCAAAGCACACATACACATACATGTATACACGCATACATAGACAATGTTAATGCGATGGCCATTTGAGCAGCGTGTAATTTGCGGTAAATACATTGCTCGGTAATTTAATCGATAGTAAGCTTTGTGCGATCAGCTGTTCAAGTGCCAACAAAGACCAGCCTCGAAGAGCTCAAATTTAATGCCAAATAAAGACAAAGCAAGTGGCCAAAGAGACTAATCCAGGCGCCAACATGCAAACGCACACACATAACAGTCCGCTAGGTCAACGCAAGCGAGACAGTCAGAGAATGGGAGAGCGACCAGTTTTGCCATTTTATGCCTATTTTTTTTTTGCCTATTTCCATTTATATGCTACTCGCTTGCTTTGGCGCTTTTGCTGCTGCTTTTGCGGCTTATTCTGTGCAACATTTGCACTTGAAATGGATTATGGCAATAACCTTGAGATTTGCGGCGGCTGCTGCAGCGGGCAGCAGACTGCGACGCCGCGCAACAGTTGCCGCAAAAAAATAGATGTATATGTACGCATTCACAAACACACAAACACATAAATCAAACTAGACAAATATGGAAGACGACGCTGCTGCTGAACCGTCGGCAAAAAAGCTGCAAAAACAAATTTAGTTTCATGGCACTCACACACATGATCAGACACACATACATATATTATTAGACAGCTGCTTTCTACAGTTTTCACGACATCGAAAAAGCATTTTGGGCACAAGGTGTAAAGCAAAAAAAAATATGAGTGAAAAACGAAACGGTGCTCCATTTGATTTTACCAGCTATTCGAGAGCATTTGAGTGTATGTATGAATGTACGTGTGTGTGTGAATGTATATGCGCGTACGTGTGTGTGTGAGTTTATCTATGAATGTATTCGTGCATGTGTGTGTGTGTGTGTATAACAGGAGGTGCCACCAGTTGACCGGAAAAATGGAGCAACAAACTGCAGAGGCACGTAATGATTGCCTATAATTTACAGCTCGTTACGTTTATTGTTGTTGTTACGTGGCACACTATGAAGCACATTAACTGCACATTTTATACAGATGTAAATCATTGACTCTACTGCTCTGGATGTTATATGTTTTTCACTTATCAACATTCTTACAGCTACTGGCAAAGTCAAAACACTTATCTTGAGATTATATGCTTTGCACCTATACATTATTCAAACACACACGCAGCAAAAAACTAAAGGTATTGCAAAAAATGAGCAAAAAGCTAATGATAACAGTGGTAAACTGTCAACGATTATAGCCCATGCGTTCTGTTCATGTTATCGTTTCTGGCATATTCCCCAAAATAAAAAAGTCTAAAAAAAAAAGTACCACATATAGTCGACAGCTTATTACTTGTGTGCAAAAACAGTTGGCAACTCTGACTTTATTTTCCTCGCTTTTTACTCACCTTGTGTCGTCTTCATGCAGTGCACACCGCTTCTGCCCAGTTTTGCGCGCACCACGCGATCTGTGCCTGAGAGGTAAATGTACCGTTGGCCGGCTAATGTCACGCCGTTGCTGGTAAGCAGGTCTTGTTGATCAAAGCCGCTTATCAATTTGGCCAGCTCCTCCTTTGTGACCTGTATAGAGAGAAAAGCAAAATGAAATGGAAATTTTAGAATGAGCAAAAATATTATAAATATATAGTCAATTACATTTGGATACCCTGCAAGAGGCATGAGGCACGCACATGTACCATAAATTTTATAAATTTATGCATCCTGCGTTGCCGTGCGTGCAAATACAAGTTTAATATGTGTTCTTACAAAGAAACAGTATCAGAGAGTGAGTCGTGTGCCAGCTTAAAACACATTCATTTTGTAATCAGCAACAGCCCACTCAAACAGGCTAAAGCCCAATATGAGGGAGCGAGAGAGAGCAAAAAAAACCCACCACTGCCTACATACACCACCCATAAAATGAAGATGACGACGACGGCGACGTCCACCATCTCATTAACAAAATACGATACACGCCGCTGCTGCAGCAGCAGCAGCAACAACAAGATGAAAGGAACGGCTGACCATTTGCCTTGATTTTGTAGTTGTAATAAGCAAAAACTAGTTTGCCAACACTTGCAAAGGGCAGAGTTGCCATGCCCCACGCAAAATTTTATTAACATTATTTGCAGGACAAAAAGTTTGCAATATTCTCTCTTACTCTCCCACACTTCTTAATATTTTTATGCGTTACCAAGCGCCAGAAAAGTTCGCGAACAAATTAATAGATTTCAATAGATACGACATGATTAATAATTAGTCATTAGTTAACTCGTTGCGGCCCATGCGGCAAATATGTTAATGACACTCGAGGGGAGAATGCGCGACCGAAGAGAGAATATTGTCGAAAAAACCTTTCTAGAAGTTTCCAATGCGAGCGTAAAAGTCCGAGTGTATGTGTGTCTGAGTGAGTAAGATACAGAGAGAAAGAGAGAGATACAGAGAGAGAAAGAGACCGCTAACACCATAAAGCCGGTTTTGCAAACAAAGCGGTAGGTATGCCAAAAATGTTCAATAAATTAATCAAAATCACTCAATTAATTTAAGAAATGCACACAAATAATAGAAAAGGCAACGACCACAAATAAAAAAAATTACGCCGCGTGCTTTTTTGCTAATGTCTAGCAAAAAAAAAAACAACTTTTTCCAAACGCAGTTTTGTTTTTTAAAGTGCAATGAACAAATAATACATATATTTGTACTTGTAACAGCCGGTTTTTATGGCACAATCCATTTGTGCATATATGTATATAACGAAATTAAAAACCAAAGTATAATAAGTAAAAAGGCGTTATTGATAAGAGTCAAGAACTTTTGGCTCGAAAATCACTCACTACCACACACGCACACAAGCATATGTATATAATAATAAAAAACAGTCTGGCAATACCATACAGCAGCTGATACTAATTCAAATAACTAAAATTTTAACGATGAATCACGATCAAAATATTACAAATCAAACCATTTTAGGTACAAATGTAGGTAACTCAGCCAGACGAACATAGTAAGTAACTGAGAAAGCAATAAGCCACAAATTAAATAAAAATAAATAATAAAAAACGACCAACAAAGAAAAGAGTCAAATACATAACATCGAACGGAGGCCAACCACAAAATGAAAGTGAGATTCATGGATGTACGCGAAACCGTGTGGAGAATTGCAAGCACAACAAATGGCCAAAAAACGAAGGTTGTTTCTGCTGCTGCTTATGATGATGATGTTGGCAATTCAAATATTTATAAAAAGAAGTATCACTTTTACCCATTTCAAGGCTTAAGAAATTGTATTTACTTTTCTTTAACAATTGCTATTTTCCCTGTGCAGAAACACATAATTTGATCAGTGCACGGAACTAGTTAAAATAAAACTTAATTTCTTTGGCATATGTAAATTTGTGTGGACCCATAAATTATCGAAATCGATGAAAGAATTATCGATATTATTCGCGGAAAAAAATGTTTTACAAACAAAGCGTAGGGGAGTGTCCCAAGGCCCCACCCCTGGTAAAGAAAGAGAAGAATGAAAAAAGAAAAAAAAAAACAAGCATGAATGGGGCACGCAACAGACGTACAAACAAAGGATAAAGTATGAGGAGTCAGCAGGAAGTTGCACAAACTCACTCACACACATACAGTCGTACATATAAAGTAAATGCGAAAACGTGGCTCGCATATAAAAACGTAGACGCTGATGACGCGGCACTGCGGTCGCTGCGTTTTTTTTGAGATACATTTCTTCTTTCGTTTCTCTTCCAATCAACTCGAAACTTGCGCGTTTAGTTTCTTTTTTTTTCATTATTTTTAGTGATAAAAAATTGCTAACAGAGGAAACAAAGATAATAAACGCACACATATGCACATCAATCTATTGAGTGAAGTGCTTTGCCTGTGCATGTCTGTTGATAAGAGCAAATAAGGCCGGTTAGTTATTTTATGATATGCGGCGAACGGTGAGCCGCGTAAAAGGGCAATGTCTCTCTCTCTCTCTCTCTCTGTGTTTCTCCCCTCTCTATTTATACTCCATCTTCCGTTAACAAGAGCTCAGTGGAAAAAAGAGTGCGCGCAGGGGATAAACAGCGCAGCGCTATCACGTCAGTGTTGAAAAGTGCACAAGATACTCGGGCTGGGTGCCGGCCAACCCGCTATGAAAAATTACTCACGCACACACACATACACACGTATATATACACACATATATATATATATATATTTATATTCACAGACAAAGGCTGCGCTCAGTTAGTGCAAGCAAACACCTTTCATCAACTGCACTCCAAATGACGAATCATCTTTGGCTCAGCACTCAATTGAGTGACTAATCCACCTGAGCATATTTCTTTTTAGATGAGTCACAAACTAATCGAACTTTTTTTTGCTATAGATTATGCACAACAACCAACCAATTTGTCCAGCTGGGCCTAATTGTGCTATAAATAATGAAACTCTGCGACAGCATCTCGGCTAGTTCGTTATCAGTCAGTTTGACATCCACAGTACAACAGTTTTACAGGCACTCACGATTTTTTTTTAAGTTTTGCGTTTGTTAATGTGGGTGACCGAGACAGACGGTTGAGAGGCTGAGCAGTGGAGAGCTGCGCAATCGGCTGTATTGGCGATAGCTAAAGAGAGAGAGAGAGAGAGAGAAAGAGAGAGATTGCAAGAGAGAGCTCTTGCAGGGGGTGCACACCCATACAGGGTGGGAGTTGCTTTATCAAACGAAATAAAAGTACAAATGGCGGACGAACAGTAAAAAAGCATTAAAACCCCAGTAGAAAACTGAAACATACTAAACTTACTGAAGTTAATACCTCATCCAAACATTTAATAATGCTTGTAAAAAGACAAATATTCAACTTATTTTGATACTTTCAATTTACATACTATAAATTTAGTTTATCAATATACATAGAAAAAAAAGAACACATTTTTAAGTTTGTTAATTTCCAAAGCCGCATGCCAATGTCACCATTAAAACAAACATTACAAATGTTTGTTCGCTACTGAAATTCATGGCTCTGGACCAGTTGACGAAAAAGTCCTCCTGGGGTATATACTTTTCCCTAACACTATTGCGCTCTCTTTGTGTGAGTGGGTGCTGCTGTGCATGTGTACGTATATGTGTGAGGATACACTGTTGTTGGTCACACCCTTGAACTTGGTAAAAAAGTTTCAGTGTCGAAACGCCGACGACAAATTTCTGGGCAAGATTGGTGAACTGGATTAACGCTACTCACCTCAAAGCCGCTAGACTGCGCCCAAATGTTGCCATCGTGTCCGGCAATGCACGCCTTGTTAACGCACTGCGAGGCCAAAAGTTGGTTATCGACATAATCTTGCCAGCTCATGATTGTAGTTTGTTGTTGTATTTGTTGTGGTGGTGGTTAAAAACTATTAAATAGGTATTTATGTATTTGTTGTATTTTACACACGCGTTGCTTGTTTCAATTTCTTGTTGTTATTGCTGCTGTTGTTGTTACACACTTTTCACGCCACTAAAAAATTTAGTTAAGCGAGAGTGAGAAAATCGTGGATTTTCTACGTAATTTGTTTAAGGAAACTTATTTAAACTGCAATGAGAGAGGGTAGAAAATAGAATATAAGGTGAAATTAACGATAATTTGGCGATTTAAAACTTTATTCCTTTATATAAAAATCTGAAAATTTTCGCTTTTTTGTTTGTGCGTCGCAACAGTCGATTTTTACTATGAGACTCGAAAAGCAGTGCATACTTCTTTCTTTTTTGTTTTTAAATTTGCTGTTTCTTCAAAAAAACGCACACACACTAACACATCCAACGAGAGATAGCACACACAAGCACACTATGAGCAGAGAGTAAAACGTACATAGCAGCAGCAGCCCCCAACACGTCCGACTTGCACAGAATGACAAAAACGATTGAATGCAAAATGTTGTTTAGTGGCTCCAAGCATGGAAAATTGAGAAGAAAAAACCCACTCAGAGCGCGCGTGAGTCACAGCTGCCGCCGACGCTAGGCACTCACCCACCGATTCACTCGATGAGTGCAATGCCAAAAACTGTGCGCTGGAGTTTGTGTGCGAGTGAAATGGCATATATGGCCGTTATAAATCGCCGGTCGCGCAATGCAAATGAGTGAGTGAGAGCAGGCGATGACTCAACAGTCTCAAGTCTCCTTGCCTGTTTCTAAGAGAGCATGGATATATGTGTGTGTATGTGTGTTATGAATCGGCCTTTTCTGGCGCAGCTTGAGCGTTTTTCTGGCCGGTCGAAAAGTAGACAACGACGATGGTCAATCATAAATTAAAAATAGATTTTTTAAATTTAAAAATGTACATCTTTAAGTATATGTACAAACAAATCTTATATTTATCTATATCTTCGGCAAATTCTACTCAACAAAAAGCTCGCCGAAAAAACAAGATCACAAGGCCAGAAACCAATTTTTGACAAGACTTTACTTGCAATGACAGCAAGACACCGACCGGCTGCTTAACTTTTTCACTTCTTTTTGCACACTTATATACATACACCTATATATGTGTGTATATACATATGCGCACAGCCAACGCCGTCGGCGAATATACGCATATATGTAAGTATATGCGTGCGAGTGAGTCGGCCTTTCATTTGTAACTTGACATTTTATTGAAACTACGCCTCGCTGCTTACATTATTGTTGTAACTACGACTGCTGGCCACACAAACAATTATTAATATTTGCACACATTAAGTAATTTGCAATTAATACGCTTATTTTCTTAAAATTCAAAGCTAACTCACACTTTTCACACGCTGTGCGATGCGGCGATGAAATTAGACTGACTGTAGGTAACCAGAAACATCGATAGCATCATTAAATCGATATTTTCATAACGCAATTGGAATATACGATGTATTTATATTCGATCTATTGAGAATTTGAATAATAAGCAAGCGACTTGGCATAATTGTGTAACCTAGGCGTATTATATATTATTGGTATTTAAAGCCGTTTATAAGGGAAGACATACTACTATTAAAACAGTATTAGTTTATATTCCTTACTTTAATTTCAAGTAACTAGATCTTTATAAATACCAATATACAAACTGAAAAATACTGCTATTCGATAACAAACAACTTCACTCAATCAAAATTATCCCTTGAACATTTTTATTAAAAATGTTTTATTTTCATCCAGAAAATTACAAAAAATACATTTTCTTAAATCAATATAGATTGATTTTCATCGAATGGCAGCACTAATGCCATGATGTTCTTATTTCGATTGCAATTATTAAAAATTTTATGCTTTTTATAATTTAGAAAAATTCAATAAAGTTTGCATTAAATATTTATCAAAATAAACACATAACTTTTAACATTATCATACTCTGCGTATCCAGAAAATCGTGTGGAATAATTCGATAGTTGAAGTTTAATATATCGATAGCTGGGATGTTTTCCTTACATCACTAAAAGTTTTGCAAGATGGAGCCTCTTTTGCTTGGTTTTAACAATCAGCAGCACGTGTATAAAAAGTGCCAAAAAATAATCAGAAAATGTTAGTATTATTCAACGATTTAATTCATAATAAGTGAAATACAATTTAACAAAGCAGTTTGCAAAATTTTGCTGACAAAATTAATCCAGTTTAAGTGAGCAATACTACTAAAAACTGCATTTGAAAATTTAACCCAAAATGTGAAACACAAATCGAAAAGAATTTTTACACGACGACGGCGGACGTTGCGGCACGAGTGACTGGCACTGCCGAAGAGAAAGAGAGAGAGAGAGAGAGCACGAGAACGAGAGAATTCAGTGGTTGTTGATGGTGTGTGTGCGTGTGTAATGTTGGATAAAATATATATACTTATATATATTTTTTCTTTTGGAATGACATAGGCTTAATAAATAACAAAGAAAATAAGGCACCCGATGAATTCCATTCGAGGTTAAATGAGTTTATTGCTTTGCAAAAAAAAGTTCGTCTGGTTCGAAGCAACAATGAAATCTTGCAATAAAATACATTTCGCTCTCTCTCTCTCTCTCTCTCACACACATACATACATTGACTCATAGTCACTGACTGGACATTAAAATGGACAACGACTACCTATAGCTATTCAATGCCAACGCTGCTATCATTAAATACTTATTCATATTTATATACATGCGTGTATTTGTGAAATATGTATTTTCAGAATGCAGGGAATTCACAGAATCTTGGTGGTTGTGCCGCTTTTCTCACCCTCTTTGGATGTCATTCGCTCTTGCAAGTGGTTGAAACGCACGCCTTAAATTTGCCTGTTGGCTCACTATTTTCTTGCCTGCTTCGAAGTTTAGTACCTTCTTTTTTTTGCCTACTTTATGCTACTATTTCCCAAGTACTACGCACATGCAACACTGCAGTTAAGAGTTGATAGTTTCCTACTGCTCCGACACATGCACACATGAACAGAAGCAACCACTGACATTGATACATCTAGTGTACTCTTTCGCACACACACACATTAGTTGGACGCGACAGTGACGACGAGACGCTGCTTAAAAGGCCGCCTAGCGGTCGTTAAAACTCACACTGGCATTCGCTCGCAATCGTGAAAATACCGCAGAACAGCACGCACAACAAAACACGTTTGTGTGCACTCTGTAGAAAGAAAAAAATTTTCGTTACAAATTTTTTGACATACAACTAATACAGAAATTGTTTAACTGAACGGTGCTTAAGCCGTCGAAATTCAGTATACAAATTTAACTAGTCAATTTTTTATTGTTGATAATGTAAGTGTTGTTCGTGCCACCGCCGTTGCTGCTGGGCTTGCCTACTGCCTGCTGCTAAACGCTGCTGTCACCACCAACCCGTCTTTGTCGTCGTTTTTGCTACCTTGGTTGCCAAGCGCAGATTCGCCATAACCAAAAAAAAAAAAAAAAAAAAACGAAAGAAAATTTTCAATTTACTGCATTACTGACATCGTTTTGTGTTTTTTCTCTCTTCGTTTATGTTCTCATAGGGATGATCGAATTGAAATACCTCAAGATGGTCCCGCTGGCATGGACCCTGAGGGCGTCATCGAGTCGACCTGGCATGAAGTCTACGATAATTTCGATGACATGAACTTGCGCGAGGAGCTGCTGCGCGGCATCTATGGCTATGGTTTCGAGAAGCCATCGGCCATTCAACAGCGCGCTATCATTCCTTGCGTGAAGGGTCGCGATGTCATTGCCCAGGCCCAGTCCGGTGAGTAATTTATAAATCAAGCAAACAAACAAAGCAAAAAAAAAAAAAAAAAACAAATTTTGCTTTAATGTGAAAGTGTAGAAACTTTTTTTTTGTTATGAGGGCGCATCGCCAGCAGCGTATGATGACGATAACGGTGACTCAGCTGTCTACTGCAGCTTGTGCTCTCTCAATCTCCTTCATTGAAGCAAACACACACATACACACACTTGAAGTTTTCTACTCTCTGCTGAGCGCTTGCGCGCCACTTTTGTGATCGTCTTTGCCGCGTTTTTGTGTGCTCTTTGCAAGCGCGTAACTAGAACAGCGTTGCCCATACTCAGCAAAAATATGTATATGCATATGTATTTGTATATATATCTATCTAAGCGTATGTTAGCCAAAAACGCAATTAATTTCAAGTATTGATCAAGCCAGAGTTCTGCAGAGAAAGCTGTTTTAACGGATTAATCTACTTAGTTGGCAATTTTATGAAGTTCTTATTTTTGTTTTTAATGGTAATTAAAAAAAAACAAAAACAAAACAAAGTTAAAAATCAATTTTGAGTTAAAAAATTGCAGCGATAAATATTTTATGTATGATTTATAAAATACCATGGGTTACTAACCTGTTACTAAAGAATGTTCTGTTTAGCTACAGATTATATAACAGACAACTATATATTATAGATTCGTATCATTATCAGTTTCTAATTATATGTGTGGTTTTTTGGCTATTGTTTGTAGGTACTGGCAAGACTGCCACCTTCTCGATTGCCATTCTTCAGCAAATCGACACGTCCGTTCGCGAATGTCAGGCTTTGATCCTGGCACCTACTCGCGAGTTGGCCACCCAAATTCAGCGTGTGGTTATGGCACTTGGAGAGTACATGAAGGTGCATTCGCATGCCTGCATTGGCGGCACTAATGTGCGCGAGGATGCTCGCATTTTGGAATCTGGCTGCCATGTGGTGGTTGGCACACCAGGTCGTGTCTATGACATGATCAATCGCAAGGTGCTCCGCACGCAGTTCATCAAGTTGTTCGTACTGGATGAGGCCGATGAGATGTTGTCGCGTGGCTTCAAAGATCAAATCCAGGATGTGTTCAAGATGCTGCCACCAGATGTGCAAGTGATCTTGCTCTCAGCCACCATGCCACCCGATGTACTTGAAGTGAGCCGTTGCTTTATGCGTGATCCAGTTAGCATTCTTGTTAAGAAGGAAGAGCTGACACTTGAAGGTATCAAGCAGTTCTACGTGAACGTTAAGCAGGAGAACTGGAAGTTGGGCACATTGTGCGATCTGTACGATACGTTGTCCATTACCCAGTCGGTTATCTTCTGTAATACCCGTCGCAAGGTAAGCTAATACTCTCAAATATATGAAGCCTATCATTTTCCTTCCCTATTCCCTATTTCTCGTTTACTGCTTCAGTCTAATCTTAATCAAATGGTATTGCGACTTGATATATAATTCATTCATTGTCTATCCTACACAGGTCGATCAGCTCACCCAGGAGATGTCTAGCCACAACTTTACCGTGTCGGCCATGCATGGTGACATGGAGCAACGCGATCGTGAGGTTATCATGAAGCAATTCCGTTCGGGCTCTTCCCGAGTTCTGATTACAACTGATTTATTGGCGCGTGGTATTGATGTGCAGCAGGTATCGTTGGTCATCAACTATGATCTGCCCTCGAATCGCGAGAACTATATTCATAGGTAAATTAAATACATATTCTAAACTCCACTTGTCAGATATCTAAATCTTTAAATTCATATTCAATTTTAGAATCGGTCGCGGTGGTCGTTTCGGTCGTAAAGGTGTTGCGATCAACTTCATTACTGATGATGATCGAAGAATCCTGAAGGATATTGAACAATTCTATCACACTACTATTGAGGAAATGCCTGCTAATATTGCCGATTTGATTTAAATATTTTGTTGAGCAAAAAAAATTAATACAAAATAAACAAGAAAAAGTGAGTGAGCTCTTCTACAGCAAGGAGTTGCGAGAAAAGTGCGCAAAATATATTTAAAAAAAAAAAATAAGAACTTGAGAACTAAAAATTAAATATTTATTTAAACAACAATACAAACAGCAGGAGCAACAACAACAACAGCTGCATCAGCAAGGCGACAACAAAAGAAACTACAACATCCAAGAACCTAATTATCAGTAACAAGAACAACATCCGCTGGCTGGCGCTTTGCTCTAATCCTCTATCTATTCCTAAAACAACCAACCAACAGAAGTAGAACAGCTGTAACATCTGATATTTAAACACTGCGTCGTCAACAAGCAACAAACAAGTCTAAACTATATAAACGCTAAAACTGGGATAAAAACAACCACAACAACACGAGGACAACACCTTTCGATTTTTTGTGTGTGCAGCGAACTGCAGCAGCAGCAGCATCAACAACCACAACATTGTTTTAGCCTTTTCTAGAACTATTGATAAAATATATTAAAAAAACAATACAAAAAATATATGTACACAATTTTATGTTTAAATAGAACACATACACATAGATACAGGCTAAAAATAATAACAGCAGCTGATCAATCGGCCAAGTGACATCACAGTCATCCACCCACTTACAGACAGAAACACACGACCCACGCCACACAGCTAAAAACAAAAACATGCGACAACTGCAAGCGAAAGTGAGTGCAAATTGCTGTGCCGCATATCAACAGCACATTAGCAAAAGCTTGGTGCCTAAAACACAACGCATCAGTTTCATGAGCATAATTTTAAAATTATTTGAAATACGAAATTTACATAATGTACTACTACAGAACACAATTATAAATTATTGTATAAACTGGCTAACAAAAGGCAGCAGCTGTGTATTCATTTTGCTTTCGACAGGTAAAAAGATGAGCTGCGACAGCTGCAACTTTGCACCTGCATTTTCAAAAACCGAATTTGGAGTAGCGACATGATATAGGTTGGCAGCACCTCCATCAAACACATTCAGCTGCTTATTTATCGATATTTAAGAAAAGCATCCATGTGATATTTGACATTTACCAACACTAATTTTATGCGGGTGCCTGTTCTGTATTGTTGCTAGTGCCGCTTCATTTACAGTTTTCACTTTGTCAACGTCGCGTTGCTGCCGCTGCTATAGAATCAAAAGTATTATAAACCGGTCGATAATGACAAACAGCTGGCTGTAGCCGACATATTACTACACTACAACAACAAACGACTCCGAGCAACAGCAACAATTAATAAATAAAAGTCGAAATGGGACAAAAAGTATCGCGCAACGATTTCGAATGGGTTTATACGGAAGAACCGCATGCCTCGCGTCGCAAAATCATACTCGAGAAATATCCGCAGATCAAGAAACTTTTTGGTCATGATCCCAATTTCAAATGGATCGCCGGCGCCATGGTGCTGACCCAAATACTGGCTCTGTTCATTGTCAAGGACTTGTCTTGGCCGTGGCTATTGGTTTTGGCCTATTGCTTTGGCGGCATTCTGAATCATTCGCTCATGTTGGCCGTGCATGAAATATCCCATAATTTAGCCTTCGGTCACAGCCGTCCCATGCACAACCGCATTTTGGGCTTCATTTGCAATTTGCCTATCGGACTGCCCATGAGCATTTCGTTTAAAAAATATCATTTGGAGCATCATCGGTAAGCTAAACGACTGTTGATTTGATGACGTTATTTGTATATACGTATGCATACACATGCGCTATGTGCCGGTTGTATATTATATATGTATATATATAGTCAATTTAAATCTGTTGTATGTATTTGTTTTTCGGGGCGTAGCCTATAGAAAGATTCCCCTCACACTGTTGGTGTACACGTTGATTGCTTGGAAAACCGGCAGAGTCGTTTTGCAACACTAAAAAACTGCGCTCAGCGAAAATTTCCCTTAAAATATACATATGTGCCCTTTTTTTCTCTTTCTCTCTTGCACTTTTTTTCTTAAATACTAATCAACGTCTAAGTAAAGATTTAGAGAAAAATAGGTTTGTTTTTGTTTTTTGCTTTAGTAAGACTATTATCAAAGTATTTCAAACATACTTCCTTTTAAAATGTCGACATTTGTGAGTCAACAGTAAATAATATCTAATAAAGGAGGATTTGCGTATATGCCGATATGCACGTTAATGATTGCGATAAGATTTGAAAGTTTATAAGATTTAAGCAATTTATGCATATCAGAAACAACGTAATTGAAGAACTGTTCCAATTGGTCACGTAGCCGGTCGCAATTTATTATTTATTTATTTATTTGATTATTTGTTTGTAAATCATATGGGAAGTTTATTTTGTGCTACGAACCCTCATCTGAGTCATGCGCTCGAGTTGTTTAGTTTATGTGCATTTAATGCCGGCAGTTTGCCGGGACGGCAGAATGCCAATTTAATGACAGAGCAGTAATCGATTATTTACTGAGCACTTTAATATCAAAATTCTTAATTTTTTATATAATCGAACCACGCGTTGCTTCTATTATCCAATACACTTCGAAGTCCTTATCTTCTTAGAGTGCAAATAAACTAAAATCTCAAGTTCTTCAATAAAACTTGACCGTTATGATAACAGTTAAAGAATGCACTACTTTATATGAGTATGTTAGCTCTTATATTTTACTGTGCTTACATTTGCTATTTATCTGTTAGTAACTTTTTATGTAAATAACATAGGTGAAATGAAATCTTTAACAGATATTTGAATTGTGCTTTTTAGTTGCAAGTAAATAAAAAATAAAAATTGTTGTGGTTCTGTGAATGATCGAACGTTTGTTTAAATATAATATTTGATTGTTATTATCAGCGTTAAACTGGTTTTGACCACTGCATTCTGCAGCTCATATTTCACAAACGCCGCATTTTTATTTGTTTTTTTTTGATAACCCACAATTGAGTCACATGGCGAGTCATGGCGAATAGCTCATTCGGCTCACGTATGTCTGGCAGCCAGGTGTTAACAATTAGTGGGTCGCGTTTATCTAATCTGTTAGTTACTTGAATGCCTTGTTTATGGGCCCTACATCCCACTGATAAGGCAAGCAACAAACTTTAAATAGAAATGTAGTTTTAAAGCAAAAACTTTTCCATACAAAGATTTTCCTGGGAACTCATTCTATATACGATTCTTATAATGCAGATATAACATTTCTTGGTATAAATAAGTCGATTGTTGTGTCTTGAATACTCATTGAACAAAACTTGAGTCTAGACAAAAATTTTCGGAATTTTAAAGTCATTAATTGATAAAACAAATTACAAACATAATAAAAAGATAACGCCTATATATTTGTTGCCAGGCGTGTGGTTTCCCCACATCAATCATAATTAATTCGTCAATTTTCGGTTGTTTTACGTAAAATTAAGTGATTACAAACAACTCTCTGATTCATATAATAAACGTTAGATTAATTCTGGATAGTTTGTCGCTAAGTTAAGTATTCTAAGAGAAAAATTAAAAAAATCTAATGAAAATAAAATTTTGAGGCAATTTATGAGGAATCTTGAGAATTTTAAAAAGGAAGAGTGCAAGGCGAGGTACTTTAGATATAGCTAAACGCTCCTTTGCTTCAATATTAAAGTATTTTATCACCAAAAGTAAATATTTAGAGAGGAAGAAACTTTATAGCTTTTCAGTAAAAAAATGATTCTCAAAAACTTCTTGAGATTAAATCGATTCAAATAAGAATTCCATTAAAAACTTAGACTAGGCGCTTTCAAGTGATTAAGGAATATATTTGTATATATATATTATAAATATAATAGCATATATATAAAATCATAACCCTGAAGAAACCATTTTCATATATAAAGATTCAACCTCTTCATAAATCATCCAGTTTAACACAAAAAACATCTAGCTTAAGTCATTTTATTATTATTATTTTGACACTTAACTAATATTCTATCTATACTCTGCACCATTTACAGTTATCAAGGCGATGAGGTGATCGACACGGATATACCGACACTGCTGGAGGCGCGACTATTCGATACGACATTTGGAAAATTTCTGTGGGTTTGCCTGCAGCCGTTCTTCTACATATTCCGTCCGTTGGTGGTTAATCCGAAGCCACCGACACGCCTGGAGATCATCAATACGATCATACAGTTGACATTCAATGCGGCTGTGGTTTACTTCATTGGTTGGAAGTCGATGGCGTATCTACTGATTGGCTCGATATTGGCGATGGGCTTGCATCCAGTGGCCGGGCACTTCATATCGGAACACTATATGTTCGCCAAGGGCTTCGAGACGTACTCATATTACGGTCCACTCAATTGGATTACCTTTAATGTGGGCTATCACAATGAGCATCACGATTTTCCGGCGGTGCCCGGCTCCCGGCTGCCAGAGGTGAAGCGCATCGCCAAAGAATTCTACGAGACGATGCCGCAGCACACCAGCTGGACGCGCGTGCTCTACGATTTTGTGATGGATCCGGCTGTGGGTCCATATGCGCGCGTCAAGCGACGACAGCGTGGATTGGCATCCTAAGATGCGGCGCCCACCCAATTCGTATGCGAATGTTGCAATGATTTTACTAGCGGTTTCCTGGCATCATGTAATCTCAGTGTTTAGCTTTAGAACTAAGTAGATATTTTTATTTGATTTCTTCTCTTGGTCATTCTGTCAACTGGCAACAGGTGCAAACTAAACGCAAATTCGCCTGCCAAATCCTAATTTTTATAACTGATTAAAAGATTTGTGGCTAAAAAAGTGTGAAGCTTTAGTCGACAAGGTGAATTGATTGTTAAACTATTATTGTTACCTCAGCACACAACTAAAATAAAGGCATGTTATCAATTATGATTATTGTAAATCTTCTGCTACAGATATGATTATATGAATATGTGTATTACAAAGCAGAGGAATATATTATAGTGCTTTAGTATTTTCTAACTATGTATGTTTAAAACTAATGCCTAATGCTGCAGCACACATACACACACACACACACGATGTACCAACTATTTTTGATAGCCTCTTGAAACTAATATCTAAAAAACAACAAACAAAAACCAAAAAACCAAAAACTAATGTAAACTCAACTGCACGCGGCATTAGAAACTATATATACAGATGTGTATATATGTATATATATAACGATTGTGTACTATACTTGTATGTGTAATAAAGCAAGATATCAAGTAATAATGAAAAATGTTGTTTTGCTTAACTCAATTTTCCGCTGGTAATTATATGAACACATATATATGTATATATATCTGATCACATACTCGTGTCATGTGAAACATGCAACGCGTAATGCCATTTCCTGATTGACTTCCAATTTGAAGACTGATTATCGTACGCGACAAAATAGTGACAAACAATGATAAGCGCGTGAAACGACCTTGACTTCTTTAGCGATTATGTAAGGCGGCAAAAATGGTTTTATTTGCCAATTTTTAATCGGTTTTTAAACTTGACGAGAAATGGTAAAAAAATAAAATTTACCAAATGTGATTTGAATGGATCTGGAAACAAATTGATAATTCATTTAAACTGTAAAAACTGTAAAAAAGAATTTGACTATAATTCGCTGTATTTTTTTTATTTTTTATATTAATAAGCAAGATCTGCTTAGATTCAAATTTATTTAATTTATTTTAATATTTTAATTTTGGTATTTGAAATTCGTCTTTTGTTAAATATATTTTGACTCATACACATAAATAATAATCTCGCACAAAGGCATTCTTTCTAATCTATATAATATATATATAGAATATAATCTCTAATTTATTATCTTACAATGCAGAATTACTATAAAACTATATATATCTATGAGGAATCAGATTAACTTAATTAAAGTTTTTGAAGATTTAAATAATAGATTTCAATGAAAATATTCAAAATGCAGAGTTTAAATAACAAACTTTTCTTTACCAAAGAAAAAACCTAGAAAACTATTTACAATTCTCCAATCAGGAATATATCGAAGAGAAGTAAGTTCAAGAAATATTGAATGAATCAAATATTACGTCTAATAAATGATTCAAGTCAACTATGAGTCAAAGAAACTTTGAAGACTTTGAAGATTGTGTATTCAAATAAAATCGGACATTAGTTCTTATATAAAAATTCCTTTAAGTTAAGCTGTTAAAAAAATCCCAGTATTTTGTTATTAGCCAACACTGAAAGGATAAGTTCATGTCACATGCTTACAATGCGCACAAAGTAGTTTGTAACTTTAACTACGACTGGCTCTACTTAGACAAGTAATCTCCATGGAAATCGGTGCACAACAGTTGAACATGGCCATGAAAAGAACAGGTGTTAACTTTTTATTCATACCAAAAAAATTTTTGGCACACTATCGAAACATTTGCCATGTACATAGCGACAAAAAAGAAAAGAAGACAAATATGTGTGCAATTTTAGCAAATATTTTTAGAGTGTTTACAAACAATAAGCAGTGATAACTGTTTTCCATATAACAGCGTTATCTCAGTGCCCAGGTGCTTCCCATTAGTCTAGTCCTGAGGCCCAACAAACATAAGCCGGTAAACGATGATTAACGGGTTATTTGTCATTGGCGTGGCGCACGTGTTGGGTGAAGCGTAGGTCATTCAACGTTGTCGCGAGAAGTCAATCAAGGTGAATGCAGGTGGTAACTTGGATAATTGATTAATCAAAATAAAATGGGTTAAAAATATGATTAATACTTCGATTAAAAGACGCCCTCAATTTTTTTAAATACTATTTATATATAATTTATTTATATGTATAATAGAATTACATATTGTGGATTCTTGTGGAAACGGGGCGGGGGTTCTAAGGTTTGATTTGTTGTTTGTGGTTTGTTTGGGTTCGTTGAAAGAAATCGTACAGTGTTAGCTTAATTAAATAAAATGTTTTGCGCCTTAATATTTTAGGGTATTTTTCTTCTTTCGTTTCGCTTCCTCTTTCTCTTTCTATTTTATTGGTTTTTCTTTTTTAATTTTGGGTTTTGTTGTTGATAACCCGCTTCGATATTTTTACACGCTTAAAAAATGATTTTACAAAGTTATTTTTTTTTTTAGTTTAGTTTTTGTTTTTTTATCGCATAGTTCTAAGCTTTTTGTTGTACGTTGAGAAGTTATTTATTTTTTTGTTTTTTGCAATTTTTTTTGGAGATTTTTCTGTTTTTTTTTTTCAAAGTGGCTTGTTCTCTAATCAGCTTACTACATTTAAATTAAAAATTATACAATTTACTTTTTATTTTTTTCTTTTTTTTATATATATTTCCATTTATGTTTAAATGTAAACTTAGCATTAGGGCTGCAATTTATTTATATATGTTTTTTGTTTTGTTTTAATGATCTTTTGTCAACAAATGTTTTGTTTTTTGTTGGGTTTTTTCTTCTTTAGATTTATCTGTGCATTATTTATGCTACATTATTTTTAGTATAATTTTTTTAATTAATTAAATCTTTTTGTAGTAGGAAAAAAAAAACAAATAAAACATACAAGAGAAAAATTGATTACAGCGCGCCACGCGTCCAAAAATTATCGCATATCAAGTTAATGGAAGATATATATATTTATATATATTTATATATATATATATATATAAACGTATATATATATGTATAAAATAACAATTAGATTTTACTTGGCTTTTCACTTTAAGTAAACAGAAAAACTGTACAGAAGTAAAATAATATAATTTTCTTTTTTGTTTTTAAATTGTTCTTTGAATGAAAAAATAAAAATAAAATAAAAAATAACGTAAAAAACGCGCGCGCGTCGCACAAAACTTAAAGCGAACACAAACTGTAAATTAAATTAACAAAAACTAATAGTAGCAGGTAATGGTAAATTAAATATATATATTTATATATATATATATATATATATATATATATAGCTATATATATTTACATTTAGTAAATATATAAGAGAACGTTAAACGAACGTAAAAAATGTGTACCGCACCTACACATACAAAATTTGTTTATATTTTGCATTTTACAGTTGAATCGAATTATTCACTTAATGTTGCTGCTCAATTGTGTGCTTGCGTGTGTCAGTGTGTCTGTGTGTGTGTGTGTGTATAGATCTTCTCTGCATTTTGAAATACGTCTGCGTAGCGTTATAATAGCAATAATTAGTAAATATGTACTACAAAAAACGTTTAAGTGACTTTTTTACTAAAACTTAGTAAATACCGTTTAACGCATAACGTTGCGTATGTGTGTGTGTGTGTGTGTGTGTGTTTGCTGCTTTATGATCTGTGTGTACGTTCTGTCTGTGTGTGTGTGTGTTTGATAAACATGTGTATAAACACTGCGATAGCAGTTTATCGATTAATCGAAGGTGCTGCCAACCGTTGTCAATTTGTTGTTTTTCTTTTTTTCTTGCGATCTACGTCGTTCCATGTTTTCACTCCTCCATTTGTTCTTCCTCTCTACCGCGCCGATTGCGCTGCTCGCTGCTTCCCCGGCGTCCCTGTGCTCAGCGTTAGGCTGCTGGTCGTCGTTGTGGTCACCGTTAAACTGCTGCTGCCACCGGCAACGCCCACGCTGACCGTCTTGGAGCAGCGTATACATATATAATCATCATCAGCCTTTATCTGGCTGCGATTCAGGCCCACACAGTACATGTGAAACCATTCGTTGCAGCCGCCGTCGCACTGCACCCAATCCACTTCGCGGCCTGTGGGCTTATGGCAATTCTCGGCGCGGCATTCCTCTTCGTCGTCCTCCTGTGCCGTTTGCTGTGTGCGTTGCGCATGCTTCTTTTGACCGCCACCTGTTGCTGGATTGTTGTTGCTGCCAGCTGTAGGTGTGCCGCCGCCACTGCCACCACCACCGGCGCCTGCATTGCTATTGTTGCTGCTGCTGTTGTTGTTATTGTTATTGTTGTTGTTTGTTGTGGTTGTGGTGCGTTTGCGTTTCTTGTGCCCGGCCGCTGGTATAGGCGTCGCTGCTGCCGCTGCAACAGCTGTTGCCGAGCCCGGTGTCGTTGGCGTCGTCGCCGTCGTATTGCCACCATTTGCCTGTTTATTCTCCGCATCGGCATCCACACCGGGCGAACTGCTCGCCTTGCTGTCACTCTTGCGTACCGCCGCTGGCGTCTTCTTGCCTGGCGTCTGTTTGGGCGTATTTTGTTTCTTGCGCGGCACAGCAACATTTGCGCTGTTCGCATCATTGGAGCGACGTTTCTTATTGCGCACCGCTTGAGCGCCACTGCCAGCGCCGGGACTTGGACTATTTTGCACGAGTAGGCTATCATTGGAATCCTCAGCGCCGCTGTGTATGCTGGATGAGGTGGTCAGTGTCGTCGCTGCTCCCTGACTTTGCTGCTGACGATGTTGTTGCAAGTGCTGAGCCACTCGCGCTTTAGCCTCGGCCTGCAGCGGTGTAGGCGGTATTGTTTCCAGTATGCGCCACAGCTCTTGCGTCTCATCTAGCGATACCTCTAGTAAATCGCCCTCCATCATAAGCTCGAGTAGGTTCTCAATTTCGCTGTCGGAGAGCAGCTTCAAGAGATCAGTGCTGCTGCTGCTGCTGCTGGTTTGCGCGTTGTTTTGAGTCAAGCGCGGCAGCTGTTCGTCCTCATCATTGCTATACCCGTCCTCCACAATGCGTAGCCGGCATTCATCATCATCGTCGTCATCATCCACATCGTCCCCATCCTCATTATCTGACTCAGAGCGGCCCGTGTTATTGGTTTCCTGCTTGGACAGGTTGTGCGAACGTCTCGGCTTGCGTGGACTACTTATATTGCCCAACACGGCGGCACAATTGCTGCTCTCCGAGCGTCGCTTCTGCTGTTGAGCCAAAATCGCATCCAGGGCGGCGCTCACATCGGGACTGCTTAGCGCCTTTCGGGCACGATCTTGCCAATTCATTGCCCGCTCCGCCAGGCAACGCAACGCCTCATCCTCAGGTAGACGAATGGGCAGCTGCTGCAGCTGCACAAGCAACGGCAAAATTGTCTCCAAGCGTGGGCGCTTCGAGCGCACACAGCTCGGACATAGCCACTTGGGTTGCGCTGGCATTGATGATGCTCCGCCATTGATTGCACCGCCACCGTTGCCATTTTGTTGCACCATCAGTGACTGGGGCAGCGGTGGCACACAATCCTCGTGGAACCAATCACGGCACAGCTGACAATTGTGCATCAGACCACGAAATTCCGACTTGCACAGACAGAAGACATCGCGTAATGGATTCTTTGACATATTCTGGCGCCTTAAGTCGCGCATATCGCGCAACTCTTGCTCCTCGGCATGCTTAAAGCTGGCCACAATTTCGGCGGGGTTCTTGTCCTTGAGGAAATCATCTTGGAAACGAGGCTTGAGATCCGAGTCAATATTGATGGCATCTGCTCGCGGCATCAGCACCTCCAGCAGCGTATAGAATGTGCCCTTCCTCAGGAACGCACGTGCCGTATTGTCCTTCCACTGATGTGCACTATTCAAATGGCCCTGCATGCGACCGAGCTCCTCCAGCTGAATGGGTATGCTGAGGCCGCGATCAATCATCGCCTCCAGCGTATGACAGTAGGTGACATGATTGTTTTGCTGCAGCTGCTCCACAGAGCGCAGCCATTCACGAGCCTTGCGCAACGCATCCTTCAATATACCATGCGACGGCACCTGCCCATTGATGTCAGTGGCGGACTTCAGAAACTGCTCAATCTCGGCCAGCTCGTGCTGTTGATTGAGTCGTCGGAAATATTTAGCTGCCTGTGATTCCCATGCCTCGATCGCAGCACCAATTTGCTGCAACTTGCGCATCTCACGATCCACATAAGGATCTGTTGGATCCAGATCAGCGGCTGCCGTATGCAGCAGAGTCTTCACATCATTATAGGTCAGCTTGGAGCTGGTCTCGCGCAAGCCTTGGGAGCGTTTGTACCATTTGCATTGCTTGAGACGCTTCTGCAGATGATCCAACTGCTGCAGCTCAATGCGCAACGAACTGCCCTCATTGATGAGCGTCTCCAGCTCATTCTCTTCCAGCGCCTCCAGTGTTTGCTGCAATTGGTTATCGGCACGTTCCACAAACTGCCGACCAAGCACTAAAAGCTCACGCACCGAGGCACCCTCATCGATAATGCAGCACAGATTGTCGATTTCCTGTACAAACAGCTCCAGCTCCTCCATGGTCAGTTTATATTGTGCTGCCTCCTGATTGTGATCGGAACGGGTGCGCACCTTTAATATATACATATATAAATCATATAAGAATGTAATTTTATATTATATAACATATTCTATATAGCATATAGCCTCACTATTTTAACCACATAAATATATATTGATTAAATAGTCTGATCAAATTGGTAGTACGAGCTGAAATCGATACTATTTGGGTTCAAATTGAGAAGGCTTTACATATAGACATTCAGTTATAAAGAATATAAATGAAATATAAAGCAAATCTAAGGTTAATCATAATATTAAGATTTATATTACACATTATAAATAAGGATTTAATTACTAAATGTATATCAATGATTTACCTTATTGATGCCCAGTTGTTGGATGACTGTAACACATTTCTCTGCCTCTATGGCCGCTGCATTGAGTCGATCAATGAGCAGAGATGAAGGAAACTTTTTGGTCTCTGCTTCCTTACAGAGCTCCTGCAGCTCGGACAGGGTCACCGATGTCGGAGTGTGGGCATCGACAATGTCGCGACAACGCGACAGCCAGCGCTCAAAGCTGTGCGCCTTAACCTTCAACTTTTGCAGCATCAACGGCATCTCGTCCAGCGTATAGCGATAGATGAGCGTATGTTTCTCTGGCGCACAGCCACAGAGCACAGTATAGTGGCGCAGGCAGACAATCAGCTTGTCGTTGCACTCGCAGGCAACGGCCGATAGGAAGCAGGTTGTATTGCACTCCTGGCAATGGCGCTCATCATCATTAACCAGCTCGAAGGCGCGACGTTCGGCACGTGTGACGCCCCACTCTAGCAGAGACTTGCGCAGCTTCTTTTCGGTGTCAACCATTTCGGCCATGTCAATGTAGCAGGCGGTGGCGATGCCAAACGTCAACTTGGCCGGCTCTAAAGCCATCTTGCAGACGAGCTCGTCGTGCGAGAAGACACAGAAGCGACGCAACATTGAATAATGATTGACGCATTCGCGTCCCATTTTCAGCCAATCCGCGGGCGCAAAATTGACGGCCTCGGCAAAATTGTAGCCCTGATTGAAGCCAGCATGATAAGCGCGCGGAAAGGTAATTACAAATTCGCCAGCATGCTGATCGGTGCGAAAGACGGGCACACCATTGTTCATTAATATGTTGGGATTCATAATGGTCACCAGCTGATGCAGTAGATCGGGCTGCGAGGAGAAGAGCTCAGGAGCGGCACGCTTCATCGTTTCTTCAAACTGCTCGGCACAGGAGCCGGGCACACCGTACCAGGTCTTTGGCTCGCCCCAGTGCAAATAGTTAATCGAATAGCTCCAGTGATCCTCGTTGTGCCAGCAGAAGGCAGCAAAGCACATGCCCACATACATCCACGGCGCATTCATGCCGCTAATATCAGCATTAATGTGTCCCAGTATCGAATCCTCTAACAACGGAAGATTATTTAAATTCCAGCTGGACTCGGCGTACTCCTGATCACCGGGCAACAAATAATGTGAGCTCTTTGTGGGAAACCCGGAGCCGTGATCCATTGTATGTAGATCTGCGCCATATTCCACAGTCACATCCTCATCAATTGACGAAACAATGCGCCAAAATTCACGCTCCACCAGCTCCGTGGGCACCAAGTGCACCGGTTTGCGAAAGTATTCCTGCTTGAATTGATCGGCCATCTGGCCAAATTGCTGCAAGGTGTACTCTCGCTCGGCCTGTTCGAAACCAAAAGCTTCCTGCGGCTTGCTCACCTCCTCCACAACGCAACGCGGGCAAAGCCATTCACCTAGTACGGTTGAATCAAGGAAGAAATAAAATGATTGATAACTGATTAACAACTGACTCAAGAATTATAAAAATCTCAATTATTTCTATATTTTGAAAGGAAAAGTGAACAAAATAGAAGAGATAGAACTCACCTTTCGGTATGCTGCTCAATGGTGGCAGCAAGCAGAAGGTATGATAGCTATCATCGCAGCCATCACAGAGCAGCATTGACTCTTCGACATCGCCCCGATTGCAGATATGACAGATGTACTTCATCAGTGGATCGATAAGCGGCTGCTGTAACTCAGTGGTCGCTTTCTTTTGGGTGGCGCGTGTATTCGGTGTAGCTCCGCAGCCAGCTGATTGGCCAGCACCCGCAGCGGCACCCGCATTGACAGCATTAAAGCTGCTCAATAGGTCGCGCTTGAAATCCTCCTTGGTTTCAGTTTTAATGGTAATGGCAGCCGCACCTGGCTTGGTGTTTAGGCCGCAACTGGCGTTCGAGTTGCCAAAGCGCTTTGAGCGACGCGTATTGTTCTCATTGGGCGGCGCGATTTGCTGACGTGTGGGTATCTCATGGGCCTTATAATCTGTGCCGGCATCCTCGAGCTTGACGGGCGTTGCGTTTACTGTAGAAGCTGCCGCATTAGGTCCCAATACTTTGCCAGACGTGTACACCTCAAACGGATGCAGAATACGTTCGTAATGGGCTTTTAGTGTGGCGCCCACACTTTTGCTGGATGGATACTGCATACGATTGGCTACCTTGGCCCATTTGCGCTCCTTGGTGGTCTGCTCCATGCCACCCTCCTCCTGTACGATGCGATGTAATGTATATAGATCTAGGGCTTTACGCTCTACCATCGGGATTTTTAGAGAGGAGCCTTGCAGCTCCCAAAACTTGGCGATGTGATCCAAGAAATTCAATTTGACGCGCGTCTTTGCCTCCAGTTCGTTGAGTCGCTGCACGCGCGGCACAAAACGCAACTTGTCAACATCGACGGCAAATGGCGGTGACCATTTATCCGGCGGTAAGATCTTGGCAATGCCACATTTCTCCGCTATGGGTCGAATCTTGCTAATGTATGCCAATGGATTCTTAAACTCTTCCGCTGTCGGTCGAAATACTGGGCACTCGGGCGGTGTATCAAAATGGAATTCCTCGTTCTTGCCCTGATCGAATTTATTACTGCTATGCGGCTTCGTATGCAACGATTTCTTGTGCACCGTAGGTGTTGGATGCGGACAGCTGTTGTGATATTTCTTACTGGCCGACACGCTGCTACTGGCATGATTCATCGGCACGCTGGGCATGGGGCGTTCTACGGAGCTGGGTGGCGCTGATATTGGAGTGCCAGAACCTGAACCGCTGCTACCACCACCAGCTGATGTTGGCATCGATATTCCTGTCGACGCTGACGAACCATCATTTCCCGTTGCAGCTGATTCGTTATTGTTGTTGCTGTTGTTGTTATTAATATTATTATTGTTATTGTGGCTGCTGTTTGTATTCTTTTTGGCCGACTCGCTGCCACTTCCGGTTGAGTTGCGGGTGCGCAGGCGTCGCGCTGGTGTTACGGTGCCATTGGAGTTGCTATTGGCGCCTCCTGTGCCGCCACCGCTGGCGGCTAGATTGTCCGCCTCGGCTTTGGCGGACATGTGGGGCTTTATAGATTTTGAAATGAACTGCTGCAACGGCTGCTGACCTTGTTCAGCTCTGCAAATGAGTATAAAATATCGTTTAGTTCACAATTAAAATTATGATAGAAAATTTTCGTTTGTATATATATTTATTTTTCAATAAACGCTTCTATTAGTTCTATGTACTTTCTGCTTGCTCGCTCAAAATCACAGTTATTAGTAAACGTACTTCACTGACTTCCGTTTACATTACGTTTGTTTCTAGTTTTTTTTGTGTTTGGGGTTGAAAATCCACAATCTCAATAAACATAGCCATTTTCTAGTTTTCGGCCTGCCTGCCAAGTGTGACCAGCAGACGAGCACAGTTCACAGTTACAAGTGTGTGCGTTTGTATGTGTGAGTATGTGTATGTGTATTTGTGCAACACTTTTCAACACTGCAAGAACAAGCAGCCAACCTTTTTCATATGTTTAAACGCATGAACGAACGCAAGTGAAAAGTTGTAATTGTAATAGTGTGTGTGTATGAGAGAGAAAGAGAGAAATTTATACACACAGATACACCAAATCACGCACAACCCCTCTCGGACTAGCAGGCAGGTAAACAAAAACAGTAAACGGCATTTATAGAATTAGTGTACGTGAGAGCGCCTCTCGCCGTTTAAATGTGGGGGTTGTGTGGCATTAAAATCGGAGACTATTCTTCAATACATACATACATACATGTATATACATATATAGAGAAAACATACGCACACTTACAAGCAATTGCACTGACTGCAAGCGCATTTGTATTTGGCTCAGTTGGTTCTGATGCTTGATTACATTATCAGCCAGCGTTTCTGATATTGATAAAAATAAAATTGCAATAATTTAAAATGTCTGTATGTATGTATAATCATAATCAGCAGATAAACATCAAATTACAGCTGGACTACAGGAAACTTAAATAAGTAATTTAGTTTTTTGAATACTTTTATTAAAAAATTAATATCTAAGTCTAATTAAATTTGTTTTAATCAATAAAAATATAATATTTGTAATATATTTATTTGATTAGTTGTTTTCTGCACATTTTTTGTTTATATGACAAATATCCATAAATTGATATATAAAACTATCAAAAGAATTTTATAATAAATATTACCTGATTTCAGTCTGTCTTGGGTTTTAATGCTGATCAAATCAAAAAAAATCTAAGCCCATATATATAGTCTAATTAAAAGATTTAAGCTCTATTAAAAGTATCGATAATCAAGGAAAAATTTGTGACCCACGAGTTGCGTTAAATTTACATACACAAAACGATAAGTGGATAAAATTGTATTTAGCTTTTGGAAAACTTTCTTTTAATTATGTATGTATGTATGTATGTACACACACATGAAAAATCTTAGCACCTGTGAAGAGTTTCGGACTGTTTGACCGGGTGGCAAGCAAAGCGCAAATAAATGGCACACACAACACATACTTGCACAAATGACAAACAAACTCGTCTACGTGATCAAAGAACGCCTATCGGCAACTAGGGGCCAAAGGGGTGGGGGTGGTTTTGAGCTTGCGACGGTCTGTCGTGAGAACGACTGAGAGAAAGAGAGTAGGCAGTGAGAGCGAAGCGAATGTGTGACTGGGAGTGGGAGTTAACACGGATGCAGCGCACTGTTGCAGTGTTGGTAACGCACAAACAACATTTGGCATGTTGTTTTTATTTTGCAATTCTGTTTTGCTCACTTACACAAACAGAAACACAATACACATAAAAGCCAACAGGAGTTTTTTTATTTGCCATAACACATTTCATCGTGTTAATTGTGTGTGTATGTGGCGCATGTTAGAATCGTGCAACAGGAAAAAATTAATTTGTTGCATAGAAAAATGGAGCGCACAATACAGATACACATACAAATCTATACATCTTTATTATTTATTCATACGTACGTTTGTATATGAGTGTATATGCACACACAACATTACTTTGCGTGTATGTATAACATAACGACCGATAGCAAAAAACTTACAAATTCAATACGTATGTATGTATGTTTATAACCATACATACATATATATGTAAAATTCTAAAACCATTTGTTCTGCTTAGCGCACGCATATGAACCGGTAGTTTAGCTGTTACTGCAGCTGGGAAAGCTCGTACTTTCCAACATTAATTGCGTATTTCCAGGCAAAACTACTCGGCCACATGCAAAATGTTTATATTTATTGTGTGATGAAATTGAAATAGTAAAAGAAGCCATATTGAAAAACGTCGGTGTCGGCATCGACGCCGGCAGCGATGTTAAAGTTCCGGTTAAGGCTTTTTTGCAGCGTCCAAATAGACAAAAGGAAGCCGCCGTAGTAGTCGCAAAAAGCTTTGCCTTTGGTGGTTGTTGTTACAATTTACACACACACACACACACACATCTATAGCAAACGGTTCGGATATAAAAGTGGGGCGACGCCGCCACCACCACCCCAAATAAAAAGAATAACGTCAATGCATAACCAGGGAGTAAGCGAGTACACGAACAAATTTCGAGTATGAGTATTGTGTAGCTCTGTCATTTCCTTGATCACAACGGACAGACAGACAGACAGGCAACCAGACTCTATCTGTCAGTGTGAGAGCAACGAGTACCGTTTTATGTGTACATACATACGTATGTACGAATGGGAGATGACACGGGCAGCGCGTGAGTGCGTATGCTTTGAGCGTTTGTTTTTAATTTTTACTATTTTTTCCTTAGCCACACAGCTTTTGCTTTAATTGACGTTTGCAAATTATTGATTGGTAAAATGTGAACGCTGCGCGCTTGCCAACTACGAGAATTTCAGAGTCTTGACAAAGTTGGCAACGTTTTTCGTCAACCTATGCTGCCATATTGATCGTTAGGTTCGTGTGTATATATGTATGTGTGCGTTTTGGTGGAAATAATTAAAGCCTAAGAGCCGCATGCTGTTTTAATCTAAAGCGCCTCACGCACACAAAAAGGGGTTTTATATAATTTCCATTTTCAGTCGAACACAAACACACGTACGCGAACTTACACACACACATACACTCACAAGCGCGCACAGGTATATACATATACGTATAGAAACACACAACAGCATTTATCTATACATACATAAATTTGTATGTATGTTGGTATATTTGTATGTTTAGTGAAATTAACACTGAAAGTCGTTTTACTTTGTCAAATGCAATTGATTTAATGTACTTTGGTTAGCTGCATCTGAAAAACTCTGCTCACAAAACAGTTTTCCGTTGCCAACCAAGCCCAGTAACAGCAGCAGCAACAACGACAACAACCAACATCAGCAATGTCTACTACAAAAATAGTAAGCAGTTAACAAACGTCGACGTCGACGTTGTGGTTTTTACGCACTGTCCACCATATTGCACATTGAAATGTTTTATGTTTGTATGTATAATATATGTATGTTTGCGCATACATCGACGTGTGAATGTGTGTATAAATGCAACACTGTACTTTTTTTTATAAAATTTTACACTTTGCATAATTAGTCGACAGGCCTGTAATTGAAATTGATATTCAAGCGTGGGATCACAATATTTGGAGGGATTAACTGCGCTAGACACACACACACACGCACACAGGAGGCAGGCAGCGACGTCGACGGCAACGTCTCTGCTATGATGGCGACCAAAGGCTGAGAACGCACTTTACAACGTCGGTGGTGGTGCTGCTGCTATTACCTTTCTGTCAATGTATGAGCTTATTAAAAATTCACAAAAAATTCACGAAAAATATTATATCAACGGTGTGGCAAAGCTTTACCTTAACAACTACATTTTCACTTTTTATTATATTTTTTTCTTTTAGACTGCGCTGCTAGCAGTGGCCGCAGTAGCAGCAACCGCACACATACAAGTTTTTTCTTCTTTGATTAAAACGCGGGGGGTTGATTCCAACTGTCTTTTTCAGAGCGCACTATAGATTTATATTAAGTTTCGCTTGATTTGTTGCAACGTTTTGGGCATGCCGTATTATATATATGTGTGTTTTGTCCATATTTCGCCTGCTAATTAAACAATTTCTGCTGCAGCCATCAGCAAAACTCACACACGCACGCATACACAGAGGGTAGAAGTGGAAGAAAAACTAAACTCACTGTCGTCATAGGTAATGGGGCCGAGCACGCTGTTTGTATGCGTGCACTTGCCCAAAATATCTCATAGATCCACGCACACAGCACTTAATCAATTCTATTTGTATTTAAATGTTATATTTATTTTTCCTGGTACTGATCTTTTCTACTGCCTTTTCAACTGCACACGACGATGAAAATCAGTGTGGCTAACTCTTGCGTTCAATTTAATACCGCAGTGCCGCAACAGCACACACAGAAAATACCAAAGTCTATGTAAATAGTAACATAAATGGGGGAGTCTATTCTGTTAAGTGGGCAACCTATTATGTTAGTTGTATAAACAATAGCCTTGCTTACATGAGATGACTCTGTTAAGTTAAAGAGTTATGGTGTTTTGTCGTTACCTGGTGGAGTGAAGTGTTCGGTAGAGCAGTAAATACTGTAAAACCAAGTAGATACATATGAATTTATACACTAGTAAACAACAGTGTGGCAACGCTGATTGTCAGACAGTGGCAACTTCAAAGCTTGCGATGTTAATAACAGACACTCAAAAAGGCTAACAACTATCATGCTTATCGTACTAGCCTACAGGTTTTCTTATTTGCTGTTCTCGTCGCACAATTGCTAAGTCGAAATCTGTGGCTGGTAAACACAGCTTTTCGTTCTAGTAAAATAAAAAAAAAATTAAAAATAAAATAAAATAAAATTAACAAAAATAGTAGTGTACGATAGTAGCATAATCATTCCGTACCAATTAGCAATCGTCAGACGAGCTGTTGTTGTTGCCGCCGCCATCGACTCTCGGAAAAATGCCCGCAGTGCGCAAATATCGTCGCGAAACAAGTGAAATCAGTTGCTGCCTCAAATATTTGCTCTTCACCAGCAATGTAATTATCTGGCTGACCGCACTTGTGGTGCTCTCCGTTGGGATTTGGGCCTGGACCGAAAAAGATATGTTTCGCAACATTAGCAAGCTAACATTTATTGCATTAGATCCCGCTTTTGTTCTCATTATATTGGGAACCATCACCTTTATGTTGGGCCTAATGGGCAGTGTGGGTGCACTGCGAGAAAATACCTGCCTCCTGAGCGCTGTAAGTTATACAAAATTTTCTTTGCTCCATATAAACAATATACATATATTAAAGTCGCTTTATAAATTATTTATTTACAGTATGCTATATTTCTGAGCGTTCTACTGCTAAGTGAAATTGGCTTCTGCGGGCTTGCGTTTGTGCTCAAGGACAAAGGCTGGGTAAGTTGTTAACATTTACGCATAGTAAGCTGCATACTAATTAGTTGGCAAAGTTGAATTAAAGCTGCGCAAAGTAAACAAATCTGACTAAGTCGTTGCTAAGTTGATTTTATTTTCATTATTTGTTTATTTGATTTAAAGTTTATTTCTATTTAATATTTAAAAAATATTTTAGACACATTATTTTTAAAGTATGGTTTTTTTGTAAATTATACTTAAAAAATATATTGTTTTTATTACAACCTATATGATATTTTAAAATATAATAATTGTATTTTTCAATTCATTTTGGTTTACTTAGTAATATCACGAAATATAGTGTGCAATATAAATAGTTTTAAGCTCAAGAAAAACTAATTTAATGATATAAATTTAACAATTATAATTATAATTAATATTTTAAATGTATGAAAAATATCTTCTATTTTTTTGTAGATCAAAGATCAAGCTACAGAAGGTCTGAGAGCTTTTATCAAGCATTATCGCGAGGATCCGGATCAACAGAATCTGATTGATTGGATACAGGAGGATTGGCTGCAATGTTGCGGCATCGATGGGCCCAAAGACTGGGATAGCAATAACTATTTCAATTGCTCCTCAATAGCGATTGGTAGCCGTGAAGCATGTGGTGTGCCCTTCTCCTGCTGTCGCCGGCGACCGCAGGAGGTGATCAAGAACAAGCAGTGTGGCTATGATGTGCGCAAGGAGGGCTACGTAAGTTGATTGACAACTAAGCTTCGCTATAGATTTTTCAGGCTTAATCAATTTTATATGCACGCATGCAGCCAGTGGATAGAAATATACATGAGCGCGGTTGCTTGCGCGCTGGAGAGGATTGGCTGGAGACGCATTTGATTGGTGTGGCTGCCACAGTTGTTGGCCTGCTCATCATGCAGGTGCAAGAGTTTTACAATATATATGTTTCTTTTAGTTTTATATGCATATACATATATATATTTTAATGTTTATATATCATGTTGCTTACATTTAGAGTTTGATGCTTTTGTTTGAGTTTATGTGACTGGCAGAAAACGATTTCTAGACCATATTAAGACCCCATATTCGATCTAGTATATTCCGTATGCTTCCGGGCAAATCCCGAATCCTTTACGATGTTTCTCTTGTCGGAGGAGCAGTTCTAAATTCCTTAAAAGTGTTTATTCCATAATATTGATATACGCACTTTAAGTGTTATATTAATAACATAGACTATATCATAGATTATTCTTAAGTAAACATACATAACGGAAAATAGGTTATGTATATTTACTATGTACTATGAAGAGAGATAAGCTATACTGTTTTCATGTAGCAGATCAGCGTGGGGTTAATTTTATCTACTAGTCAGTTCATGGCTTCTCTTACTTGTTTTCAATATAAGTATCATATTTTATTATTTAATTTATATTTATTTGATTTATTTTCATGTCGTTATTTGCAGTTTACGCCGCAGGGCATGGAGCTCTCAAAGATTATTTATGAGAAAGGCTGCGTTCAGGCTGGCGAAGAATGGATTGAGAATAATTTGATTATTATTTCCACGGTCGCTATTGGTGTTATGTTTTTTCAGGTGTTTAGTTTGTTTTGAATTTGACACATATTTTTATTTCAATATACTTGAAGTGAATGCATTTACTTATAACGTTTTATTTGCCTTGCAGATTCTTGGCATTTGTTTTGCGCAAAATTTGCGCGCTGATATCTATACACAAAAATCGAAATGGCACTGACAAATGGCGCACGCTGCCCCCACAGCAATTTAGAAAGGTAAGCGACGTACACAGATAGCAAACAGCAACAGCAACTTTAACTACAACAACTATAACTACAACTATGCATCATCTAAATCAACGCTTCGGTTAGTTACCTATACTATAAATACCTAACTATATGTATATATATATTATATATATATGTATGAGTGTCTACTAAACGCAAACGCATTCCGTCTTCATGGACATTGACTAAATATTAACTAGGTTGCCAAATTTTTTGCTGTTCTACGTAGGCTTCTTTTTTACCCAAAACACACACATACTAAGAAAGCAGAAAGCGAAAAAAAAAACAATTTTCTATACATTTTTACATAAAGAGACGTATATATATATATATATATATATATATATATATATGTGTATATATACTTGAAGAAGAAGTAAATTAACTCGAAATGCAGCTGTGATATATTTTTAGTAAATGTATAGAAATGAGACGAAAAAGCTATTCAAATATATTTCAAATGCAAATAAATTTTCCAGAATGCAAAACTTCGGCAAACCGAAGCGAATATAACCTAGCAGAATGTATAATATTTGCTAACAAAATATCTATCACATTAGATGGATAAATCTACATTCCAAACCAATATTATACTGCTTAGAGGTATCCAAAAACAGAAAATTTCATTTCAAATGTAAACAGCAAAAATCTACCACTATAAAACCTATAAGATATATATAAATATATATATATATTGCAGTATTTTTTATAACACTAATGAACAAAACAAGTATGGAAACTTTTATGTGGGGGCACTTAAAAATAAAAACAAAACAAAATAAAAATATATACAAATTATAAGTAGTTTGCTGATTAGATTTTTGACGAGCTTAAATTGTACGCGCCGCATGCAGATTTATGTAATAAAATATATATAGTAATGATATAACAAATATATTTTTACATAAATCATTTATAGTTTTTTCCGCTTACGGATTTCCTAATTTGCAATTAACATGTACTATTGCATAATACATACATAATATAAATGAAAAACAAAAACCTGTCTTGTGTTCGTTATAAGTTTTACTTTTGTTTTTAAATAAGACTGATGTCGAATTAGTCGAAACAACTTTTGCACAATGAACTAATGTTAACAAGTTATGTATAAAATATATATTTGTTTAATCTATGGGTTGATAGGCATCCTTGTGAATCGCCCTAACTATTACTAAGCTTTGTTTTCCATTTCGTGACTATTATTAAGTTTTAATGTATTTCGAATCTGTTAACATACCTCTTGTATTTCCTCTACTACAATACTGCCCTAAAAAACATGTAGAAACACAAAAACCATTTTTTTTATCAAATTTTGATATTAAAAGGAAAAACATTTAATTATATTTCGAAGAATTTACATTGAACACCAACTGAGTCTCTTTCAATTTTTGAAATATATTTTTGAGAATATCGAAAACTAAATGTACTTAATACTCTACAAATGTATTTAATATGCTAATAACAAAAAACCAGAAAATAATGTCTCGACGCACAAAATAAAATATTTTTCCTATAAAACAATTAAATTATAAATAAAAAATTAAAAAAAAAATCTGAATCTCCATTTGCCAATGAACAAAATATTTATTGAAACGAGAATTAAATTTAAGAAAAAATTAAAATTAAAATTAATGAATTAATTTGAGAAACCAAGGAAAATAAAAAGAAATTCCTGAATAACGAAAGAGTCAATTGAAAACGAGCTAAAATTATAATAAATACAATGTCAGTCAAACAATATTGAATTAATTAAGCAATGTTTATTATAAAACAAATGTAACAGCTAAGATTAGCAAATATTATATAAAAACGCTTGTCAAGGTTGTTGTTGCGACAGCAAAATCAATAACTGCTTCTAAACAACAAAAAAAAGAAAACGCTTGTAAATGGTAATAATAAAAATTAACAAAAAACTGTTTGACGTCTACTTTTGTGCCTCGCTGGACTCTCCATCCAGCTGAGCAACTGCATCGAATTGCACAGCCGGCAGCTCAGCGCCGTTTGTGGTCTTATTGCAGCGTTGATACTCGATCAGCACCAAGGAATTAGAGCCCACTTTGAGCAGCTCATTGGGCACATAGAGCGTTATCTGTGGTCCAGCTAGCGGCCAGTAGCGGCCCAAATTGAAGCCATTCACGTAGGCCACGCCTTTGCCCCAGCCAGCCATGTTCAGATAGGTGTCGCCCACTTCAGGTACCTGAAAGCTGCCCGTATAGAGTATGGGTCCGGTGCGTAGCAGCCGCTGCTTAGCTATCGATGCCTCGAGCGCTGCATTTTCTGCCAACTTCTGATGCCAGCTCTCAATAGCGATCGCCTCCAGTGGATAGCCTGTGGTTGTCCAATTGTCCAGTGGCAAAGCGCCGCCGTTATGTAGTTGAAGGGTCACCTTGCCAAAGATACCCTTGGTGTCATTGGCGCGATCATAGTTAATCCGTCCCTGATTCTCTACGAGCAGCTGCAGTGTGCTGCCCCAGCCCTTGCTCAATGGCAGCGCATAGATGCGTGCCTCCCGGGACAATGTGCCCACCAGCTGCTGGTCGACGAAGACGTGAGCTCGATCGCGCAGATCTTCCACCTGTAGCAGCGTCGGATCCAGATCCAAGCTAGGAAGCGGTGTCTCATATAGCAACAGGCCGGAATACTGATCCATTTCCTCAAACGATTTGGGCATATCGGACTTGACGGGCGTGCCCTTGGACAGGGCAGCGCGTCCCTCCGTCGAGAGTAGCTCCATTGAAGGCGTCAGCTCCACTTTGCCATATGCTAAACGCTTGGCGGGATTTAGTGTAATATTGGGCGGGTCAAGTACCTCGCTTATCACTTGCTTGATTAATTCATATTTTTTGGTAACTCCGCCCGCCTCATCCATAACGGCATCGTAGTCATAGCTGGTTATGTCCGCCGCATACCCAATGCCACCATCCAGATCGTAATTGGCGCCGGCTGTAAAACCAAAGTTCGTGCCGCCAAAGAACATGTACAGATTAACGCTGGCATTGTAGCTGAGTATGGTCCTGAAAGGCATAAGCAGAATATTATAGTATACAAATGCTGATATATTTGGTTTCTTTAAAGGTACTTCAAAGCGCTGGCCACTTCGTTCGGATCGCGTCGCTGATTCATCTCCTGCCAATGCGTCAGCCAGCCAGGATAGAATTCCGAATTGACTAGTGGTCCAGTAGGCTGTACGCCGCGCAGATATTCCCAGATTTTGTCAATCTCATGAACTGTATAAGAGAAAATGTGCTTGAGTGTAGCTTGAGATGATTTGAGATTGACCTTCAAGAAGCCGACAGTTAAGATTGGCTTAATCTTATATAGTTATGTACACTTATATAGTTATAAGAGTTGAGCTTTTATATATGTCTAAAATTAAGCAAGCTTATTTCATTTTACTAAAATTATCCTTGTGAAGGTAGTTTTAATTATATATTTATACAAAAATTAATATATTTTCAATTTAACAAATATGTATAGTTTTAACTGCCTCTACCGAAGATCTTTTAAACTGCAATCACATGTTTCTACTCACTGCGATCAATGCCAAAGTCCGTGGTAGCAAATACATTCTCAATCTTGCCGCAGTGCATCCGTTCATTTGGTATATCCACAGTGAACAACAACGCCTTATTTTCCACATATTTATCAGTCTCGTCGCGCAACCAATTCAGATACTCATGATCGCAGGCATAGTATGCGGCATATTCATTCTCGACCTGCACCATGATGATCTTGCCACCGTTGCCAATTAGCAAATGCTTTAGGCGTGGCATTAGCTCAGCGTACCATTTGCTTACCTCAGCCAAATAATTGGGATCATTTGTGCGTACTTTGATGTTCGGATATTTGGTGAATAGCCAGTGGGGTAGGCCGCCCTGTGTTAAATTTCAAATTTGTGTTAAATTTCAAATTAGTCATTTCAATTTGTTATCTGACTTATGTTACTTACGTTATCGCGCTCAGCACAGATATATGGACCGGGACGTAGCACTATATAAAAGTTTTCTTCTTGAGCTATTTCTAGAAATTTAACCACATCGGCTATGCCCTCCCAATTGTATTCGCCATCATGTGGATTATGTAGCGACCACTCAACGTAGCTGTTAACGATAAAGGTAAAAAATTGTAGATACATTAAGTATAAATAAATAAGGGAAATAGCTGAATCTCTTCAGATATGTAAAAGAACAGTTTACTAGATAAAAATATAAATATATAGATATATATGTAGATAATATTGTTATTTATATAGATAGACTGTTATATTATTATTGAGAAACATAGAACATCAACTACTTTTCTATATAGCTAGTCTAGCATTTTCCTATAATCGGTGTTTCCTATAATAGTATGCGAGGTCTTTTAATGTACAATTTAATGAGAAACATAAATTAGTAGCACAAAATCAGAGTCCCACATCTTCATTCAGGCTTGCTTAATTTGAATTTCCCTTGTAAAGTTCAGCCTTGAGAACGTTTTGTGCAATTACTTATGGATGTAGCTCAGTGTTGCTTATCATCAGCTTGTAAAAGTCAGAGCTGTAAACCCATTCATTATATTGATTCATAACTTTTAGTCAGCCTTGCAGTTGCTCAAACCAAGCCATAGTCACGTCCTACGGCTTACACAACTATCCTATCTAAAGCTACTACTCACGTATCCAATGCATTGAGACCAGCTGCACGCATTGTGCGCAGACGATTTCGCCAAGCATCGGGCAGAGCCCGGAAATAGTGAAATGAGCCGGCGACATAGCGAAATGGCTGTCCATTCAGTAGGAAAGTGTTTGCCGTGTGATCAATGCTGAATGCGGGTGTTTCCTGATGAAACGAAGTTATAGCGGTTAGCCAATGTTCAACAAATTGACCCACTAAACTTTTGTTTTTTAGCTCACCTCTGTGACGTCATTGCTGCCGCTGAGCCCCACGCAGAGGCCCACAGTCAGCGCGATCACCAAAATTATAATGCCTCCACCCATGGCCAACGTTAGCTTACGAGTGCAGCGAAAACGGCCACTGCTGCCACTCATGGTTGACTTAAAGTTTTATGATCAAGCTTTATTGGGCTCGAAAGCTACAGTTGAACACCTCAAGCTTTTAGCTTACTTCAAAAGTTTCTCTTCTAAGAGCTGGTTTTAAATAACAACCGCTAAGTTGCCCTGGTCGGTCGGCAATGTCAATGGGTTCTGGCGCTTTAATCGCTCACTTCACGATATATAAATAAGTACGTGTATGTATGCTGATAAGTGGGGTCGCCTGGAGTGTCTGATAAAGCTAAACTAAAGTGGACTGCACAATTTGTTTGTCATTTCACAAGACGAGTGTGTTGTTATTTCGGCATTAGCTCAATTAGTTATAAAAGCGCATATCTTGAGCGCTTTAATCGCATCTAAGCGATAATCCCTATCTATGAAATCTGTTTCGATTGTAGACAAAAAATATAAATATGAATATATGAAAATATAGAACTAATTAAGGCATGTGAAGTGTTTCCAAATTATATTTGGCTATTATACTTTCGTTTTGTTAGATCAAGTTTTCATATCTCATCTGAGTCTGTACAGCTTAAAAAATGTATTTCATTTTAAAGTTTTTTCCTAATTCAATATTCGTTCTGAAGTTGTCGCTCATTTCATAATAAACTCAGCTTCATTAATTCAGTAAATTGTTGACTTCCGATACGATTTGCTGTTGTTAAGTTTGATAACTCTATAAATATAAATTCATATTTCATTTCCCTTTGTCTTTCACTTATATATATATATATATATATATATATTTATATACGTCTACATAGTATAAAACACTTATCGCTATTTAATTTTCCTTTATTTTCTTTATTATAGTTTACCGCACTATCACTTATAAAATTGCAAAAAATTATATTATAATTATAATTAGTATACGGTTTACACTTGTTGAATGTATTATGTATGCATTTGATTAACTGTATATTGTCGGATCTATAGTATGTGTATATAATACTTTATATAGTTGGATTAGATGTGTCTTTTAATTACTAGACTATAAATGCCTTTGGTAGTGTGCTTCAATATTTTTGGTTAATGCGAACTCTCTTAGAGAATCCGCATATTATATTAGATGTAAATACATTTTGATTAATTTCAGCTTGAAATTGTGTTTTTTTTTGTAAGAAATGTTTTAACAATACTAAGTAGTTTCCATGGCTTAACTAAATTTTAAATATTTTTTGTTTTTTTTTTTTTTATAAATTATTTGAACTGTAACAAAAGCGCTTCTATTTTTTCTTTGTATATAAAATTATACATACATAGGTTGAGGTAGAAACAGCACAAAATTACAGAGAATTAGATAAAATTGTGGTATAGCTGAAAATAGAAGGACTAAGGGACTAGTATAAGACTTGTATAAGTATTTTTTTTGATTGTGTTAAGTAATATCTTAGCTTAGAAACTAGAGTCCGTATAATATCGTTGTTTACTTATTTGGTTTCAGTTGGTTTTTTGTGTCACTAAGCGCTGACGCTGCAAAATTTATCGGCCATCAATGTTAGCACCTTCTCTAGTTTTCCATGCCGATCCTCGGGCTTGGCGGTGGCGCCTGAACTACCCCACAGGAACTTGACGTGAAACTCAGTGCTGTATATGGAAAGTTTTAGTTATTAGCTAAAAAGATTCAATTGCAGGTTCTAATATTATACTTACCGAAATGCATCCGCTAGCAGTTCATCTAATCTTGTGCTTGCCTCCTCCATTATAATCTTAGCATTCTTGCGATATAGATCCAAATTCTTAAGGAAGCCACGTGATGCATCCAAATGCTGAAAATTGATGGTCATGCCAAAATCATCTGCTTTGGATTCCCAGGGTGCAATGCAGGTATTATAGAGTGCAGGGCGCTCATCCACATTGCTGTGATCGATAATGTCCATCACGGGTCTATCAATGAGCAGAGCGTAGAGCAGCACATGGGGCACAGTTGTGTTTGGCGCCTGCGGATTGGAGGCTTCATTCATGCTGCTTAAAGTGGGTCGAAGTTTGGCCTCAAATGTAAACGCACTGTCCGTGTACTTTTGGCGCAGAATGTGCCAGGCCTGATCCAGTTTTTGTATCTAAAACTCAAATTTAAAGATACATTGGAACTCCATATCCATTTTAAACTTAGCCAACTCACCTGTTGCATGCACAAGCCCAACATAATGGCACAAAACCCAAACAGATTGCCCAGCGCTGTTTTTGTTTCAACCGCAATTTGTATCCACTTGCTGAGCAGCTCGGCGCGATCCAGATCCGTTTGACAGGTCAGTATGGTCACGGCAACCATTAGCTTGATGCATTGCGTTCGCTCAATGATGTCCTCTCGAAATACTTTGCCATGTGGCAGAGTCAGCAACTCCAGACCTGAACAGCTTAAATAACAATCCGATTCATTTTCAGGCTCATCCAGAAATAAGCCCACATCGATGCGTGTAATGTGCTCGGCTAGTAGCTTGGGACCTGTTTCCAATAGCATCATCTTGAAAGTGTTCAAAGCATCGCCATCCAGCGGCTTATTCTCCACTGAAGGCAACAGCAACGTACTAAAGTTCTCAAAATCAAATTTGCTGCACTGCAATGCGAGGGGACATATTAGTCAAATATTATGAATATAGCTAGTGCTAAATATATTACGAGTACTTCGGTAAATCGAATTGTTACTTTAACCGGCGAAATAACGTAACAAGATTTAAGCTTCAACGTAAATCTGAATTGCGTTGCCACCTAGTTGCAAAAACTGCGTATGTTTCTCGATTGTTATATTAAATTTGATCCCACATTTTTAAAACATAAGTTGAGTCTGTTAACGGTAATATGCGTAATAAAATCTAATTTAAACTATTACAATGCTGTCTAATCAGTTGTGGCAAGATAGTTGGCAAGATATGGCGAGATCTTTCAAATAATTTAAAAAGTCGGGCACTCTTTTATATATGGCGCGCTTGTTAAGTTACAACAGCTGTTAAGAAGCTGTTACAGAGCTGTCTGTCAATATTTGCAATTAACATTACGCTACCAATTATAATTAAATTAAATCGCGTAAGGTGGCAATACCGTAATTCACAATAGACCACTATGTCAGTTGTATTGAAATTTTGAAAACTGGTAGTGCTTTAAAATATTAATGAACTTATGCGCTTCTGAACAGCTTTTGGCAATTTGTTTAAAAATTACAGTATTAGGTTGTTACGTATATTGTTGAAAATATATACTTTGCGTTCTTACCAGCTTAAACTCCTCAATGGGCAATGTAAAGAGCTGTTCCTCAGCGGCCAAGGCATCAAATTCCGTAAAGCTTTTCAAAGTGCCATTAGAAATTGAGCTGCTCATAAAACGAGGATTTTTGATAATGACGCCGCCACGTTGTATGCTCAGTTCACTGATATCACCGGGTGCTGAGTCCCCTGAGCCATTGCCTGAATCCGAACCGCTGGCCTGATATGCCAGCATAGCGGCCATTGGCTCCTTACGTGGCTTGGGCGGCGGACTCGGTGGTCGATCGGGCGTATCGAGACTGCAATTACGCGCCAAATTGCAAATGCGTGCTGCTGCCTGTTGTCGCAGCGCCTGCGCTGCCGAAGTGCTCGGACGTGGCAAGGACTGTGTGCTAAACTTGTGTTCCAAGTGTTGCGATTGCAACTGCATATCGCTGGTGGGATTACAGCGTGCAATGGTCTGAAAACGTGCCAGGCCATGGCCATTGGGGGCATCTGTTGCGGCAAGCTGCTGCTGCTGTTCCTGGTGCTTGTTAATGTTGCACACAACCATCGCCTGGGCTGGTGTCAAGCTCTGTGAACGTTGTTGCTTCTTACAGGGTAACCTCGGCGGTGGCACATCCCGGCGCACTCGTGGTGGTGAACAATGCGGACTAGCAGGCGTTCCAGCCTGTTGTTGCTGCTGCTGTTGCTGTTGCTGTTGCTGCTGCTGTGGCTGTGTTGTTGCAACGTCACCACTTAGTTGGCCAAAGCGAAAGATTGCGGAGCCACCTGCATTGTTGCCCATGGGCGAGTTCAATGGACTCAAACCACGCAATCCCGCCAACATTTGTGTATGCAGCTGATTGCCCACAATCTTGTGGCCATAGAAGGATAGTGGATATGTGCGATTGCATGGATATTGTATCAAGGCGCCCGAGGCAGCTGATATTGGTTTGCCCGAGCCCACGTAGAAGGTGATCAAGTCTGGCACCGTATCGAAGGCATCCTCCTCAAATTGATACTGCACGCGCTCGTAAACAGTCTCCGGCTGTAAAACCAGCTGGCAAATAAATGAAGGAAATGTGGTTAGTGTGATTCATGTAATATTTGTTGTTTTTATACATATTCTATAATCTAAACATTGATATACGATTGCCCACTCAATCAATATATAGCTGGAAAAATTCTAATTATTTTTAAATAAAAACTTATACACGGAAAAATACGATTGGATATATAGACTTAATCTGTAAATACTGAAATTTTCTTCAAAATATGGATAACTTCTTAAGTGGACTCTTCTTCAATGCAACACACTTAACGCAACATTTGACTCTTGAACTCACCTTGTTGAGCACAAAATGCAGGACAGCTGCTTTACTGCGACAGGTGAGCACGTAGTTATCCGGCTGGGAGGCGCAATCCCGCACTAAGAAATCTCCCTCTCGCTGAACAATCTCTTCGGCACGCTGACGTGGCAGAGCACCGTGGTACCAGGCATGCGAGCGCAATTCTCTGGCATCTAAGCTTAGTTCCCATTCGAGTGCCTTTTTCAGCGCAATGGCCTCCTGTTGCTCATTGGGATTGGGCGAGGCTGCAAGGGGCGTGGAAACGTTACTGTTATTGCCGCTTTCCATATCGTCGGCGTTCTGGCCCCAATGCGGACTGTTGCACTTGGAGCGCGGCTTCAATTCCTCATAGCTGTAAAGAGAGAGACAGAGAGTGAATTATTGCACTTCATAAATTTCCCTTATTATGGGAAATTTATTATGCTTGCGCTCTGTGTATACACGGCCGGGCTATTGTTGGAAAAGGGAAATCCGCTCCCACAGGATTGTTTCTTGGTATATGCGAACTTTTGTCTGAAGTTCAAGTGCAAAAAAAAATTACGCTAATGTAATTGTAGTAAAAATTGCTTACGCCTATTTCCCTCAGAATGTTCAGATTTGTAAACTAAGCTTAAAGTGTTTATAATAAATAATTGTAAATGCTTTTCATTTACAAGTTGTTATCACTCACCTGCTACGCCCATTTTACTAGCACAGCTTTTCGTTACGGAATATATACGCAGGACACGCCTCAAATAATTTTCTTTTAATGCTATCAGACTTTATATGGAAACAAACTTTTGTATTTAAAATAAATTGTTTTATGTTCAGTTTTATTTAATATTTGTTTTTTTGTTTATTGAAACTGTAAAACTTTTAGTTTATTCTTATCTTTGGCTTTTCTTATCGCATCGAACTCGTCTGCACTCTTTGCCATCTAAATTCGCTCTGCGTTTTTGGCCCACCCTGGCACAAGTCGAATGTCCTTGTGAGGGTTGTTCGCTGTGCGCGACTTGTTTGTGTTTTGTTTTAAGATTTTTATGCCGCCTGCCTAACGGCATAAGGCTTATTGTTTCTTTTTTATTTTATGGGAAATTCTTTGGGGCATGCGCAGAGTTTTTGTTATTGAAATATGTTTAAATGTAAGAGGGGCTGGAGAAGTGGTTGTTATTAACTCGGGAGAGGCAATATGCGGGCAGGCAGGCAGGGAATCACGAGTGTCAGCAGTTGAATGTGGATGTTAAGGAATTGTGGAACTTATTTAAGAATTCGTTATATTTTAAACAAATGTATTGTATATGTAAGGTTTACATGACATGAAAAAAAAAACAATTTTTTAATTTATATATTTTTTAAAATTATTTAATAATTAAAAAAATACTTTTGACACACATTATTATTAAGGTTTATTTTGGTGTAGATATATATATTATTTCTTATCAAGTTAAGATTAGGGAATAAAGTCAATTCTGAAAACTGATAACTAGCAAAATTTTTATAATATTTTATCTTAAATTGTGATCAGCTCAAAGTGAATTAAACCTCCCTGCTAACTGCCAATGCAATTAAAAAAAAACTAAAAACCTATAGGCCAATCCTCATTAATGAATATATTTGATACATTGGGAAAAGTTTTTCACGCAACTATTTGAGTAAAGATATATCAGAACTTAAGTTTTAATCAGTAAATTTACCAACAACATGCCTCGAGCTAACTTCTGCATAAGTTTTCTACTATCTAGTCAGTACTTTGTTTAGCATACTCACATAGTTGTTGTCTCATCGAATGTCAATTGCTTTAAGACCTTGCCACTTTTGGTGGTAATCACAGCTGCTCCGCTGCTTTCGTTGCTTTCAGCCATATTATCGGGATCTAGATAAACCATTGGACAGGAACTCTTGCGGCGTGGCACCGCACACGGAGCGCTTCTCATGGCTGTTCTCAGATAAATCAGCTGTAGCTATATAGATTGGCACCATTCACTAATTGCCGCCACTTACCTTCCAAATTCATGGACTGTCTACGCTTGGCCCTCACGCCCAACAAGCTGTTTAGCATTTTCTGGCGATGGGTAATGCTGCGTACACCCAAACGTTTCAAGTCTCTATCGGTTACATCGCCAACATCATTCACTGTTGCATACATTTTCAGGTTTTCTGTTTGAGCGGATGTGACACGTGAGTTACTGCAGTTTGCTGGAGAACAAAATAAACTGCTGACTAAACTGACCTTCATATTGCTGCAGCTCGAGCAGATTTAGCCATTCGCTAATGCTCAATCTGGAATTGTGTATGATCATGGCAACGTCGTCGCGTCGTCTACCGGAATTGGGATAACGAAAGTTCCACAGGATGCCTAATTGAGAGAGAGAGAGGGAGACACTGAGTGTTGTAATTGTATCTGTAAGATACATTTTCAACCTCTTATATCACTTACTGCTACGTCTATTTGTCGCATTCCGCGAGTCGAGCTGACGCGTTTGCACATTACCCATATTCTCAACAATTTCTACGTAGTTCTCAGCGTTTGTCTTTAACTATATTAGCTCTATAATTAAGCCGTCACATTGCCGCGCGTTCGTTAACTGAAATTTCAACCGCTCACAGCGCTTAGCCTCAACAAACTGAACAAACGAAGCTCTAGCAAAACATTATTGACAAAATCCAAGGCCTGATAAGTCGCTAACTAAATACTCTAACCAGCTAAAGTAAATTGTTATGTTTTTATATGTATATTTAGTACTATATTTTAAGTACTATAATTTAAATTACTACTAAGAATTACAACTTCAAAAATAGTTAGAGAAAACAAAGAAAATTTTTAAAATTTTAAATTTTATTCTTAATAATTTGTAATATTTAGCAATATTTTTTATATTTATTTAGAAAATATTTTATTTTGTATTTATTATACTTTAAATTTAAACATTTTTTGAGATACAAAAATTTTTTGTACTTAGTTTTTAATATATAGTTTTATTTTTAATTTTTATATTTTAAATTTGTATTAACATTTTTTTTTAAATATTTTTAATTTAATCAATACTAGTAGATAGATATAGTTTATATTCGTATACTATTTTTTTAACAAATGTGCTTTATTTAAATATTTTTCCTTATTTATTTATAATTTTTAATAAGCATTAAATGCTTTTATTTATTTAATTTTTCTTTTTATTGCATTTTGTTGTACAAATATATATATTTTTCAAGTTTGAAAAAACTTATTTATTTATTAAAAAATGTTTTATCTAAATACTCATCTGTTTAGTGATATTAAAACTAATACTTAATATATATTTTGTATATTTTTTATTTATGTAAAAGTAATCCTTTGCTAACAAACATATTTAGAAATTCTTCGTACTCTTTGTTAGAGTATAACAATAATATTATTACGAGCTGAAGTAATTTTTCAATGTCGTGCGTCAATAATTTGCGCTCACTGTTTGCCTAATTGTCTCTCTGATCCGCTACGGCTGATGCCCCTGCGCTTGACCAACTGCTGTTGTCGTCGGGTATCGGGTATCGGCTTTTATCATTGTCTAGATTAGAAGGTCTGCTCGTCGCAGTTTCGAGTTCTGCTGATCGCAGCGGTATATCTTTAATTAAATTTTCGGTTGTTTATTATAAGAAAATGGCATTGCGTGTTCTGCTATTGTTTACTCTGTGCCGAAGCACAATAAGAGAGCAAAGAGAGCATTAAGAGCGAATTGCTTTTAATGATATATGAGGTATTAATATGTTGCTTTATCAATTATGAATTGCTCAGCTAGTTCCTAATTGTTTGTTTTCATAAGTACATGTGGTCAGATCATATTAATTAACGAATATTGCTGGTCATTAGTCTAAGTTATTATACGTAGATCTGTGCCTTGATAGCATCTACGCAATATGCTCTTTTCATTGTTTGTTTATTGAACAAAATTGATAATTATCTGATGTATTTCATAAATCAATAAATAAAAGCATTTACGTTTAATAGAATTTGGGCTTATTTAGGTTCTCTTTTATGTTGACTAGCAACAAAATACAATTGTAATTGAAAGACAGCGCAGTGATTACTAAATTGCATGCTCCGTTCCTGCCTTTGGCTGATGTTTCTGAAATATCCAGATTATTGCTTAAGAAAATGCCTAAAGAAATTTTGTAGTATCTTACCATATATTTTACTATTAAAGACTTTATGTATCATGTTGACGAGCTTAGTTGATCTAATAATTTCGTATAAATGCAGCAATCTCGTAATTCAGAAAAGCTATTTTGAAATACATGTTTATATGCATGCATAAGATTAAATATTGTTTCGATAATTTATCTTATTTATCGATAACTTAAAAACGGTTACTTGAATACCCAACAAGCTAGATATTTGAAACTTATTATGTATACCTCTGAAATGATTACCTTGCTCTTTCCCTCAAATTTGCAAAAATCATATTTCAAATACTAGAGACTTGTGCTTCGGCACATACGCACATTGGAATGTCATTATCATGATCCTGATTTGCTTGATTATCTATATCACATATAATATAATTTAATAGTGAATTATCATCATTATTTTTCATATCATCATAAGCAGCAATATTATTATAATTTATTATAAAAATTTGTATATAAGTAACAGATGTTGAGACTTACCAGCAGCAGGTTAGAAATGCAAGCTCTTCAGCAGCCTCTTCTTTTAGTTCATTCTCAGTCATCAGATTCTCACTCATGGAACTCAAAAAGAGCGTTATCTAGAGAGTTTTGGGAGCTAACATTGACACTCATTCAGTAAAACTAGTAAATTGTTTCTGTGGGTTGAAGTACATATATGAATAAAGCAAAAAATATTTTAAATGGACAGACAAAAGAGAGACGACTCAGTCCAGTATTGTGGAATTTGAATCCCCTGCTTCAAGTCTCAGATTGATTAATGATTGTTAAATTGTTAGTGACGCAGGATAAAAGTATTTGCCAATCAAGAATCAGACTACTTTTTCACAAAGCTAAATCTATAACTGAAGGAAGAAAAATTAAATTTTTGATCTAAATTGTAGAAAACGCGTTCACTCCAAGATACAGTAACATCAAAACCCTTTTAAAAATTTTAGTCTTAGCAATTTTTTACCCTGTGCATCGTCTAAATACAAAATAAGTTTAAAAATTCATTTTGTACAGTTAACATTTATTGTTCATTAAAGATAAGTTTTAAATGGCAATAATTTAAATTCGTTTTTTATATAAATTAATTAAGCTATGAAACAATCAAACTTACGCTACAACCGAATTTGATTATGGTTAACAATCTCTATGAACTAATTAATATAAAAAATATGTTATTTATATATTGACTTGCGGCTATTCAACGACATCAATTTCAATGTTATCATCGTCGTCGGCTCGTTCGCTGAGCTCCACGCTGGAACAGCTGTCGGAGCTGTAGTCCAACATTTCGTGTGGCCTTGCTCCAGCTCCAACTCCAGTTGTGACCAGCAAGGTCTTCGCCGGGCTGTTGCTGGAACCCATGGGCTGTGGCTGTGGCTGCTTCTCGTGTCCGCTTTTTAGATTTTCGCGCGTGTGACGCCATTTCATGCGCCGATTCTGGAACCAGACTTTGACCTGCAAATTGGTAAGACTTCAGCGCGAATCCTTCTCTGTGGCTGGCTCTGCCCACAACTTACCTGAGCGTCTGTCAGATTCAGCCGTGCGGCCAACTTGCGTCTATCCGGTTTGGTTATGTATTTCTGTTGCTGGAATTGTATTTCGAGTCCTTTTCGCTGCAGATTTGTGAACACGGCTCGTGACCAGGAACGTTTGCGTTTGCTGCCATTGCCATTTCCATTGCTGTTGCTGTTGCTGTTGCTGTGGTTGTTGTTACTGACGCTGCTGTTGTTGCTGCTGCTGTTATTGCTGTGGCCGCCATTTTGTAATGTGTTTGCGGCACCTGTTGCCGCTGTGGGAATGTCCAGCAACTGTTGATGCGCCGTTTTGGCCATGAAACGTTGCTGCTGCGTTAACTGCAACGTCTTGAGGCTATTTAATGGCGCCAGCAGCGCAGCAGATGTTGGGCTGTGCAACAGCGTTGCTGCCTTGTGTTGTTGTTGTTGTGGATGTATGTGTTGCTGCTGTTGATGATGTTGTTGCTGCTGCTGTTGATGGAAACGCATCAGTGCGTTCGTTGCCAGCGTAGGAAATGTTGTTGCTGTCGATTGGATAAAGAAAATAATGGTTTACTATAACAATTTCTTGAAGGAAATATATATGTATATATATATAAATATATACAAGAAGTTCACATACAAAATCGATTTTAAGGATACTAAATAAAACATTCCATTTTTATAAAAATAACTCTATATATCTATATCTTCGGGAAACAAGGAGTTAATCCCATACTCATTAAACAGTGTCATCTTTATATAACAAATGTAGCGTCATTCATGTAGAGTAATATAATATAACCTTTAGTAATTGGCTTTAAATAAATATGCACATACGATCTTTACTTCAAAAATACATTATTATTGACAGTTCGTCAAGTAGACATTACTTTAAGACAATTCAAAGATCAAAGGTGTATGAATTCAACTGTATCCTTTCGAATTTCACATATTGAATTTGCTGTGCTTGTTAAAATCCTAGACTTAATTAGCTAACATATTAATCTTGTCCTGTTTCCAGTCACTCACCTAGCCAATGTGACCTATGCACTCATGCTTGTATGGGTCTATTTTATTTTCTGAGCTCAGGTTTGACTCAAAGTATTGCAGTCTTTAAAGCTTCGCCTAGAATTAATTTCGAATGAAAACCTCGTTCTTATAATTACGTTACAGTTTAGAGACAATAAGAGTCACTTTTTTGAAACATCATCAATTGGGAACGACGGGAATAATAAAAGCATAAAAAGAAATCAATTTTATCATCTTTCGTTCCACTTCTATCAAAATTAATAAATTTCTTTTAAAATTCGCTAATTAATTCAACAGATTATATATTTCTTAAATATTTATTTTCTTCTAAATGTCTAGTTGCATTTGTTTTCTGTTAATTTGTATACATAAATAGAATGTAGGTTTTCTACTTTATCACATATCCAATTATTTTTATATTATTCGCCACGCTCTTTTAGAATATTTATTTATTCTGTTCAATTGGCGCGTACTTTGGGAAAAGCTTTTACATTCCATTTTTCATATCACACTTCTTTATTTATTTGTACACCTAGACACTCAACATCCTCTATAAGCTGATATCCGGCGGGGCCTAAATATATATAAAATATATGTATATAAATATAAATATTTTGCAAAACAATTTACGCATTTCCTTAAACGCAACATCTAAAACTCAATAATATTCGATGTGAGCAAATATTAAAATACAATTTCTAAAAAAAAATTCAAAAAAAAAAAAAAGAATTTGAGTAAATTATTTTCAATGAAACGCACGTTGAAAATATTTAAATGAGTTTGTTTATAATAAAATTTTCACTTAATTGGAAATAATCAACGTTGCGGGTAAACAAATTGTTTACAACACAGCGCCAAAAAAATCAACAACAACAACAAATATAAGCCAAAATACATCTCAGTGGACCAAAAAAAAATTATTTGGGGTAATCGAGCACGACATGGGGCACGAGATTGCGGCCGGGTAGCTGGGCCAAGTGTGTGGCTTGCAGCTAAATGTTTTTTAAATACTCTACAGTTTTTCTTCTTCCTCCTTTTAAACTAGTTTATGCATTTTTATTGGTTTTTTTGTTGGTTTTTATAAGTGAGATGTGCGCACGGAAATTTCAGTGCGTAAATGGATTTCGAATTTGTTTGTGCGCGCGGCATGCGTCTAATTATTTTTCATGGCGCATTTTATTTACTCAAAACTCAAGCGATCTTCTATCTGTGTATTTACATTGCAACGGAAATGCAGCTGTAGCTGCAACTGCAACTGCAACTGCAACGGCAACAGCAACTGTAATAACGCGCACGCCTTCAGCTTAATTGGCCGGCATTTGGCTTATGTCAACCGTCAACGATTTCTTATAATGAGTTTCCATTGATTTTCAACACCTTGGCGCACCTTAATTGCCCCACACACACTCACATCGATACCTTTTTGTAAATAATGCTGCAAATGTCTTAATGAGTTAAATGATCATCTAGGCATGGCCAGCATCCCGCATCCTGAATATTTGTAGCTATCCTACAAATTTATGACCTGCTTTAAATTGTTTCGATTTATTTTCCAACGTACAATCATATTTATGGGCTTGCGAATATTTTCTGAGCTCGTGTAAACACTCGCATGCATTTTCGAATGCAATGCGAATAATTGCCACATTGTATTGCCATAAGAGCATCGAGGAAGTTATGGGTTCGCCTTAACTCAGGTGCGCAATGGGGAGCAGCAGGTGCAACACTTAAAGAGATCCCTGACCCTGATTGAATGAGCATGGAAACTGAGTTTATGCTTCCATACGACAGATAAACTTTGTTGCTCATAAATTAACTGAAATTGAAATAAATATCTTAAATTATAATATGGAATAACAAACAATGCGTTCTTGGGTATCAACAAAAATGCGATAGGTTCAAGGAATTACTTTGTTGGCGGACTCGTTCTGATGTGTAAAAATATATTGGCCTGCGTAACATAATCAGGAATTTATACTAAAGATTAAAATTCAGTTATGAATTATAATATTGATACGATTTTTTTCACATGTGAGTAGAGTAGAGTAGAAAGAAATCAACATATAAATGAACGCCAATTAACCATGAATATGTAGAATATAAATTAGTTTTTCAATTCTTAAACTATAGTATAATATATATATTTTTTATTAAAACTTTATTTTTTATAGTCCGTAATATGAAGTATTTTTATTCGGTTTCTTACAAGTTCAAGCCTTAATTTAAAAAAAATCAAATCGTATTACTTTATGTCTTCATCAAAAACATTGTTAAATTGCTATTTACGCCTTAAGATTTGTATTTCCAAAAACAATATTTTAAGCCTAGTCATTTAGATTTGCTTTAATATTTTGCGTAATATTTACATATATTATTGTTTCTGCAAATGTATCGTATTAAAAGGCTATATCTATAAAGTTTTTACGGTTGAATTAATTTGAAAATTCGAAAGATAAAATAAACCTGATTTTTATATGGTATACAAGAGAGAGAGAGAGAGGCAGAGAAAAAATGTAAGAGAGGGTGCAAGACAGTTAAAGAGAAATAGAAGGAGAGATAGAAAGAAGAGACATGGATGCGAAAAAAAGAGACAGAGAAGTAAATATAGAATGGGAAGAAAAGAGAAAGAGAAAAAAAGATAGAGATAGAGAGAGAGAGAGAGAGAGAGATAGAGATAGAGACAGAGAAAACAAGAGAGAGATGAATAGCGCTGGATTGAGACAAAGCATGAAGGAAGTGGAGAGAGACAGAAAGATAGAGGGAAAGTGGAGAAAGGAAAGAGAAAGACAATGAAAACACAAGAGGAAGGCGAAAATAGAGAAATACAAAACATGAGAAAGGCAAGTAAACAGGAAACAAAAAATTAGAAAGGCAAAGAAACGGAGGGAGAAAGAGAGACACTCATCTCTAACGGTTTAATTTCTATTTTTATATTTATAATATATAATATAATAATATAATATAAGTCTAACAAAAATATTTTAATTAATTTAAGTATAAAATTCAAGTACATAAAATGAATGATGCTTATCTGATCAGCTTGTTGCATTTGATTATGGTAATTTAACAAATTGGTTGATAATAATCGTAAAATTTGTATAACTTGCTATCAAGATCTGTATTATATTTCGTTTTATGCTGTATAGCAAATCAGTTTGCTGATAGAATTAAAAAATAAGAAAAACAAAGGAAATCACAAAGTTTTTTTATGGCGATCAGTACAACATAAACTAAACTAATCGCAATCGATTGCAATGAGGATAATTACAGATAATTCGATTTAAAAATCAACAACAGAAATAAGTTAAGTTGGTAACTGATCAAAATGATGTGTTGAAATCTCATGGAACACAAAAGCGACATGAGATAAGCGTATCATAATAAACCCCAACCGCTACGAGCGATCATAAGTTGATCTGCTGCAGGCGTTGTTAAATGAAAGCGCTCCTGCTGCTGGGAACGCTGGTTAATATGACAAACCTGGCCCAAACAAACAGCATGGCCAATACAAGCCAACACGTATGCACTGTGTTGATCATTGATCACAACGATCTGAGAGACACAAGCAATTGGATTAACATATAAATTGTAAATTAATTAGGCAAGCGGCGCCAAATTATTGGCCCCGACCCGCAGCATAAACGAAACGATTCATAAATAAGCACAGCAAGAAAAAACACGAAGAAGAAAAATAACAAGGAGAACAAAAACATACGTGAAAAAGAGATCTTGAACGATCCATCGACCGATACATCGATCGATCGATCGCCAGCCAGAAAGGAAAAACAATCAAACAAACTACTCAACACCCATGAAACAACAGCAACAAATATAGTTGAAGATGAGAGAATGCGAGACCTGGAGCTGAGTGGCCTGAAACTGTGACTGGCTGGGCCCAATGGTTTTTTATGATGTGCGATGCGATGCGATCAATCCATCACAAATGAATGCAATGATCAGATACAAAAAGCTCTTGCTCCCGCTCTCGCTCTGTGGTTCTTCCTGGACCTGACACCACAGGTAGCTTAGCTGGCCACCACAGTGGGTGGCTGTGTAAATAGTTGGCCTCGGTTGGCCCCTAAAAATACCACATAGCTTCAATCAGTCAGACAGTCAGTCAGCCAGTTAGTCAGCCATTCAGTCAGTCAGTCAGTCAGTCAGAGTGGTGCATGTCATTAACTTAAATGGCTGCCTCAGTAGTTGGCTCCGCGGCGCTTCAATCTATCAGAAGATAGAAAGATTCCGCAGCTTCTTCTGGCTAAAGGCTAAATGCTCTCTGGCCGAACGGAACAATTCATTATAGTTGGGATGGATTGGCTATTCCTGAATGACGGGGGCCAATTGCTCAAGCAAATAAACAAATTTGCTTCAATCGGTTTTCCACAAAAGTTTCATTTGTTTGCTGCCAAGCGGGCAGGCAGTTTATTTTCAAAGGCCGATTCTTAATTTGTTCATAAATTGTTGTTAATTTGGTTTTTGTTCTTTTGAATTTAATTTATTTAATGTTGCCCAGGATTGATGAAACACTTCAAGCTCTCGTCTGTCTGGCTGATGTGTTATTTCTGTTGGCCTCTTTGCCGTCGATTGAGGAAATGTCGAATTTAATGCCACGTGCTAATTGGCATTTCATTTTCGATCTTCGTGTGTTTAATGTGTTTAAGAATCATTTAATTTTGATAATAATTTCCATAAATTGATGGCCTGGCTAATTTATTTTAATTCGCTGCTAATTTGTTTGCATCTTTCAAAGGAAATAAAGGCGAAAATTTTGTTGGGTGATATCATTTTGGATTTTTGGGCATGAATAAATTCAGTCGCGTGAAGCTTTTCAGGAAGTTTTGCAATGAATTCACAAGGAAATTTGCCTTAATGATGATGTTATCCTTTTAATTTACATACTGATCAATTAAAACTGATCGTGAATGTAAAATTTTAAAATTTAATAGCAATAACTTGAATTTATTTTTAGAATTTATTTCTCAATGAGAAAAAAATTTAAAAAAAAGAAAAAATAATTTTGTGGATTGTAAGATCATATAATAATGATCACGATGCTAATATTGATTATATTTGGGTTCAAAAAATCGGGAAACTTTTCATTTAAATACTATGCAAATTTTAATAATTTTAATTTATTATGCCTACAATTTTGCTTGAGTGATAAGTGATCAGTGATTAGTGATCATTTCTTATATATTTTCTTAAGTAAGACTATAAGAAGGGAGTTTAAAATTTAATAATTAAAACATATGTATGAAGTTAATTTCATATTCATTGCGATCAAAGATCATAATTGAACTCATCAGAATAACACTTTTAACAGTAAATAATTTATGGAACAAATTTGTGTTCTCGTTTATCGTATTATCGAATATTAATACCCCTTGAATACTTATTTATAATATTAATTTCAGGATATGTTTTTGCTTAAAAAGCGTGTAACATGCATTATGTATCAACCGTTAAGTATATCTTGCCCTGACTGTCTTGTTCATCCGTCCATCTAGCTATGTATTTATTGATGCAGCTCGCCTATGACTAGAAGTTGTATGCTAAGATCAGCCAATAATACGCATTGATTACTAAATTAAATCCATTGATAATTGACTTGCTTTAACGAAATCGATTTTTAGTTACTTGAAGTATAGCAGCTGCTCGTTAAGGCTGCATCCTATCCGGTCTGGCACAATGTTATTTATTTTTTCACAAAACATGATCTATTTCTGCAGACTATTTATATCCTGAACCCATTGAAAATAATAATGTATACGTAACAGGCAGAAGCAGGTGCGACAGATCAAATTTATTTTACATAATCGATAACTATTCCCATTTCATACAAGGCATGAAATATGTTAAATTATGTTGCTTAATTGTGTGGAAATATAATTAGGATACATATTAAATAGACAATGATAATATACAATTTATAATATTTAGTTTCTGTTGTTCAACATTTGACAATTGATATTGTTAAGAAAGCTATTAGTATTTAAGGATATGATTTCTTGTGAGTCTAAGTGATCAATAATTAGTGACTGTGTTTATAGAATGATGTAGTACCCATTTAATTATTTTTTTCTCCGCTCTTATGTCATCTTTTTCTTCACAATCTTTGGCAATATTCGTTTCAATGACTTTGTGTTATACACACTTCCGGGCGCAGCCTTCAACGCATGAATCAATTGGGACACTCAGCCTATTTAACACCCTCTTGATAGGAATTGTGTATAAAACAAAAGAGAGTTACCCTAAAATTAGGGGCACCAGCTAAACAATTCAATACACAATATACAAAATATATTCCTCACTATTTTTCATATAAACAAGATCAAAGTGCACAGGCTGGTTGGCTGGCTGGCTGGCTGGCTGGCTGGCAGACAGTCCATGAGTCGTCCCCATATATACAAAAACAGCAGGAAGTAACGTAAATACGGTTCGACGAGCAGATATCTATTTGTCGATTTCAACAAACGAATTGTTTTCGTCAAGAAGAAGCCCCCAAACAGTTGGCAACAATAATATTGCACAATATGGCCGCAGATCAACTAATAATTCCAATAAAAATGCACGATTTATGACCCAACCATTTGGCTGGCAACAAAAAGTGTTTCAAGTTTGATTTCCACGAAATGTAAATTTTTACAAATGCGTTTGCATTTGCAGTTTATAATAGTTTCGAATAGCCGCAGAATGTGTGTGGATTTGATTGGCAAATGGGATAAGTTCTTAAACGGTTCGTCTTTTGATCGTCTTGCCAAAGCTAATGAGAGGATGTTGAACTTTAAAATATAGATATTTATGGCACTTATGGCGGAGGATTATAGATTTGCGTTCAATATACTTTTTAAATTTATAAATAATGTTTTTTTCTATTGCTTGATCATACAACTTTGTAGATCTTGACATTCATCCTATATATATTTTATTTTATATTGTCTATAGTTCTGCTAACGTAAACATAGATCTGTTAGATCTTTTGATATTTAGCTTATAGATTTTATTACAGATATAGTAATATATGATAGTCTTGTTGATCATACTGTTGATCATGATCTTGATATGTTTGTTATTGATTTCATTCCAGATCGTCGAGTAACATATTGAATTTTTTTTAATATAAATATCTTAGATCTTTTGGTATTCTTGAATGTATACTATTCAATTCATTCTAGATAGCGTAGTTACATTTTGAAATCCTATTGATAATATTAGTCGAAGCATTGTTTGTCTGTCTGTTTGTCTGTCTGTGTCTATGCAGCCATTAAAACTAGAGATTTGACATTCGCAACGAGAATACATTGATGCCGTCACCAGATAGTGTTGAGAGAATGTATTTCTTCAAACATATATAATGATATTTAGGACTCTATTGAAGCTAGGAATTTTGGAATACATATTAGTGCTGACAACCCCTGACTAAAATTATATAGCATCTGTATTTACGCTCACTAAGACATTGTTAAATCGAGAAAACTTTATCATCCACAGCTTGAATACTCTAACCACAAAATCTGATTTAGTATTATTAGATTCTTCTTTGGTCGATTAAAAATGATAAGTTTACGACTTTTAAATCGGTGATAAATTTTATATAACTATAATATGCTGCTATATAGTTGCTTTATATTTTAAATTATAGATGCTATGCCCATAAGGGGCGTGTCAAATTGGAAAACCCTGTATAATCTACAGTATTAGAACACTCGTTTTCTAGTCTTCTATCTACACAGTAATCAACATAATATTCTTACCATGCTCAGCTGCTCGAATGGGCGTCGGTCTCAGCACCGACTTGTAATCCATATATATGCCCGAATAGAACTTATCTATTCCCGCATAGTTATAATTATGCGCATTTGCTAGTCCTTGGGGCGCAGACATGGGAGCGTGCTTAGCAGCTTCTGCTGTCTGTCCAAAGCAGCTGGAAAATGTGCAGCAGGCATAGACACTGCCATCACAGCATTGTCGCGAGGACGTTGGGTTTGGTATGGGCAGAGGATCGAGGCGCTCGGCGCTCAATAAACGATCGACACTGAAACTAAGTTTCACTTTGGTTGTGTTGCTGTTGCTGCTGCTGCTGCTGCTGCCATTGCTGGTGAGGGATGTATTCGAAGCTGTGACACTTGTCGCTAAACGGGGACTGGAAACTGAATCTTTGGTGGGCAAATCACTGTTAGAGTTGGAACCGTTCTCACTGTCCATGGGATCGTGACAAGGTGTTTGCAACTTTATGTCACAGTCGTTAAACACATGAGTGCTGAGATTCTCGGGCACACTTTGTTCCATGTTTGCACTTTCGTGTAGTAACATTGTCACACTGATGCTATACGGTATAATTATACGATCATGTCACAAAGGGAAGAAACACCGTCGCTCAAAAGACACGTTTGTTGTACAAAATGTTTATGCTGGGCGGGGGATTCGCATTCAATTCGAACCGTTTGCTAAGACAACCCACACGGAACTGATCGCGACCGGGCCGGGAGCAAATCCAAGCAGCGATCATCGATTGCCGCTGGGCCCATACGAATAAGTATTGTGTTAAAGTAAATCTCGATGATCGATACAGTGGGTCACAGTGTAACAAAAAGTGCGGAAAATGTGTGACAGAAATGTTGCATATATACATATAGTTGTGATGTATATCTAACATAAGTAAAGCTTGATTTTAATTAGTTTTTATTATTTATGAAACACAAATCAAATGTGGCTTAGTATCAGCAATGCCTTCAATGTTAATAATCAATAAAAACACATTTAATATGGACTTGACTGTGACATATATCATAATATTTAATATTTGATTTATCTTCCTGCTTGTATATAACAGAAAGATATAATATACGAAATAAGTAATAATTATTTCCATTCATTTTAAAATTTTTCTGCTACAAATTCATTTAGCATTATGCAAGTTATGGATAGGCAGCTAAAACACGTAATTTATAGAATATATATTAATTTTACTGAATGTTAAATGTAGCTGTTAAGCATTCATTTGTCAAGAGAATGTATATATATCTAACTAAAAAAAATTGACATCATTTGCATTGAAAACTTCCTTGAATATAATCTAACTGTTAATATTTAACTACGGGATAAAGAAATTGAACATAGAAACACATGAAAAATGGCAAAAGCTGTGGAAATATTAATTCAAACTAGATTTAAATATGCACTTAAACTGCTTTATACTAATTATTATATAATATTAAATTAACTGATCAGAATATGAGTAATGCTTAAGAAATTGACAATAAGATAAAAGATTAGATCATTTTCTTTCAATAAACAAAAACTTACTTTAATATAGAAAATTTTAATAAATTTAAATAATATATAACACTAAAAAGTAAGACTAATTATAAATCTTTTATATTTAATATATATACATTTATATATTTATATATATATATATTTTTTTTTTTTTATTTTCTTCTCGTATTTGCCCCACTGTTGCTTATATGAGAAACTTGCTCTACACGCTTTGGTTGTTTACATACAAACAGAACGCTGTGTCATTAGCTCAGCCAGAGATCGTTCGTTGATCGCTATTGAGATTTGTTTACCGATTTCTCCATATGTTGCCGTACTCAGTGCGCACACATAGAGAAGATGTATACACACACACACGCACACAGTGAGTTCCCTAGCGCCTACAACTTATGGAGCGACAGCATGGCAGCTGTTGGCCAATGCGAACGATCCATTCAGGTGGGCGGAGCCACAGACGCTATCGCCGGCAATGCTTTATCTCTTTCCGGCCTATGGGCGTGTGTAATGTTTGTATGTAAATTGTCTGGAATTGAGCGATCTTTGCGCAAATGCCTGTTAATAAAGTGGGTAATGGTGCCGAGCGGCTTGTCGAGTCATAAATCGCACTGTATTCTATAGACCCTCATAAATCGTATATAGACCCAGACAATAGCAATTTTATTGAAATGCATTGCATGTTCGCTGAAAAGCAACAACAAAATTGTTTGTGACCCATTAAAGAATGGCGAAGTTAACTTTGTGACCTGCGCGAATATTTAGCCTATAATCGGTATTAAATATTATATATATATATATATATATATATATTTTTTTTTTTTTTATATATATATTTGCGAAATTTGTTTTGTTAATCAGAATCAGAATCAGAATCCCTGGCGTGTCGGTACCGCCCCCATCGCGCCCAATTGACCCCGAAAAAGAAAACAACGAATATGCAAATGCAATCACGGGAAACGAAAACAAAATAAGGACACGTTAACCGCTAATGCAAATGTCAAATACCCTAAAAACATTTAAAGACTTCTTAAAAGTAGCAAAAAAACATTCTTAAGAAAAGTAAAATATGAAAATATATAAAATTAATTTTAATTAGCAAATGCATTATAAACAGTTGGAATTTAAATTATATTTTTTTAGAATTTATAAATATACGCATTAAGAACATGATTTATATAAGCATATGTAGGAAATATAAAATATTTCTTACTTTAATTTATTTATTTGATGATTTAATTTATTAGATTGATGATTTATTTATTATTCAGAAAATATTTTTATATTCAAAAATGTAATTTATTAATAAATTTAATTGAAGAATAAAATAATATAATTAATATACTATATATGTATATAGGCTACTTATATGCATAAAACTTTAGTATAAATATTTTGTGTTGAGTATTTTAATAAACGTTTTATATTATATTTACATTTGTATACGTCGACACATTATTTTGCTAGAGGCAATGTAAAACAAATTCACTTATTATATAGGACATATATAAATATTTTAATAACATATTTGGTATGAGATTTTTTTAAATTTTAAAAGTTCAATGTATCTAGTTAAATATGTCATATTTGATATCGCGCTAAACAGAATATTTGACTATAAAAACAATTCAATTTTAAAGATTAACAGATTAAAGATTAAAATTTTTTTGATGTATGCAGAAAAATTAATACAATTCTGGCACTTATTTCATAAATATTTAATTTATATATAAACATCATATACATAAAATTCAATATTTAATATTTGAAGTCCTTCACAATTTGCCGAAGCACTATGCCCTACTGCCCTAGAGTATAGAAAAACGCAACCAAGCAATGTAAACAAACACGAACAGGATACTCTTGGGGTATGAAAAACCGCAATCAAATTGACTTGGGGCAACTAAATTTGGGTTAGGCAGGACACAGTACGTGTCATCCGCTCGAATGGAGTCGTCGTCGTCGGCATCGTCGTCTATGTCGTCCTCCTCATGCACGTCGGCAATACCAACGCCGCCATTGCGTCGCAATTTCGACATAGAAAGTCTCAGCATCAGCGAGTTGCCCGATGGCAATGATGAGCAGGACTTTACCTTTCGTTATCCGAGCTATATGTATCCCGATGTGGAGTACGACAAGAATGATGTGCCGCTCTCCTTTCGCGCAACGCCGGATTCGCTGTTCAGTCTTTGTGCCGCAGTTGTGGATGCCCAGGCACGCACGGAGGTGTTCAAATGGAGCATAAATGACGTTGCTGAATGGCTGCGTGATTTTGGCTATCCGGAATACGAGGTGGGTTATCGGCGAGATCGAAATATTTGAGAGTCTTCATTTCGAGTGCATTCAATAGGAAACCTTCAGGGAGAACTATATCGATGGGCACAAGTTGCTCAATCTGGATGCCATAGCTTTGGTGGCCCTGAACATACGTGACTTTGAGCATATACGGCACTTGGGTCGCGGCATACGAGCGCTCTATCGCAAGGAGCTGCAGATGGCAACCGAGACGAAGAAACAGAGCGAAGTTTATAAGGCATTTCGATCACGCACTGGACGCAAGTACGAGGGCTTACGTGAGACGGAGCTATTGGGTCGCATGCACATGATTCGCTCGGTCTTCCAGGACCTCAACGAATGGGAGCTAATGGAGCTGCACATGGCTCGCACTCCGGTGCGTCGCTATCGTGAGGTAATCGCTGGCTCGAGGCGCTACAACCTATACGGCCCATCAACGGCACGCAGGTCCCCATTAACAATGGACGACGGCGACACAACAAATTGGTATAATTTTGGCAATTGTTATTGAGTTGCCAAGTAGCAAAGCCCAAGCCCACCAAGCAATTATTAAACTCTGTTAACTATTTGTTTATGGTATATGTTGAGCTTGCTGTTTGTTGTTTACTTTTGGTTTGGTGTAGCGTCGGACTGTGAGACCTTAAATATGATTAAAGCATTGCTATTGATTGAAGTTCAATCTCTCTTCTATATATTACAATTTTCTTTCTCATGAATATCAAAATCATTTAAGGTAAAATGTTTATAGTTTTTAAGATGATTTGACTTAGTTTTTATGCTCAATATATCTGACGTAAGCTTTAGAACAACAAAATCTTAAGCTTTATTTCAATATGAATTTGAAGACTATCAATTTTTAATTATTATTTATTTTATTATTTAATTATTATTTTATTTATTATTATAAATATTTTTATTATATGTTTGCAAATATATGTATATTGTTGGGCATCTAATAAAATTTACAAAACTTTTGTTGCTATGTTTTTTGACTGCAACATTTCAATATCTTAATGACGTCTTCAGACCAATTGTGTTTAAATTTTTTTATTTATTATAATATTTTATTTATTATTGGTAGTTCTGCACTCAGTAAGTGCCGGGACTGTCACATATGTAGACATATGTACATGTCTTATTACAATAATTTTATGTTTTCAATTGAATTGAATTATCATTTATGAAATTTAAAATTAAAATTTAATAAATCTCAATCTCAAATCTCTTGCGTATTATTAAAATACATCTTAAATGAAAAATTAAAAATACTGTGCAGGCAAAACTGTATTTTAAATGTTTCTTGTTGTTTGAATAGTTTAAAATGCTGAAGACTTTAATCGCAATTTTAAATCAAATAAAATTTTACAGACACACACAACGACTGCCGAATGCTCTGAAGCTGTTCTTGCTTTATGCTATTAAATAATCGGCGCATGCTATATTCATCTATGTTTCATGAGAAGTGCTACAAAGCAAACAGATTGTATCAATTTGATATTTTTATATATTTAAAAATATAGTATATTTTTCTAAGGTTTCTTAGGCTTCGGCTCATGCTCCTTTGCAAAGTTCTATCTGTTCAGTTTATTCAGTTTTTATATGTTTGGAATGTACTTTATCTCTTGTATGCATATATCTTGTAAATTAATATTTTTTATACTCGTACATCTGACGAATTAGCATTACATTTATAGAATTAAATGTTGGCGATGAACATAAATTCACCTTGCCCAACTTGGTAAAAAAGCCAGAAAATAAAAGAGCAAGCTTTTTCTTTTTATAGACAGATATATCAAAACATAAATAATATATTTTTGTATAAATAAAACATAAAACACAATTTTAAGCTTGTGATTATAGATTTACAATTTTATAGCCATTCTCATGCCTCGTTTTGTCTCAAATCTTTCATTCGATTTTGTATGTAAAGGTATTTGATGAGCTTATTGGGGGCGTGACAAGTGACTAGCTGCACTTATCAATTACTTTAAAACGCGTTTCAAATCTTATTTACTGCAGCACAATGGCTGAGTGGTAGATCCATATAAGTCAACGCCTTTTACACCCTAGTGATATCAGTTTGTATATGCAGCTTTAAGTATTACGTATTGCCCACAAGTCAATAGCTACGTACTTCTTCCCCTACTACCCCTACACCCCTTAGTTTTTGAGCAATCTATTTTGCCTCAAAGCTCAGCTAATATCCATCAAATTAGAGTCAAAACTATTCATGGCAACTAATAACTTCCTGTTCCATGTTCCCCCCACAATTGCTCTGCAAAAAAAATTGTGAATTTTTGTTGCTGTTGCTTGTGGGCAATCAGTCGACACGGCGATCACTTATCGCGTTGTACTCGTTGTTGTTGCTATGTTGTTGTTGTCTTGTGTTGAGTTGTTGCTGTTGTTGTTGCCGTCTGCATTCGCGTCCCGCTCACGTGTTCAAATTTATTGATTGTTCTGCTCACAAGACACGGCGTTTGTGTTTTGTTGTTGTCGTCTCCCCTTGTCTCCTACGTCTGAAGCTGATCGGGTCCGGCGTCCTGCTGAGCGGCATGGGAGACGTACGTGTGGTCGTTTTATGTTATATTTTTCGACATCTTGTGTGTGTGTCTCCACAACGGCGGGGCAACCTATGCAACCTTAGACGCAACTCAAGTCGAGTTAAGTTCGATGCGGAGCTGAGCTGAGCTGAGCCGCTGGCTCCAATGCAAATCGTGGAAAGTGCAACGAGCTTTTATTAACTTATGCGCATTCAGATTACCTTAATAACTCGTTCCGTTAACACTTTATTATGTTCAAGGCTCATAAATCGTTCCATCACCCGATCGCAGTTGCAGACGCTCAGTCGATGAGCTCGAACGATACCCATTGCCCACTGTGGACGCTGGACGGATTATGATTTATCGCATTTTAATCAATTTAAAATGTTCAAAAAAAAAAAACAAACGATACAAATCGGAAGAAATTATGAATGTGTTGCTGTCTTTAGGCTCCACAGTAGGCCAGGCCCACAGCCAATGACAAGCATGCAACAACAACAACAACAGCAGCCGGAGCAGCAGCAGCAACAACAACAAGAACAGTCTTGACGCTGCGCGTTATCCAACGCGTACCTCGTTTGTATTTCACTTCTCGGCCAGACTCTCAGGTTTCCCCCTTTTTGCTAGATTGTGGATACGAAAATTTACGCGCGCCACATTAAGCCTGGATGCACTGCTCTCTGGGGGCACAGCAGCCACAGCCTCTGCAATGAATGCGGATCGCGTGCTGTGCCTGAACTCTCACAAGCTCTGTTGCCTGATTTTTTTCGTTTGCTTTTTTCTGGCTCGCTCGACGATGGCAAAGCGACGATTATGATGATTAAAATTGATAAGCGAAATATTTTTATCATTTCTCAAATTAACATAAACCATATGCGATTATCACACAATAAGCGCAGTGCTGCTTCTTCTTCTTCTTCTTGTTGCTTTTCTTCGAGTTTTTTGTTTGCTTTTTATGCGCTTTTATGGCCACCTTCGGCTGGAAGCGAACACAACTGCGGCTGGCTTTTATAAGTTATGGCCATGCGGCGAAATTATGGCAGGTCGGGCCAGGATTTAGTCGCGGCAAAGTGTCAATGCCATAAATTTATGAGGATTTTGGCCAACGGTCGCTCATGTCATGCAACTCATATCCGACTCTGGCTCTGGCCAAAACATGCGCTCCTTCAACTTTTCACATATTGCTGGCTAAATCAAGTTTATGCTATACGAATATATATATATGATATATATATATATATATATATGTATATGTAATCTAGTGTTACTTAACTTAGCTTTTCTTGCCTTCATTGCTGCGTGGCTATAACCTCTTGACCTTATATAAATGGCATTTTGAGCAGGCATTCGTAGAAGAATAATTCAAATTAGAAAAATTCTTTTGTTTAATAAATACAAATAATAGAATTGAAATTTAAATATGTCAAAAATAAATAAAAAAAAATAAAATAAAAAAAAAGTGTTAAGAGTTAAGTGAAATTGGGAAAACAAATTATTAGCTTTCATTAGTTTAAATCTTTTTAAAACCTTAAGGCAGCATACGGATTTCGCATATGAAATGTTTGTATTTTAAGAGTCGCGTTTGGAAATAAACTCATGCACATATAATAAGACAAGTTTAATATAATATAGTTATATTAAATATATAATTCTATAAATCGTAACAAGTCAAAGATTTGACTATAATATATCTAATATGTCTTATATAAAAGTTTGTTTTGCTTTGTCTTTGATTGTAAAGATAATTTCATATCTAAAATTTATGAATTAAATATATTTTTATAATGTATTTGCAATTCTAAGTTTCTCTTTTTGTTAGTCAAAAATCAAATATGTCTTAAATAGCTACTCTTTAATCAATTGCCTTGTTAATACTCCTGATAAATAAGTCCATCATATTTTCAGCCCTTAATTATATTCCTTTGAGAAAAGTAAGGAGCATATTGATTTGATGTAATGTCTCTGTTTTCCCTGTGTCTATATGAACTCAAACCGTTCCATTGCTAGTTATTTTTAAGAATTGCAATTTGTTATGATCGTTTCGACACACCGACTAAGAGCGTGGCACAGCGGGATCGGCTATGTTTGGTATAAGAGAAACGCTAATACGTAAGATGTGTAGAAAACCAAACACTATAAAAGTATAAATGGTATATAGGTAAGCACATTGGAAGCGTTTCAGACTTTTTGAACTCCTTTAATTACAGAAGGAACACAGAAGCAACTCTATAAATAGAGTTTTAAATGATATGGCTTATCCATTATGGTGTGCCAAGTCAGGAAATAATAAGTTTTGATCGTGAACTCGTATTATGCAGTCAGTCATGTTGGACTACAACATTCTTGCTTGTCTTAATTTGTTTTGTTTTAGTTTAGAGTTTACTAATAACAGAAACCAACCGCATTTAGCAGCCAGAATAAACTAAGCTCAAGGGTTTTAAACATGCTCTACCGCAACTCTATATATGAGGTCCTTTAACATTGAAGTACTAATTTGATTACCAAATTAAATATTTCTGATTCGTAGTTACAAAAATAGCTAATAAATGAAGAGATTTACTACAAAGTCATAAAAGCCATACGACAATTTTAAAAGTAAAAACAACCATGAAAATATGTACATTTTAAGCAAACACTATTCCCATTAAGTCTCTAAGTTTAGAATCTTTAATTGAATCTAAGCTGAAACAAATTAAACTCCTTTGTTGAATAGTAGAGTTTTTGTCATCATAACTGATGTTTCTCATAAATTAGATAGTTAATATTTTTCTTCTCCAGCTTCACTTCCTCCCGTTAACTAAAAAAGCAACAATATTAAAAATAATTTGTTTTATTAGACTCTTAACTAAATTATGCTAAAACGGTCTGAAACGTCTCGATTTCTTGAGCAGCTCAATTTTTTGCTTATCTTCTTCATATTTCTTACGCAGCTCGACAATATTTTGCATTTTGCTTTCACGTATTTGAAATGTATAAAAGTTTTTGAGTTCCTTGGTTTTCTTATCCTTTTCCAGTTTACTTTCGATGCGTCCAATAACCGATTCCTTTTGCTCAAAGCCCGCATTGCGTCCATCTTTGCCCACTGTTACCCAACCATCGGGATCGGCTTCGCTTGTTTTGGCTGCTGCTAACGCGGCACGTTCTCTTTTATCATATCTAGCCATATAGGCATTGATTTGGTTTTGCGTCTTAGCCACATCTAATATAAAGTTATTTACGTAGTCGTCGTGCCAGAGTTCCATGCCCGTTTTGATTAAGCATTCGCCGCTGCTGTTAAACATGTCGATGCTGTCGATGGCTAGAGCTCGGCCGATGCTGCTGCTCTTCTGAAATACTACGTATGCCACCTTGAATTTGAAAGGTGTCTGTACATTCGAGAAGGGCACATCCATTCCTTCGTACCAGTTGGTTGTCTCGTCGCGTCCTGGTTTCTCGGCAAACAAAACGCTCTCGACGTTGCCTTTACTCTTGAAGAATGTTTTAAGGCTGGCTTCTGTTACATAGGGAGGAACATTGAGCAGAAATAAAGTGCGGCCTTTTGGTTTATTAGGATCCATTAAACGTATGAAATGTTCGCGCATGTAAACGCTGTGACAATTCTTGGCATCCGGGGTCATACGCAGCGGCACAACTGTGTGGGGTATTTAATAACATACTTATATATATATATATATATATATAACTATATTCAATAAACACTTACCTCTATATCCCTCTATTTCAGTCATATTTAATTTATTTAAAGAATCGTGTTCGATGCTAGTGTAAACACGTTTTGTTTAAATTGTCGAGGTAATATTGCTTACAGCTGTTTTAGTTAGCGCAGCCAACTTCACGTCCGACCAAACAGCTGGCAGCATTATGCACATACGAATTACATTTTGTTACTAAGTGGCAACGCTCTACACATAGCGCGTAATTTTGAAAATCAAACTTAAGAGCAAAATTATTTAAATCTAAACTATTAAAGTGCTGCAGCTCATATAATTAACACAGCTATTACAATTTAAAAATAAATAATTTAATCTCTCTTGCTTACATTAGAAACTTAACAAATCGCATTAGCTGGCACAATTCGCTCAAATCCAAAGCTAAGCAAAACTTTTTCTCTCATCCAAAATGGCAAATAATTAAACAACCTCAGCAGAAGCTGCAACGGAAGCGGCACAGCCACAGCTAAATTGTTTTCTGTAAACTTTGCACGTATTTTTGTTACGTACAAAAATTTGTTTTCCGCTGCTGTCCGGCTTCACTCCATGTGAGTGTGTGCTACAGTTGGGCTCGTATGTATGTGCCCGTGAAATGGTCCGAAAAACAAAACTGCACACAGGCCACAAATGCAGCAAACCAAACGCTGTCCAATCCCTGCCCAAAAGCAAGCTGTGCTAAGCCACGCCCATTGGCCACACAACTGCGTTCATTTAACCGAACCGAAAAGCGGAAGTTTGTCATGCACGTTTGGCTCGTGTCGTGTCCTGTGTCCTGTGAATAGATGCTAATTAATTGAATGTGCATTTTTTTGTTGTTGTTGCAACAGCAATAGCAACAGCAACAGCAACAGCATTGTTATGTGTGTTTTAAGCATATTTACGACAATTTTTAACCACAACTGGCATGCAATCTAAAGAGTCATAATCCGATATATGTTTTGTATGTAAAGTCTTTTTGGACAACTCATGCATATTTTAGCATTCATTAATCAAAATTCCTTCTACTAATTGCACTGGCAATTGTAGCACTGTTTTTGGCCAACGCACACACACGCATCTACACACAGGTAAATGCAGTCTCTGTCTCGTTGGGGACCACCTGGCTGGCTGATTGAATATTGCAATTTGAATGTGGTTTGATTTTGTGCAAGTCTCAAGTGTAATTAAATGTGCAAATGAATACACACATGGCAAATGCAATGTGCATATATCATTCAATATATGGTATATATAATTTGCCAGATAAGCTTTAAGCAGATATATAGAGTCATATTTTCAAAATTATTCTGTTCAAATTTACAAGCCTATTAAAATCTCGACATAATAAACAGGCACTTGTTAAACTTTTTTCCAATTTTATTTTTTTTTGGCTACGTGCGCATAATTTCAAACAACATTAAAATATGCCCCAAAAACCAAAAAAATGAATGTTTTGAATATTTTAAATAGCACATGGCACGTGCTCAACATTTTTTATTGAGGGTTGAGCATTTCGTGCTAACAAAATCCTTGACTAATTAGTGTCTGGCTTGCGCTGCCTGCCGAATGGGGCCAAAGGGCGGTTCACAACCTCCCCCTAGCTTCCCCTATACGACAGCCCGTATTAAAAGCATTTTGATGAACTTTCAAGTATCTCACACATTAAAACAAATGTGCGCATCTTTTTTATGCTCGCTCAGTCAGTGCATGGAGTATATTAGTGCTGTGCAGACGACAAATCGTTTCTGCTGAGTTTTATTTTTTGTTTTTATTATTATAATATTAAATTTAATTATTATTATAATATTAAATATATTAATATTATTATAATATTTAATTTGATTTATTTATTATTATATTAAAATTTCAAAAATAAAGCTGAGCATATATAGTCTATATAATCATGTTTATTTGTTTATACAATCTTTAAGCTAGTACCTCTTTAGATCGAGAATCTGCTAGAGACATTATAAATCGGAAATATCCGTGTAACATTTTCTCCAAAACCCAATATATTATGACGTAATATTATATATACAATTTTAAATTTTGAAAAATATCAAGCTTATATCTATCTATAGATAGATCAGAAATTATATACCAAGGGGGTGGCATCTCAGAAGTAGAGCAACTACATCTATGTTGAGCTTCGTCTATAGACCCTGAACGAGTATCGCGCAGTCAGTTGTGCTCGGCTGCAAAGTTATGTTGAGCGGGTGCTAAAATTAAAAAGAACTTTTCAAGTTGCGAATTCATTAAAAATATTCGCTTAGCTGAAGATTTGTTAAAGCAAATTATGAATCGAAGCAAAATTTTGAAATAAAAGCGAGAGATTCGCTCGGCAGCCATGAATTATAAAATTCGTAATCTTAATTAAATTTATGACCCTCTCTTAAATAAATATTTATTTAAAAATCTCATAAAAACTGGAAATTGCATTTGCCACTCTAGCTAATAGAGTTTTTCTCCTTGATTTAATGCAATCGAAATGTTTCCGGCAATAGCCAAATCCCCATATCAAAACTTTCAATGCCCTTGCGAGAGTGCTTACCTGTGTTATGTTGGTCTCGTAGCTTTAGAATTTAGCCAATTGTGCGTAAAAAGTTGCTGCACGCATGATTTATGTGCGTCCATTTGTGGCACGCAATTTGTGCCACAAGCGTATCAACAAATACACACACATACACACACATACATAAATATGCTCCGTGCAATTTGACCTGGTCAAAAAGCATTTGCTGCCACTTTTTGAAAATCCATTGCTGTGGCCATTTAAGGCGCGTCACGTGCAACAAATTTATTTGGCTCCCACGAAATGCTGCGCGTCGCTTAACAACATTTTCCAAAAAATAATTTCAAATGTGCAAAAATCATTGTGCAATCAGAATTGCACAAATTGCGTGTTTATATATTATTAAAATATTCGATTTCAGCCTGAAATATATTATTATTTTTAACTTGATTGAATCAAAATACAGCGGCCTAAAAGTAAAATTAATATTAATATTTCGTAATTGTGCATTTTAAAGTCCATGTGAGTCGATTAAATCGACATAAAATGAAGCAAAATAATAAATAATAAATAAATAAATAATAATTTTGAATACATATTATAATATTTTTTTTAAAACTAAATTAAATATTTTTTTTGCAGGCCTTTGATCTATAAACCTCAAATGAATCAATTTTTGCATATGAGTTTAGGTATTTGATTCTAATGACAATCGTAACTGACTGTAAGCCAGGTGAACAAACAAGTATTATCATTGCTATTCAGTTTCTGATACGAAAATAAATAATTACGGGATACGTAGATATAAAACACGCTTCAACTATTCATTTGGCTCATTTGAATGCCAGCAAATTGTGTATAAACAAAATTACCAAACCATTCGAACGTGACCCGCGGCAAGTCAATGCGATTTGATAGCCTGCCGTATGGAGCGGGCAGCAAACAAACAATAATCCTATGGTTGGGACTTATAGCTGCCATAGCTTTGCTGATTAATCGGGCAAACACTTTGACTAGGCGCTGCTGCTTTCATTAATTATGCCCCAACGAACAGGGCCAAGGAAAGCGAAAAAAGCACAACTTTTCGACTCTCATTAGTTGACATGCCACGCCCCCCAATTGAGATGGCGATAAGCAGCCAATAGGGGCGCAGCCGGATATTGTGTGGACAATACTTTTCAAGCTTGGACTTCGTTTGCGAAACTTGCACAAAAGGTTAAAAACTTTGCTCATTAATTATGGCTGCGAAAAGGAAAATTCGTGAAGAGCGCCACGTCGTCAACTTTTGTGAATTGGCTATTTGTAATTTATGCTGCATTAATTTTTATTTACCAATTTATTAAGCTACTTCAAGGGGGGCACACAATGGAAAAAAATTAGCTACAGATGCCATTAGCGATAGCAAAGGCCATTTTTTTGGGGGGTTGAGTGTGGCAGGGCATACGCCCTTTAGTCATTTATCACGGATATAAGCAGCGAGTGCCGTAAAAACCAATTTAAAGTAAATTAGCGCAAGAACGAAGAGCTCGGCTGTCAAACTGTGTGCAGACAGTGCTGCTAAAACCGCAACGGAAACTGCCATCGGGGCGGAAGTGTAGAGTGGCATGCGTACGTGTGGGTGTGTGTGTGCGTGTGCATGTGCGTGTTTTAGAGCTGGGAATTCTAGTTCAATTTGATAACAATGAGTTCAAACGTGCATTACTGAGTCGCGCCGGTTCATAACTTTAATAATATATAAACGATACATATGGAAGTGCGCTCACATTTTCGATAACTGAACAGCTCAATAGAACATCGCTTAGTCGTTCATGATCGACATGAAGTAGCTCAATAGAACCTTTCGTTAATGCACAGCTGAACAATTGGAACTCAACGAATAGTTCTGAGTAGAAAAGATTATTTATAGCTGCTTCGTTCATTTACGCTGAACAGGTTCAGTGGTTCACTGTAATGACAATCGAACTTATTCTGAACAATAAAACACAGCTCTAGTCTGTGTGTATGCGTGTGTGTTTGTGGTCGGGGCTCAAACGAATGCGACGCGATTTGGGCAACCTTACACATGTTTGTGCCGGCTTTAATTCCCTATCAGATCACGTACGCGGCGCATGTTTAGCAGCGAGTGTAACTTTCCCCCCTGTATAAACCCATTCTCATTCCCTTTTGCCACCATTTGCCCACCTTTGACCCAGCTGAATGGCAAAGTCTTGAGGCACACCACAAATAGTGCAGAGATTGCGCCTTGGAATTTATTGCACGTGGTAAGTTGCTTGGATGGGTTCAGTTATTCAGTTTCAGAGCTTGCCTTTGCTGCACGGACTGCAGATTAGACGTCCTGATAGACACAAAATGGTTTCCTTTCTTCCTTTTTTTTGGTATTCTTTTATTTTTTTTTTGTGTCCTCCAGTTAAACTTTAGACATGGACAAAAATTTATTGCTGCCTAACTGCAAGGATTTCGCTTGCGTTTTGTTTGAATGAAGTTGCCTACTTTGAGGCGCCGTAACTTGATCTAAATGGGGTTTCAGGGTTGAGCTTAGCTGCTCGAAGTTTGTGTTTTGTGGCTGGCAAATGCCTGAGAGCGATTTGAAAATTTGCCCAAGTTTTGACTGATGAATGGAATGAAACAGTTAGCAGAAGGAAGCAAGGAGAGGGCTACCAATTTGTTTAGATAGTTGATCAGAAGATTAAATTGTTTGCCGACGGTATTAGAGGAATGTCAGGGGATTAACTGGTGCTTTGTGCCTAAGGGAAAGCAATTAAAATGGCTCTTAAGACAGAGTCAGGTACAAGTCAGTTTTCTTTCTTAACTTACTTCAATATGCTATTAAAATTTATTAATTTTTAACTCCATAAATGAAAAATGTCGCCAAGTGAATTGCCACGTGTTAAATTCAAGCACAAAACTAAAACAATTGACAAAATTCAAGTGGGAGTTGGGAAAGCTGAGCTGAGCTGAGCTAAGTTGAGCTGAGCAAAACTCAAAGTTCTGTGGAAGAATACTTGAGCACCAAGAGGCGACAGCAACAGCAACAGCCGCAGCAGCAGCAGCAGCAGCAGTAGCAAATCCTTGGGCCAAGTCACAAAATGTTTGCCACATTGTGTGAGGGTAAAAATCTTTTTAAAACAAATTTCTGTTCATGCTTCATTTCGTTGGCTTTAAATTTGTGCTGTGGCTTAACTTTTTGATGTTTGGAGTAAGATTAACGCCAACCAATGGCCCCAACCCCTGGCGACATCCTAGCTGGACCTTTATTGACGTGACATTGTGCGTGTTACGTATAATCTACTTTCGAGTAGCCACAAGCAACACCCATGTCCATGTAATCTCTGCTTCCTTCTGCTATTTGCCCATGTGTTTTGTCCTTGTCAGGGACAGAAAACTGTAATTTTATGCAAAAGAAAATGTGCTGCATGAAACTCTCAAGATAATGTACACAACAATTTTTTGACATTTTCTTTTTGGGGTTTTTCATTTTTATGCATTTCGTAGATTAAGCTGGCAGCAGCAAAAATATTATGATTCAACAAAAAGTGAAAAGTGAACAGTGAGAGAGAGAGAGAGAGAGAGAATTTACATCAAGCAAAAGCTTAAAATAACAATAATCTGCATAAGACATAAAAACATAAAGTTAATTAACTACTTAAAGTTCTGCGTTGACAAAATCAACGAGAAACACGTAAATCTTTAGAGCAGCATCGATAAAAAGAAAAGGTTCAAAACTTTTACTTTTCATCAAATACTCATAAAATCAACATTCACTTATTGCCCAAAATAAGTTTGGCCTAAACTTTTCGGCTATAAAAAGCCAAAATGCATTTCAGAAACAGCCTCAGTTCAAATTGTGAAAATGCAGGTGACAGTTGCTTTGCTGCTTGGATTTGGTGAGTTGAAAATTGCTTAAATTTACATCAAAGTATAGTTTGATAAATGAAATTCATAAATTTCTATTTCTATAAGATATCAATTTAAAAAGATTTTTCTTCTTCTAAAGTCAGTTAGAGTTAAAGAAAGTCAAAAAATATCCTTTACAAATATTTCCTTAAAACTTTTGTTTAAAAATTTTTTTTTTATTTTCTTATTAGCATTTGAAGATTATTTCGTTATAAATTATATAACTTTGTATATATACATTTTTAGTTTATAATAGACCTTAACATTGTTAAGCAATGATTTATTGATCCTTCAACCCATTAATATTGTAAGCTTAGACTATATATATTAGTATTCTTTTATGTTCAAATCAAACAATTGTCAGTTATATTTTTGTTTCTTAACAATATTATAAATTCTTTATTTTGATTTTCTGCAACTTATCGATCATTAAAATCGATTAAGACGCTTCTTAAACTCATCTGCAACTAACTTCAACTAAGACTGTTTTGTTATCAGTTCAAAGTTATGACTTGAACTATTCTATAATTCAACTCAAAAATATGCTTCCACGATTCTATGGGTTGCATATTGATTTGCGAAAGAAATCCTTATAAGCTTCATCTGTTTCACTCCTGACATTTAAAAATATTAAATAAAAATCAGCATTAAATCTTTTGTGTCAACATTTGACAACGCCTTAGTTCTCTCGCTGAGCACACTGGAGGCCCGTCCTTGGAGCCCTAGCGATCCGATGCAGCCGTCATTATTTCAACTCTACAAGAATCAGAAGCAACGTAACCTGGCCAAAATACAGCTAATGCCACAGAATGCCATCAGCTTTGTGGGACCCAGGCAGGCGACATCTCTCGAAGATGATGATGACGCGTATTACGCAGACGACTACGAAGCTGGAAATGAAAATGCGCCCGTAGACTACACGGAATCTGAGGAGGACGATGATGATTACGGCTGGCGTTGATTGCACAAATATATATATGTATATATACATATGTATTTCAGTAAATATTTATGCACATACAAATTGTAGCATTTATTTAACTGAAACTTGGTTGGGTAATTAAATTTATTTGAAATTCAACTTGTCGCATTGCCTGGCTGCTTGGCTGCTTGGCTGCCGGGCTGCTTGGTGGCTGCTGCGCATTCATTGAAAAATCCGCAACTAATTAGGACACGAAGCGGCAGGAAGTACACGTAGACATAGATGAGAATGTGTCTTCCTGTGCTGCTGTCGCCTCTCTCTGCCTGCCTCTGCGATTCTCTGCCAGGCCAGAGATAAGCAACTCGAGTGTCGTCTGTCGCATTTGCCCGGCCAGACAGACAACCAGCCTGCCAGCCAGCAGCATGCAAAAATAAATAGACTCAGACACAAGCAGAAAACAAGTGAATAGACTTTAAAGAGCTGAGAGACTTGAATATACCCACACTTTGCTTACGCAACTCATCAGTACGCCTAACAAAAGTCATGCAAACATGACTTACAACTTTTGCAATTAATATGTCAATAACAACATTTTAATTAATGTTAATGTTAATGTTTAATGTTTTTCGAATTTTTGCGCGTCTCTAAGGCTAAAATATTCTATAAATATAAGCTGTAATAAAATGGAAATGTTTCTATTAATGCAAATATAATACAGATAGAAAGAGACAAAGATAGTGAAAAAAAGAAGAGTGAGAGGGAGAGTGAGAGCTTAAGATAAGAGAGTGGAAGAGAGTAAGCGTAAGATGAAGCAAAAAGAAAAAAAATAAAAGATAGACCACAGTCTTTCTCTCGCTCTTTCATTCTTCATCTCAGTTTCTTACTGCTTTCTTATAGTGAGCGAGAGAACGAAAGAGACTTAGAAAAAGAAATACAATGAGTGAGAGATCATTGTTTTCCTTTTGACGTTTAGTGTCTCGTCGTTAGGCAATGACATTAAGCAATCCCGACATTGAGATGCCCTGTAGACATCATGAAATCGCTGGATGCAGGTGTTTCTACTCAACTCACTCAAAGGCAAACAATAAAGGCTGAGAAAGTATTAAGAATATTCATTATTCGAGCTGTAACAACGTTATTTAACTATACTAAAGAATATAGAATTAATATTTAAATATTCTTCATCTGTAAAGAAAGATTCATTAGTCTCGACGTCTCAATGACTCTAGGGTATTTATGAAACAAGTAGCTGTGGGAGTAGTCATAATTAACTGACTGACCTTAATTTAATACAAATTCTGCTCTCCATACATTTATATATACTCCAGTCATCTCAGACAGGCCTGTTTGTGTTATATTTTTGGAGCATGTCTTGCAAAGACATGACTTAACTTTCACTGGCTTGTTTAATATTTAAGTTAAACGACGAAACAACCACATTCAATTAGAGCTGTCAACGCGGTCAATTGGACTGACACATTGTTTTTGCGCCCACTTAGTAGGGTCGTTGGAACCCAGGCGACGATTCGATACTTGCGAAAAGTATTGATTAGTATTTGAATAATAGATGCACTTGGGGGGCCATGCGGCCACACTGAAGCATGCTGGGCGCTTCACTGGGTATCCATTGATAAACTGTGCAGCGAATAAATGAAGCGCTTTGTTTGTTTATCGCACAGTATCTCAAAGAAGCATCCTCCATTGGGGGTTCAGTTCAGTGGAGGCCTTGCCGGGTAAACCACTCGAATAATGCAGTCGAGCGTAAACTGTTGATGCCCCCAACACACCACCTCCACCCCGCCTCCTAGCTCTCTCTCTCTCTCTCTCGCTCTCAATCGAGGGGCGGCGTGCAGAACTGTCCTCGAGTCGGTCCTTGCACAAAATTTACATTTAATGAGGTTTAAGTAAGTGTAAGGTGCGAAAAAGTCATTCGAAACGCTTCGCCAGGCTTTCAGCTTTAAGTGATATGCCCTGGCCTGGGTGTGGACAAATTGATATTAAATGCAAATTTTATACCCAACGGTGTGAGAGGCATTCGAACTATTGATGCTCTCATATTTAATTCATTTGCTCACTGATTTGATGAGAACTCATTGAAGATCTCTCTGCAATTAGAGCCTAGGAAAAAACAAATTAAAATCACCTATAAGAAAATTACTTAAAATAGTTTATGATTTTCCCATGATTTTTATGATTCTCCTTTATATTCATAGATTATAAGCGATTCTTAGGCTACTTTAAATATATTTTAAAATAATAATTATAAAAAATAAATAAATTGATTTTAGCTGCAGCTAAATTTTAATATAACATTTTAAAATAGTTTCATAAATAAATATTTCATAAATATTTCAACAGCTTCATGTTATCGATAACTGAAACAACTGCTGATATGAAGTTATCGTTAATAGTGTTTGGCTTATAGTCCTTCACTAGGTAAAAAGAGTATATTGATGCTAACTCTTCGTCTACCTATCCATTCCCCTATCCGACTGGTCATTTATCCGACTGTTCGTCAATCCGTATGTCCGACTGGCCATATGTGCTCTTCTGGCTCATTTCACTTCTATTGAACCCTTGAAGACTTGAAATGTAGAATATATATAGTGCGACGTGGTACATAAAAAAAAGAAACTATTTCGTTCACAATCTTAGAAAGTAAGGCTTTAGACAGTTAAGTTACTAAAGATCGTTTCTTGCGATTGATAAAAAATTATATATCTACACCCAATTGGGGGCGAGGCTTTTCGGAAAAAAAACTAGATGTTCTACGGATTTAGAGCTAAAATCCACAGATAGATTGTTAAAAATTTGATATAAAATGAATTTTGGCTCCGACAATCCTCATTGTTTATTTTAATAGATGTAATAATTAGACAAACTAATACAATTTTTATTTACAAAAAATGATTTATTTGTTTATTATTAATTAGTTTTTAATACACAAACATTGCGCTGATATTTTGTTTGGCATGCACACGTAATACACACGGAAAGTTCCAGCTTTACTTTCATTTAAAGTCAATTTTCCTCCTCATTTTGCATTTCACTTTAATCACATTTTCCTCTCTTGATTTTTTTGTGTTACGGTACTTTAGTGTAAATCCTGTGGCGTTCGATTGACTTGTGAATGATATCTGAATCTGTTTTACTTTCTTCATTCAAAGAGCGAAAGCTTCTTACATGTGCTTATCTGAAATGGAAATCATAGCTAAGTCAATATACATTAATTAAATTTACTAATAGAATTTTTGAAGTGCTGAAATGTAAAAATAGAAATATATAAAAAAAATATAAATAGCTCGAAAAACAAATACATATTATAAAACTCTAGACAATGCCCAAAACTTAAGCCTCTGGGAAATTGAAATCTAACAAGTTAAGGTGCTCTAGTCTGGAGTGCCTGACTGGGAAATGTGCTGAACACTGTAGAGTTGCTATTCCAATCATTCTATGTTTGTTTTATACATACATAGCACTAGCACATGCACACACACAGACACTGCGACTGCGCTACGGCTGCAGTATGGACTTTGCTATGTTAACTTAATTGTTAAATAACTTTTCTTCTAGACTGTCTTAATCAAATTTGTGCGTATTTGCCAAAACGCAAACCTTTAATTTTTGAAATATGTTATGAAGGGCGGAAAGGGGGACGTATCCAAAATCCATATACTCATCGCAGCAGTCCCTCAGTAAATTCAAAGTCTCAAACAATTCTGCTACTCAGCAGATTAGCTCAACTGATCGATTCTGATCGATAACAAGCAAATAAGATATGTTATCGAAAAAAATAAGAAAACAAAAATAAATTGAACTCATTTATGGTTATTTTCTTGAAATTTAAAAATGTTATTCGTTAAGATTTTTGTTGATCTTGGAATATAAATTGATACATTGCAGACTTGAATATATATCTTGTCATAAAACCTTTCTCACAAGTTAAGTTTAGTTTTCTAAAAAATAAACTAAAAGATACCCTCAAACATATTTTCTAACTTTTTAAGAGCGAAATGCAATCGATTTGGATTGTGTACAATTATATGATCTTTCATCATATATAGATATTTTCTTTGCATATGACAAAAGATCTAGATATGATTAGATTCTTGGTCTGCTTGAAGAGATTTACCTAATAGGAATAGCAACTGAAAACCACCAATAGCTGTGCCCAAATTCTACTTCAAAGTCGCGAGTCGAAACCACATTTGAGCATTTCCACTAATTAAAGTGACACGAAAACCGCAATACACAAACACACCACACACACACACACACACACACACACACACACACTATACAAAACGACAAATAAATCAGCGTTTGCCGCAACGTAAAACTGGCAAAGTTTTTTGGTGTAGAAAATGGGAAAATTTGTGTGCTTGGCAGGAGCTTGATGCCTGCAGCTCTACTGGCTGTGGAGTAGATTGAATTTTGGACAGGCCACGGCTTTGTGGCGACAACATTTGTCCAACTGCCACTGTCAGCGACATTTGCAAGTAAAATGTTGTTGCCTCTTTAATTACGCTTCTGCGTCTATCCTTTGCCATTTACTCACCTGAGCATGTTAGAGATCCAGATGCTTGGCGGAGCCTTCCAAGCCAGCTGCCAGATTGGTCAGCTGCAGCAGTTCGTTTAGCGCCAGCGGCGCATCACGTCGATCCTTGGTAGTCGCATGTCCTGAGCTTGCATTGCCCAAGGCGCCACCCAGCCAACGTTTGTACGTGTGCTCCGGCGTCGTGTGCCAGTATTTGTGAAACGAGATAGGAGCATTGAGCTGCAGCAGCTCTGGCGCATAGTCCTGCGGCCGTGCCTGATGCAGGGCGGGCACATGTGTGGCCGTCACGCCCAATGCCTGCAGACAGTAGCCCAATATCATGTCATCTGGTGCACTTGCTGTAGGACAACTGCAACGCTGCACCACAAGTCGCAGCAGCGGCACACTAAGCACAATTCCAGCCCCGCCTGTATGATAATTGAAGCCATCCGCCGCATAGAGTCGATAGCCATAGCGTTCACCCAGATATATATGATCCGTATGATTGTAGCAGCTGAGCAGACCGCTGAGACGAGGTACGCTGCGTGCAATTAATTCATTTTGATAAAAACATTTTTATTTAAAGCCGACAAAGAAGAGCTTATACTAATATGTCTTAAACTAAGTGTAAGAGAGAGGTGCTTAACAAAGAGAAAATAGTTTACAAGTAGAGTCAGGGAAAGAGCACATACACTGTAAAACAGCATAGTTTGTCTTAAAAGTCAAGCATATAGAATACTGTGTAATAATTATGAAATAATTTGATACTAAATGGATTTTATCTGAATAAACAAACATTTTCTCGTAAACATCAACATTTTTGATTCATTATGAGACACATAAAATAAATGCGATATGTAATACTTTCTAATTCGACTTGAAATAAATTATTTTAAGAAGCCTTAAAGTCATAACGCATCAACAAAAATGCCAAAAATGTTCATTCTAGAATTTTATATAACTCTTCTCACTCAAATTGCTTAATTTTGTCCACAAGTGTAAATGATTTGTCTTCTATTACCGTTAATGCTCTTAATTTCAATATATGCATGACATTTTTTGGTTTGAGTGAGTAAGAAAGAGAATTAATTTGCGACTGCTTGCACACTATTGCCATTGATCCTTTTCTCTGTAAAATGTGATTGAGAGCGCGAACGTAACCGCTCTCATTGCATTAGTATAAGTGTAAAAGTATAAGTATAAGGCTTGACGCAGATATATAGAATAGCATAATTTCTTCCGTGAGAGTTTGCATTGCACGATAAGTGAGCGCAACAGTTTTCGTTATGTTAGTGTATTAGTGCACTTAGCGGCGTTAAGTAAAGAGATCATTTAAAAACTCATTGCTGCCTAATAGAGCATAATGACAATTGCAGTCGTTTGGAGCACAGCAAGCACGCCGCATGCAAAAAATTAAGCATATGAACATCAATAAAAAAATAAATAAATTATAAAAAAAAGTCAAACCGGGAAAAGCAATGATATTTTTAATTGAATATGCATTGAGGCGTGTAAGCCGCAAAAAAATCGTGGTGCACACATATGTTCACTCACACAGCATGCACTCTCATGCACAGTCAGTCTCTGCCTCTCTCTCACACATACCTCAGTAGCGTATCATCGTCGACAAGCATCAGCCAGCGTATGTCTGTTAGCTCATTGATATCCTTGAGGGATAGTTGCAAAATTGCCAATGTTTTGGCACAATGTCCAGTCGGTACGTTGGGTAAGCCAGTGCCGATTGTTGGTATACCATCATCTGTTGCGGTTGCCAGTGGAGTCCAGTTGTGCAGTGTCGTAGCATAAAGGTGAAAGATCATAAAGACAAATCAATGAATATTCAATATGGTAGCTGCTGCTGCTGCAAACTACTGTTACCAAACTGTTTGGCTCACAGTTGCATATGTGTTTGTGTTTATGTATATCTGTGTCTGTTTAGCTTGATTATACCCTGTACGCATAGAAAATAGCTGGGGTATAATGATTTAAATCAAATAAGATATATATATATATGTATATATAATATATTGTGAAGTGGATCTATCTATTTCTGTCTGTTTATCTTATCTAATAGTCTGAATGTGTATCAAAAAAATATTAGCATGCATATAATCTATGGAAATCATGGATTATATGATTGCGGCTTGCTCTTTTCATATTTTTCGGTTGCATATACCTATATATTATGATCAGCTTCTGATAAATTCAAAAAGTTTTATGTTTTTAGAAACTTCTTTCTTCTCTTAGCGTTCTTTGCCCATGTAAAAAGGTTTCTATAAAGCATATCTTGAGCATCATAAACTTATCTTGAAAAGATAAAAGTAGAATCTCGGCTAATCGATTGGTTACCTATCAGTTGAGTTTAGGGTATCTAATATGATGACACTCCTGTATCAATACTTGTCAGCCATTAGATACAGGGTATTCTATTTAAAGGCACTCTGGCGTGGAGCATCTCTGCTTCATTTTGTTTTTGTTATTGTTAGAAAGTGTGCGTGTGTTTGCCCATTTGCCACGCCCCCAATTGAGTGGGCAGGCAACGGCAGTAGCTGGTGGAGCAGCAGCCAGTCATTTGCTTTAATTGCGTTCATCGTTGTCGTTGTCGTTGTCGTTGTTGTCGCTTTACCTGCCACATCGCTGTAGTATTTGCGCCGGATGGCATCGGGCGCCCAGGTGCGTTCGATGATTGGTATACGTTCCTTATGGAATTTTGCACAGGTCTTGATTGCAAAATAGATGTGTGCGCCAGTTGTGTGCACCTGTTGTGGGCGAAAATCGTTTGGGCATCAGTTTTGAATTTGAGTTTGTGTTTGACCGTTGTCACAGAATTTATGGTTATAGGTTTCAAATGCTAATTGCCTCAATGAATGACCCCTCCTCACACCTGACACCCCCCACACGGAGCTGTACAATTGTTTGTCTTCATTTAACAAGCAAACATTATTCAACTAAGCCATAATCCATGCACAGCATCTGGCAATAGTTTCTGCATCAGATATACATCATTTTAACTACGTTCAATAACTCAAATAATGTAATAGAAAAAAATTGTAATTTATTCACAGCAGCTAAGAATTTAAAGTTAGTTACACAATTGTCCTTAGCAACAGTGCATGTGTGTAATATGTTCATAATATTTAATATATTTATTTCAAATTATTAAGTTAAGTAAAATAAAATTGACAAATTATATACACAGATTCATTTAGCTTAAGATTTTCATGCATTTAAATTTATTTATCAAAAATATTAAAATATATTTAATTAAAAGGGACACTAATTGGATTCGTACAAACAACATTTTCTATTATACCTTAAATATAAATAAAAAGTATCAAATTCCTTGAACTTGCATCAAATTTGCTTGTTTGAGACTTCTATTATAAGAGAAAATGTGTTATGTAAATGTGTGTAAAATGATAGAATGAGTTCAGTGTAAAATGTCTTAGAGTATTAGAAAACTAATTTGTATGCTGTTGCCGCAAATGCTCTTATTTTGGATATTTGCATGTCATGGATTTTATGACTGAGAGAGAGATAGAATGCAAGCGATACTGCTTGCACACCATTGGCGGCGATCCCTTTATACATATATGTATGTGATGCATAATGCTTAGAGAGCGCAAGTGAGTAAACAACGCGCGAGCGCAGGCATCGCCTTTGTGTGAGCGCATTAGTATATATGTGAGTCGATTAGTAAAGGCGGTGACTAATAAGACGATTTTATTATGAACGGCAGTATGGCGAGAGGACTAAGCGCTGAAGTTTCCTTAGTATTAGTGTCGTATTGCAATACGCTCTCTATTTTTACATTATGCGTACGCAGCTGAGAACGTGGGCATTGAAAGTCATGTGTGTGCTGCAGTTGTCTCTGAGTGAGTGTATTAGTGACTTGGCATGTTGACTAAGGTATGAGCTTAGCTTTCATTATTTAGTACGGAAATAGCTGCATGACATGAGAAGAGATTGTAAGAATTGTTTTGGTGTTAGTGTATTATCATAGGCGTTGGCTGAATCATAAACAGATCAATTAGTCTGTGCTTGTCTGCCTTTTAGAACAGTCGCGACTGCTGCATACGTTTTTCGTTTTTTTGACAAAAAATTATATAAAATAATACAAAAATTAAAGGTGATTGATTAATATTCCGAACTTTCATTCACATACAAAAATGTGCATTCTAAATAGTAGTTAAAATTAGTGTGTTGAATTTTTCACAAGAAACAAAATGGCGTTCGGTTAAAATGAATATTTGCTACAGAATAGTAGTCGAAAAGGAAGTGCGAAAGGGAGAGAGAATTATGTATAGTTTTTTGGATGGTATGCAAATATGTACAAATGCAGTACATGTGTGGTATATAAAGATTTGTGAAAATTTACTGTGATATTAATCACATTTAATTCTGCTGACCTTCACAGTTTGCTGAAGGTTTCACAGCAGGCAATGCATAGAGCTATATGTTCAATGTAAAATGCCTGCCGTTACTTAAATATAAACCGTTATTCAACTCACACAATGCATAGCATTCCCAGCGGCCATTTCCGGCTTGGCATGCAAGACACAGGACACAGGGCTTGACTCCTTTGCTGTCGTCTCTAAGGATGCCAACGACCAGGCTGGCGACACTCTCGCCCAGGGACAAATGTAGTCAGCACTTTTCAAAATTATTTTGCGCTGCAACATGTCGACAAAGTCGTCGTCGTCTTTACTGATGCTGATGTCGATGTTGTTACTTCTACTGCCACTGCCACTGCTGCTGCCGCCATCATCAGCAGGTGCTATATTATCGAAAATGAATCGGGCTAGTTCATGGGCTGCATCTATAGCAAATTCGCTGTGCCTTGTGGCATTTGGGGCATTAACAGCAACAAGTTCGACCAGGCTGCAAATGCATGTTCCATGATGAGTTATGGCCAAACACGGGCCTCCACCTGGACTCACCTGCGCAGCAAAGCACCTGTAAAAACAACGCCAGCAGTTAACATGGGATATGGAAACCATGTTGGATCTTTGTAGTTGGCAAAGTGATGCACAATCGTCGCTTCGGCGTCGTACAAGGCGTGTCCGTAATAAGCTAACTGTAAAAGCACGAGCAATAGCAATTGTTAAGTAGAGCAGTTGAAGTCGATGTGGCAAATAATATTTCATTTCATTTTTAAACTCACTTAAAAATTTAATTTTGAGAACTAGGAATTTAAATTTATAAATTAAATATAAAAAATAGTAGTAATATAATATTTCGAAACCAATTTAAAGGTAACTTTTGACTTAGTTTATGTTGTGTGTAGCCATTGCGAATAACAATGTAATTATAATTGACATAGATTCGTTTTCTTTTTCTACATAACAAAGCAAAAATACTTAAGCTGTTATTGAATTATTACTGGAATATAGAATTGTGGATATTAAATTATTTTTAGAGATATTTAGCGCAAACCATAGCTAATTTAATTCAGGACCCTAGCGGGATCAACAAAAATTACATTAAAATAAAAAAAATAAGAATGAAAACACCAAGTTGATTCTTTATTGGCCAAAAGCTTAGCCTATTTCGATTCGCAGTACATTAATTTTATAATCAAAATATAAATCAATAAGTCCAAAATGATTTTTGAACAGAATTTAAAAACCAAGCATTTAAGGGTTGACATATGTGCGAGGTATACTCGAAAAGTATGGCGAATTTTGATTTCCACGTATTAGATATATTCGAGCTGCGATTTTTTGAGGGAACTCATAGTCTTCCCTTATTCCCTAAACTTTCCAGACTTGACTAACTGTAAGGTTTTCTTATATGCGTAACTAAAGAGGCCTATGAAACGTCAGCCCTAGAGGACGATTGCATCGAAAGAGAAGCTGAACAAAAATTACGTTTTGAAGTGCTTCAAGTATAGCACGTAATGGGCATTAGTTTGAAGGGTATAAAATAGATATGCATGAATAAATAAAAAGTTAAAAAAAAAAACACTAAATGAGACTTTTTATACTTGATTTATATTTGATTTCAATTCGTGAATTTATGAATACAAAACCTTTAAATTATAAAAAATAATTTGTTTTTTAATAGAGAATACATCTACAACTCAATAGGTAGTTGTTCTCAAATAAATAACAACAATAATAATAAAAAATGTAAACAATAAATTTATTTCCAATAACATTCATATTGTAGACATTCATGGAATTCCTACACAATTTTTAAGTTTTTTTCTTTGTGAGTTGATATGATATGAATTCATTTCATAGTTGTATTCCGTTTCGGAAGGCATACACATAGTTTTATACTCATTTACACTTTTTTTACGTTTAATTAACAAATGTTTGTTTGTTGTTTTTCACAAGCCTTGGATTCGAACTTGAATCCTAGTTATTCAGTATTTCTATAAACTCATGTAGCAAGAATTCCAGTACAAATATTATACAATTTTATGAATTCGGATAGCACATTTGATGATTATATAAATATACATATTTCCCCTATATTTGGTATAAATAATTTTGTAAATTTTACAAAAAAAAAAATCGTTGCTGTGTGTTCAATCATTTTTAATTTTTTTTGTGTTTAAATCTTTTCGCTTTTTTTTGGCACTTTTCTAAATTCTGCGCTTCTTAATTTTTCTTTTCACCTCTTGCGCATCCCGTTGCTGCAGTTGGTCGAGCAGGCCACGCAGCGAGGCGACGTGCGTGTTGTGCTGACACCAGATAATCCAATCGGTGTTCGCGTTTAGCAGACGTGTCTTGCCTCGCAAATAGGGCAACGCATCGAGCAGAGTCCAATAATTGAATAGTTCATGCATTATGTGCACCTTAATGGCATAATTATAATCCGTTGGGATCGCCTCCGATATTTGTTGCTCTCGCAGATTTTCGCGTAGGGCGCGACAATGCTCTGCCGCCTGCTGTGGACAGGAAATGAGCAAAAGAATCTCACTGCCATTGCATAAGTGAACGAAGCACGTTAAGAATAGTAAAATTTTCAAACTAGGCTTTAACTGCATTTTATGCACTTTATTTGGTAAGCATTGTGGTCAAATGAAAACGCTCTTAAGACTTTGCCGTCGCGTTGCCAATCACTTGCAAGTGGAGCGCCGCCGTGCTCCAGCTGCGACTGCATTAATGAACGTGCGAAAACGTACTGAAGCAACTGTGATTGAATTTCTAATTTTTTGGCGCAAACGGGCCACGGGCATTTTCGTATAGTTAATGCCAAAGCGCAGGCGCCAAAGTCCGGTCAAATTTTATGAATGAACTTTGTCCTGGGCGCAACAGATGGCCAATGTCAGTAATGGCCATGGCAATGAATTAACCTGTGTGAGTGTGTGTGCGAGTAAAGTAAAGGTGTATTGCATACTTTTGTGCGGCTAATGATTATGCACCCTGTGCTGTGGATGTACCCTGTGCTACTTGTTGGGTCAGATACGGGAGGTAAACAAATAATGCTTGATTAATATTATTATAATTCATTTCTGAGTTTAGGCTGAATGATTAGTAATATGAATTATCGAGGTGATTGGAGTTGCTTTTGTAATTTGTATATTTAAATCCCAAGCACCTGTTCCAGCTGAACTCTATGAGTTCAGTTTAAACTCTCACAATATAAAAACTACCAATGAAATATGTTTTTATTTGGAATATAATCATGTGTCCCCAGTGACCCACTCTACATGACCGAATGATTTTTTATATCGCAATAAATACATCGCGAGTTAAATATAAATTTAAAAATAATATATTTCGTGATAATTTTATTGCGTAATGCTTTTTCTTATACAGTTAAAAAATACATATATAAAATAAAAATGATTTGTTTCTGAACAAAATCAATTGAGAAACTTTTAGATAATGAGAAGTTTACATTTTGCATATAATGCAAAACAGATTTAAATTATTCACAGTTGTTTATCCAACAGTAATTATAAAAACAAAGCAAGATATCAAAACAGGCAGGAAAAAATCATATTATATATATATATATATCAGAAGTGTTTTATCAGCTTTTTAGTAACTGCAATTATAGTTTGTTGTTTCTGTATATATTTATTAGTTTTACTGCTTATGCACATAATTTTTGGGATTAAATAATTCATCATTAGTGAATACATGAATGCCATGTACAGTTAGTCGGTAAAACAATTAATGGGAATACTAGTAGTTAGAGCAGTACATAAACTCTTATTCAATGCATAGGCGAGGCGAGACGTGTGGTCGTCTGCATATTATTGCTGCGATTATTAAGCTTAAGGCGCAGCTCGTTGACGTGCTTGAAGAGCAGATCCTGTTTTGAGAGCAGCTCTCGTGTGCGCTGGCAGCCATGCTGAGGCGTGCACAAACCGGGATTCCAGCGGCAATAGAGACCCTTCCACAGTCGTACGGCGCGCACGCTTGCAATGGGACGCAACACGAGCTCGGCGCCGTGTGTGAATGAGGGGAAAAGCGGATTCAGATATTGATCTAGCGAAGAATTAATATGTGTCCACAACGAAGTGGTCTTGTGCTTAAGATCTAGAACAGAATTAATTAGAATTATAAGTTATGCCAAACAAATATATAGATATATAGTAGAATGCTTACCCTCTGCCACACGCTCCGCCTCAGTGTTGCACAGGAAGGTGCCAAAGCGACACGAATACAGATGATCAACAATTGTGATGAGAAAATGCTCGTTGAATTCGAAGGCGTTGCTAAACTGTTGACTCACTTGCCAAACGCTATCAATGAATTGCAGGAAGACCGGCGAGCGATCAGCATCCGAATGCTTGTTATCGCCGTGGCCGATGCGTTGTTGGAATTTATGACCAAACGACAGCCATTCCTTTTCGATAAGCACTTCGAAGCCACGCACGGTGCGATAATGCGGATCTAGCAATAGCATCGACAATGCAGTCAGCTGTGCTGTTCGGTCCCAGCCATCGGAGCAGTGTACTACCACAGATGTGCTCATTGTCTCCACCTTATCGACAATGCGCACAGCGCCAGCTAAAACGCAGCGTATATGCTTGAGCCACAAGGTGCTATCGATGGCAGTTTGCCATTTCGAGTCGTCAGTGGTTGGGTAGCATGCTTCCTTCACCTTGCGCAGGCTTTCGCGCATCACATGAATATTGTGTATATCTAGGAAATTGATTTCCACATTTTTATAGGCATCCTCGGACTCGTAGCCGCCACCCTTGGCCTTGTTGGCAATGGCATTAGCACTGGGTCGGGCATCCATTATGGTCAATTTATCGGACTGTGCATTGGCCTCCATAATATAACTTAGATAGGTCTCATCATCCGCATTCCGTTTGCCGCTGACACCGACCAATGGCTGGGAGCAACGCGTTATGGTTGCCTGCGTACGAGGATTCATCCAGGACAAAACAGGCAAACGGCAACGCGAACGAAATTGCGCAACGCGACGAAGAAAATCATCAGAAGCCGCTTTTGGCACGGCCCAGACGGCCGGATAGCTGTCGCAAATGGCATAGAATTCGTTAATCTTTGTGACACGCCACATATCATTTGGCACGCCCAATCGACGCAACTCGGCCAACGGCTCATACACAGCCCAGCCATCCCATCCGGCGTTCACAGCTGCGTTTGCTGTCGACGGCTGAGCCGCTGCAGCCGCATGAGCAAATGCGAAAAGTTTGCCGCTGTAAGAGAGCGGAAATGCGTTGGCTTGCAGCTTCTCGAACACTGTGCGACGTGAATGATTTTGTTGTTTGTGTGCAAAGCGTAAATTGCGCATATCTTTGCAAAAGATTTCAATACCATAACTATTCTCACCACGTGACGTGGCACCACCAATTTTTTCCACACGCGCAATTACGCCCAAAGGCACGTCCACAACAACTGGTGGCTCCTGATCGCGCAACGGAAGCGAACGAAAGTATAAGCGATAATTAGTGATAGTAAGGGCGCCGAAGGCCGGACCGCGGTATGGGCACACATAGGTTACATCGTTTTTTTGATCCTGATCTTCCTCACCGTCCAAATAGGAAAAAGGCGTATCTCTTTGTTGACCATTTTCAGTGCCGTGCTTGGAGCCCAGCGAACTTGACTTTGAGCTGCTGTCCAGCGAATTGCTGCTGGCCGTTTTCGATGCCAACTTATCGGCTGAGCTTGATGTGGCATCCATTGCAGCAGAATGGTTAATTATCAACTGTTTCAGTTGTCTTATTGGACACTAAAGCGTAAACAATTTTTATGTCGAGTGAAATAGTCTTTTTTATTGTTCGCAGTCGAGACTTATCGAATCACAATCGGAACAAGTTCTATTGAACAGTTCACCGAACTGAACAAACGAGCTGAGTTATTGACTCATGTTAATCATATATTTGTAATATATGCTTTAAATAGCATAATTAAAAACAAAAATAGAGGTTATCGAAAGCAGACTATATAGTTTCATAATTAAACTACATTCCAATATCTAGTTGTCATTAACATAGCCATAAAACGACCAAGCAATGCAGTTAACATGCAGTAACATTACACTGTTACACGGTTACACTGTTACATTACATTAAACTGACTAGAGCGCCAAATTTGAATGACAAAAAATAAACTCCTGTTACGCCCTTATAAATAGTTCCAAACAATTTTTTTTGTAATAAATTTTAATTTATATATATGGTACATATAAAAAACTCCTGAACGGAATTTTTGCCTTTACTAAATTGTTAGTTTCTTTTCACAATATTATATAAATATATGTACATATGCATGTGTTTTTGTTTTATGTTTTCCTTGTATAATAATAGATTGTATATCATGTATTTAGTTTTACTTAGTAAGGTGTATTTCATTCATTTTGTTTTTATGTATTTTCAACAAAAGTTAACAAGTAAACCAATATTTTTGTTCAAATTAACTTAGTTTTTCAGTTAGTATTTTATAAATTTAGATTAGTTTTCTTTCCTCTTGATTTTTCTTTTAATGTCACATTTACGTACATTATTAAATACGCTAAGCATCAACAGAAATCATTTAGCTGACTAAAAAACGAAATGAGCTTTCCAATTGTTAAATTCAATTAATATATTCCTCTAATGCTGAGCGTTCAAAACAAATTGTGGAAATTAAGAGAACCTAACTCTAATCCTTCATTTTGTTACTAAAGAGACTATATATAGAATTGTATATATTTTGTTTAAGTATTATTTATCTTGCTTTGAATGAGTCATTTTATATAGTCAAATGTATCCTGTTGACGTTTAGTGTATTGTCTTAGCAGTTTTCATTACGAACATGTTTTCTTTCTTTTGTTTAATTTTGCTAATACAGTTGAAGAAAATTATGTTATAGTTTGTTTTTCGTTATGTATACTTAGAGACAAAGCGTTAGTTGCAGTTTTGGTTTTTGTTCAAATTAATAAAAACTTATTCATAATACCCCATTTGCATACAACTAATAATATGTTAGCAAAACAGGCAGTTTGTGTGCTTCCAACATATCTGATGTATGTATATAAGTACATAAGAACTTTACAAATATTATCATAATGTGTGTAGGTGTGTAAATATTAGTATGAATAAAGTCAATAAATAAAATAGTTTCATTTATTTAGTTGCCTTTGTCTTTGTATAAACTAAATTAACAACATAAAATTAAGGAGTGGGAAAGTTTTGTTTTGAAAAACAATGGATATGCTTTGTGAATAATTTATATATATATATATAAATATATACATTTACATATATATGTCATATTTATAAATTTATGCCAAGACATTGGGATTGCAATTCGAGCTTCGAGTTTTGCCAATTACAATTGTTGCAAATTATTTATTAATATTAATTTGTAGCATGCCTAATTTGTATTTCGTATATTAGTTTTCTCATTAATACAAAGGCTAAGTACTATGTGTAGACTTGTAGGGGTTGTTTGCCTTTAAAGCTGTTTTAACTATTCCGATTTGTTTTCCATATGTAAATAGTTAATAAATGGGCGCTTGCGACTTTTCTTCAACTTCATCCATCATTTTTCATCTCTTCACCTTCTTCACTTTGCTCTATAATACTTTCTTTGTTAGTTACACGTATGCTTGATAATGTTAATTATACATTTATATATATATATATATATAAATATATATATATATATAAATGTATGTTAAGTGAGCTTCGTATGTGTGTTGTATATTAAACTAGGCGTATTTTCTGTTGTATACACATATAAATTGTATATATAGTTATATATATTTATATATATGCAGCTGTTTACTATATATGCCTGATTGTTGTGCATGTTGTTCTCTTCAGTAGAATTAAACTCAATCGGAGCGCCTTGCCTTACCATCAAAAATTATATATATGTATATATAAAATAAACTTAAAGCATGCCATAATGTCATATGTAAAGCGTTACCATATAAAGTAAAAAATAAACAAAATTAATAGAGTTAAACAAAATAATAAACTGTACATAATGTCATTAAAATATTATATAACAATGAAGTTTGGTTACTAATTTGGTTCGAAGCACGCATCTCTGTATATATATATACATATATACATACATAAACAAATATATATATACATACATACATATATATATATGTTTTTATTCTGCAGCTAAAACAAAATACTGTTAGTCTATTGCAAGCCCAATTATACTATAAATATATAAATCATATATGTCACATTGTTAAAAAAAATAAAGAAAATAATATATATATGAATATATACACGTGTATATATAAAATGATTAGCATCTAAAACTTGTACATGCCTACAGCTAGCAGGGCGCCCGTGCAAATTAGTTACATACACGCTTTGTATGTGCCTAGTACGTATTTCCTATATAGAGTATGTGCTATGTCTTGTATACATTGTCTTGTAATGGATTATATGACTATGTGTGTCTGGGTGTATATGTGTGGGTGTGTATTTATATATATATATATATACACATATATATATAAATAGATTAGACGTGCATCATGCTGCGTGTTGGGGGGCCCAGTCAGTATTTAATCTGAGCCTGGGAGTCTCTTGCGTTGCGTCTTTCTTGTTAGAATTTTGTGGCTTAGTTGTTTGTCTGTTTCCTTTTTCCATACATTTCATCCTCATCTTTAGTTGTCGTTCTCAGCGTTTAGGAAATATTGGCGCTGTGCTTGCCTGTTGCTGCCTTGGTTTGTTTCATTTTAGACTGGTTTACTCATCCACCGATGTTGTGGGCGGACTATAACTGCATCAGGATGCGCTACGCTGTTCGCCATCCGGTCTGCGATCTGTGGCAATTTGTAGCAAGTTTCTGAACTCTGTGTCGAGTATTTGGCGTGCCTAAATGTAAATGTAAATAAATTTGGTTAGCAATTGAGACATACAACAATGAATATATAGCAGTCACCTGTGCATTTTGCGTGGGTATTTGCAAAGCCAGGCCCATGGCGTTGGCATCGAAACCCTCATCCAGCGCCATCAGACCACCATGGACGCCCGATTCGAGCAAGTTATTGGCATATTCCTGTCATAATAATAATCAAGACAAGCAGTTAAATGTAAATAAAATTCAAAGTAATTGATTATGACACCGACCTTCAGTCCTATGCTGCTCACCCACCGTATGACACGCTCATTGCTCCACACGAGCACATCGCAAAGGCCATTCTCGCTCATCTTACGCCTGTGCTCCAGCTCGGTGCGATCATAGTTTAAGCGTTTTAGCATTGAGATGCCATACTGCAGGCTGGTGCGATGAAAGCTATCAACCATTTTCAACTGACCACGCAAATCCTTCTTGGTTAAATGATCCAACATGCGTGCATCGACTAGACACTCCATAAAGGTTGTGCGATATTGAGGCAAACCTAGCCCAGGCAGCCAGTAATTGCCAATCCACTCGTGATTCATGTCCCCTAAACAAAAATAAAGTGATGTTTAGATATTTACCATAACTCAAGTTGTTATCTCATATCTGTGCGACCTACCAAACGCCAGTGTAGTTCGTGATGTTTGCGGAGCTGAGGGTGAAGTAAGTGAAACCATTTCCTGTATGGCCAAACGTAGTTTGAGCCTATGTAGCGGATTACTAATGCCTATGAAACAAAAGATTTTCATATGGTATACAAACATGGTAAATTTAATTCAGATTTTATTGTTACCTATTTCCCGCTGTATCTCCGTGTCGCTAAGTGCGCTCATAATAGCACCCGATTTGACATTGGCACGACAGGCGGCCACATACCAGGCTGGCATGCCCACCCACAGCTCCAGCCAGGCGACAATGGTGGGTCCGTTCCACAGAGCGAATGGCGTGCCTGCTTTCATGGCCTCACCCAGCAGATCGTTGCGATAATCGTGATCTCTGCAATACATATAGTTAGTAAAGGATCATCTTTGATTCACTCTAAGCACTCACTTCTTTTGCCTGCCGTAGTCAACGCTGCTGATCTTCGAGCCTTGGGCGCTGGCTATGCGCGGCATCATGCCGCCAGTCATGCTCATGACATCATAGTTGGAATCCACCTCGCTTAAGCCCATCGACAGATTGCCAATGGACATCATGCTGGGCGAACCATCCGGCAGCGTATCCTTAACGCCCTTGACCTTCTCCTTTTTACTAAAGAAACGACCCAACGAAGATTTAATACCCTTCTTTTTCTGAACGGCAGCGGCGGCAGCTGCTTCCCTAGACACGCCTGACGTAGGCGTCTGCAGCATGGACATTGAACCCATTGTATTATAGTGACGCAGTGACTCTTGGCTGCCATAACGTGAACTGAGTGGCGATAGCCCATAGCCATGCGAAGCCAACGTCATATGAGCATTAACATGAGGTGAGGCAGCGGGCACCATTGTGCGGCGACGCAGCTCCTCCTGGCTATGGGCGAGTGCCTGGGCGACGCGCTCCAAGCGCATCGAACGTGCCGTCAATGGCGAAGCAGCGCCGCCGGAACTTGAATCGCCGGTGGTGGACATGCCGCCATGCAGCTCCTCACGAGACGCATCACTGGATAACACGGGCAAGTTAAGCTGTAAATAAGAAAATAGTTGATTAGTTGGATTCCGTTGTTCCCCTTAAATAGGTTCCACCTGGAACTACATTTCACCAATTGCCAATTCTTACCGTATGATATTTCTGCATGAAATCACGCTGTGGACTGTTGGGCGTACTGCGTCCACTCATGGGAGGACTTTGTCTGTCCATGGAACGGCCACGTGCCAATAGATTCACATGCTCCAGACTGCCAACGCGCGACTCCAGCTCTTCGGCTCGCGCCTCTGTCGATTGTTTCTCCTCCTGGA